TCTCTTCCCCACTCTGTCTCTTGTGAATCTTCTCACCCCCTGTACCTCTGGCCTATACCCCAGTTATTGTATGCCTATATATATAAATCTCAAAAAATAAAAATAAAATGGTGGACCAAGCTCAGAAATTCAATTGGGTTTTAGTAGTGATGCTTATTACACTTCCAGAAACTGATTTTCCCCTCCACAGCTAAATATAGAAGTCGAGGCCTGGTGGGAATTTCCAAATTTCCCAGAAGACATTTGGTTCCTCTTTTTAGTCTGGTTCTTCCTCAGCCAGGCATCTGGTCAGGGGACCTCACGTAAGAACATTGAGGAGTTCATTTGACCTTTAGAGTGCACCCACGCTTTCCTGAGATGGCTGGACAAAAACTCCTTAGGAACCGTCATTAAAATTAGATCACTTTTAATTTGCACATGGCAGAATCAGTTCAAAATCCTGGATTCTTTCTGGTCAGGAGATTCCCCTTTTTTAGGGTCCCAGATGAGGGTCTGGCCTCAGAGCAAGACCAAAGTCCTATGTATCTGACATAACCCCTAAGTGTGATGAAAGGAATAGAGGGTAGGATCAGGGCTGAGCAGAGGGAAGAAGAAGAAAGGAGACTCTTACAGAAGACCTGCTATGTCCCAGTGACTTTCTATCTATACTACTTAGTTGAATTTAATTTTACAATGATTCTGAGAGGTGGGTATCACTCTTTTTTAAGATGAGAAAACAATTAATCAGCAAGTGCCAGAATAGCTGGGATGAGAACCCGAGTCTCTGGGAATTCATGATCCATGCTATTTCTATGTATCATTTAGCTCCTATTGTATCACTTCTTAAAGAATGCTTGGTTTTTTTAGCTATTACAGCTTCACTTCAGAATATGCTCCCTTCAAGTGTATTTATTTTTTTCATTTCTTCCCTGCTTTCAGTTATATTCTCTAAAGCCTGGACTGGTGATATTCGGCATAATTGTCAAAAGGGGTGACTTAGATTATTCTGAATTAACCTCACAGTGTTATGAAAATAACTACCATCGCAAAACTCTCTTCCTAAAGGCTGCTGTGGCCAGTTTTAGTTTTCTGGAAGCCTGAAGAATGTCTGGTGAGTTGGAGAGGTGCTATGCCTCATGACTGCCATCAAAAGACAGAGAGGCCTAGAAATGTACCTTCCCGAGGCCTAGATATGTACTTTCCTGAGGCATCTGTATGGTTCTGGGGATAGGTGGGATAAGGGTGAGAAAGACACAGCATGGCAATGCCAGGGGTAAGGGAGTGGGCGGTCATTTATGAAAGAACTTGGGCCTTAGAGGGATGCTGCTTTATGTCAAGTATAACACAGAAAAACAACCAGGAATTTTGAAACCCCGAATCAGCAAATATGGCATGGTAAGGGATTTTGGTGCTATTGATGAGTGCTAGGAGCTAACAAAGAGATGGAGCTTAGATGCTGAAATATTGATATCCATAAGGTATACAATTGGGGAAAAGAGCAGAATGTTCAAAATGGGGCCCTCTTAGCAACAGCAGGCTAGAGGGCAACTGTTGCATGGATTGCAGATACCCCAGAAAGATACATAAAGGCTATAGATCCATTTAGGGTACTGAAAAGGGCAGAAATAATTGAGAGCATAAATGAGGCTTTTCTGATGGAGGAAAGAAAAGGAATCTGCATTTTAAAACAAAAGAGGCCAGTAGTGAGGATGGGCTGGGGTGGAGAAAAGCAGTATTGGCTTATTTATCCTTGAACTGGGGCCTAAAAATGGGAAAACCAGTACACAGATCTTGTTATGTAAGAGTCAATTGTGTTTTGTAAGGCATAAGGAAGCTTGAGGGAAACAGATTTCAGTTCTAAGCCAAGCAAAGCTTCTAAGTCACACAGTCCAAAGATGGAATTAACACCCTTAAAAGTTAGTAAATTTTCCCTTCCTTGGAGAAAGGAAAATAAAATTCATTTTTGGTGAGTGCCTAGACATTGAAGATCATGCTACACATATATCATGTCATGTTATCCTTGTAATAACCAATGAGAAGATTGGACTTCAGAGAACTTAGGTTGCTTAAGGTCACACAACTAACATGGAGTTTGTGGAATACTTCTGTTCTTTCCACCCTGATATATAAAAAGGCCTCTATACAGAGGCATTAACAAAGGGCATGCACTCATGATTCTCTTTTCTATCTTATTCAATTCTGAGAGCCTCAAATTCTAAGTCAGTTAGGTGAAAAGAGAGTGGATTGTGGAAGACAGGAAGACAGGAAGGTTTTATTCCTGCATCAGTCAGTGAAGTCACATGAATCTGTCTTTAGCACTCCAAATTTGCATAAAATGTATCCTTAGAGTCTCCTATAATTAAAAACAGTTCTTCATTTTAAATGAAGCTGTGCATATATATGCAAGTATGTTGGGTGCATTGCTGTACTACATGCAATTGGGAGAAGAGGGGCTGTAGAAGAAATGAAAGAGAGAAATGAATTCCAGGGACTAGGTCTTTCTTTATAATGAACGTCTTACTTCCCAGGGAAGTGTTGATAGTAACTAGGGCAGAAAGTCAAGGAGGTCTTCTGTAAGTGGACTTCCTGGGGGGTGTCTGTTTTATATCTGTAGCACATAGCTACAAGAATTTCTAAGGAAATGGATGTCACATATCCGAAAAAGTATGTTACTTTTATCCAGGAAAGCGCATATGTTTTAAATGGGTGATGCAAGTACAGTTGATTCTCACTATGGGCTGTGGTTGTTAGCACTAAGTTACTTGGACACTGAATTTAGTGAATCCTCAACCACTGCTGCTCAGGGAAATATTGGGTTAGTTTCCTGTGATCTCTGATAACATTTCATTGACTGATCAATATGTAGATTTGTAATATGTGTGTTTCTGTTTTCAAGATGACTAATTTAATATGCACTGTTGATTCATTAACACTGAACTCAGGGCTATAACACTATAACCCATGCCTGAACAAAGCTTGTCTAACACACATATTTTCTCTGTAAGCTACCTCACAACCTTAGCCAGCATCTCAGCAATATGTTTGGGGGCCATTTTAAATAACCAAACCACCACAAAAAAATAAATAAATAAATAACGAAGGAAAATGTGAAAAGAGTGGCATTGACTGGATTGCCAAGTGGACACATTTATACTCTGAGAGCTAAAGTAAGATGGTGGTGTCTCCTTGCCTTACCTCATCATTGGCCACTCTGTGCATGTGTGTGAATGACTGTAAAATGGTCACAAGTACTGACTGTGGTATTACAAAAAAAATTCTAGAGAGTAGGTGAATTTGTAAATACAGAATCTGTGAGGAGGATCGATTGTATTATTTAAAATATGAGCCTCTTTTGTCTTCTTGGTTTCTCCATCTCTGTCCTTTAGTCTTCCCTCATGACTGCAGACTGAGAGGTGTCTGGCATCTCAGGCCTACCTACACTGTGCTAGGTTTCCTGAACCTCATATATAAAATTGGAATTAGTGTATCTATCTTGCTATTCCCTTTCGTCACCATTGCTGAAGTGCCAGCTGCCAGAATCAAGTTCAATCCCTTTGTGATTTCTGACTAGAACAAGAGTTGTAAAAGATATTTCAATGAACCTTCCCACATTCCAAAGAGCTGAGACAGATGTTCAATGTGCTATCTACGCCCATCTGGAAGAAAATGAAGTTCAGGTAATTCCAGGACACCACAAAGGGGAACAAATTGGCAAAGTAGTCCAAGTTTACTGGAAGAAATAGGTCATCTACATTAATCACGTGCAGTGGAGGAAGGCGAATGGCACGGCATCCACGTGGATATTCACCCTAGAAGGTGGCTATGATTAGAGTGAAACTGGATAAAGATTGCAAAAAGATCCTAGAATGCAAAGCCAAATCCCATCAAGTAGGAAAGGGAGGGTTACCAGAGAGTGTGGTCCTGGTAAAAGATTTGCTCTAATCTCTGTACCCACAGTGCCAGGCACTATACCTGATATTACAAACAGTTGTTGGATGAAAGATCATTGTATCTGCAAATACAAGAAAGAAACAACTGAGAAGATGCATAAATACGGTAATCATTACAAACTGCTGAAACAAACAAAAAAAAATCATAATACCTATCTCACAGCACTATGAGGGGGATTAAATGAAATAGTATTTGTTCTCCTCCAAAGTGAAAGCTCATAAGAGGCAAAATAAGAGATGAAAGACATAGGGAGAGCGATTCAACAAAGAACATCCAGACAGATTGCCTAGGACACCTTCCCTCCACCACTCCCAGACCCTAGGATCTTGGTCAGGGCTAACTTATCTTGGGGGTGGTATAATGTTGGGTTGCGAAAATAAGAAGTAATAGGACTGAAAATTCCCTGATCTAAGAGAAGATTCAGATTTACTGCACATCATTTGAAAATCCTTAAGAAAAAGGTCACATTATAATGATTGGCCCATTTTTCTGATCTTAATGTTGTATCATAATTATATAGAAACAAAATTTACTTTTCATGCAATCAAATTAGTTTTCTAAAGGATGACTTACAAAACCTTTAAAAATCATTAGGGTACAACTGCTATGGAAAACAATATGGCATTTTCCCAGAAAATGAGAAACAGAAACACTTGATGACCCAGAAAACCCATTATTGGGTATGTATTCTGAAAGAATTTAAAGTGGTGTTTTGAATTAAAAGTGGTGTTCTGAGGGCCTCCTTGGTGGTGCACAGGGTTAAGATGTATGAAGGTTAAGACCTATGAAGCTATTCACAGCCACTGCAGCATGAGTTCGATCCCAGGCCAGGGAGCTACCCACATGGTGCAGCAGACCTCTCCTGTCTCGCCTATTGTTCCCCTCAGCAGTGTATTTCATTCAGCCTGCCTGTTCTGCTCCCCATTCTGTCTCTGGTGAATCCTCTCACCCCTCCACACCTCTGGCCTGAAACCCTGTTCTTGTATGCATATATAAATAAATCTTAAAAAAAAAGTGGTGTTTTGAAAAGATATTTCACACTCATATTTGTAACAGCCTAATTGTCAATCATGGGTTCCATAAGAAGTGGTTCAAATAGCCTACAGATGAAAGGATTAAGAAATGTGGGTGTGGGCCTCCCTGGTGGCACAGTTAAGACACAACCTATGAAGCTATCCACAGCCACTGCAGCATGAGTTCAATCCCTGGCCAGGGAGCAACCCACATAGTGCAGCAGACCTCTTCTGACACGCCCACTGCTCCCCTCAGCAGTGTATTTTGGTCAATCTGCCTTTTCTGTTCCCCACTCTGTCTCTGGTGAATCCTCTCACATCCCACACCTCTGGCCTGTACCCTAGTTCTTGTATGCATAAATAAATAAATCTTAAAAAAAATGTGGGTGTGTATGTATGTGTGTATATATATATTTATATTATTTATATACATACATATCTGTATATGTATATATATATATGCATATATGTATATGTATATATGTATACACAGTGGAATATTTTTCATTATCATCACTATCATTATCATTCCTTAAAAGAGAGTAAATTCTCACATGTCCCATGACATGAATGAACCTCAGGACATTGTGCTAAGTGAAATAAATCAGTCACAGGATAACAAATACCATATGATTCCACTCATATGAAGTAGCCAAAGTAGTTCAGCTCATAGAAAAAAAAAGTTGAGTGGTGGTTACCAGGGCCTAGGGAAGGAGAAAAGGAGAGTTGTTTGTGCTTACAAAGTTTTAGATGTGCAAGAAGAAAAACTTCTGGAAATTTGTTTCACAACAGTGTGAATATGCTTAGCACTATTACCTGCACACTTAAAAATAGTTAAGATGGTAAATTCTGTGTTATTTGGTTAATCACATTTTGCAAAATTGAAGGGGAAAAAAGCACTAGGGACCAAAACAGTCAAAATCAAACTGAATTCTCTGATCATGCTCAGCCACTTGATGCAACACCTTGGGTTCTATTCCTGCCGGCTCTGCAGGACTCTGCACTTAATAAATATAGCAATCTTGTTCCATTTGCTTCTCCTTAGGCATCATCCAGGTAAACAAGACAGTGAAAGACAAAGCAGCACTCCCCTGTAATTACAACATTTCCTCGGAACAGCTGGCAAGCGTTCGCATCTACTGGCAAAAGGGAGATGAAGTGGTGATGACTATCGTGGCTGGAGAAGTAAAGTGGTGGCCCAAGTATAAGAACCGCACCTTCTCCCTCGCCAACAACCTCTCCATCATGATCCTGGCTCTGCGCCCGTCAGACAATGGCACGTACACCTGTGTTGTTCAGAAGCAGGATAAAACGTCTTACAAATTGGCACACCTGAATGAGGTGACATTATTTGTCAGAGGTCAGTGGGATTTCTGATTTATTTTAGAAGATTTGTGATACCCTTAAAGACATACTCCTATTGATTTGGTTGGAAATTAAACCAACTGATGTTTCTCACTTCATTTTTTAAGTTAATCTGAGTCTCTAGTTTTATAGTAAGTTAGCACTGCTTTCTCCAGATGTCCTGAAAATAGCTACTCATGTGCATTTTTTGCACTTGGACAGTTTAAGTTCTGGACACTGTAATGACCTAAAGAGCCTTCAGAATCATTTGGGAATACATTTGATTTGATGTAGTTATACTGTTATCTGCACTTGATGTAGTTATGTATTCTGGTAAAAGTAAAATATATTAAATGGTATAAGAGCAATGCAGGTACAAATATTTTTCAATAGACTATCCAATTTTTTTTTTTAAAGGAAGCACATACAACTTGAAGAAGGACCAGTGTTGTTTTTTTTTTTTTTAAGATTTATTTATTTATACAAGAACTGGGGTACAAGCAAGATGTGTAGGAGGGTGAGAAGACTCACCAGAGACAGAGCGGGGAACAGAACAGGCAGACTTACTGAAATACACTGCTGAGGGGAGCAGCAGGTGAGACAGGAGAGGTCTGCCGCACCATGTGGGTAACTCCCCAGCCAGCTGAGATTGAAGCCACACTGCAGAGACTGCAGACAGCTTCACAGCACTGCGCTCAACTGCCTGCACCACCAGGGAGGCCAACATCCAATTTTTTTTATGCATACAAGAACTGGGGTAGAGGCCAGAGGTTTGGGAGGTGAGAATATTCACCAGAGACAGTGGGGAACAGATCAGGCAAATTGACCAAAATACACTGCTGAGAGTAGCAGTGGACAGGAGAGATCTGCCACAGCATGTGGGATGCTAAACAAAATTTAGAGTAAAAGAAGCTACCTTAGGTATGGAAAGTAGAGGTAAAGATCTGTGAGACCATACAAGTAGATTTACATAACTTATAGTCAGTGTCCTGGCTCTCAAGTTGGAAATTGAGTTTATAGGTGTTTGTTAAAATATTATAAATACATATATTCATAAGTAAATAAATAAGAGTCACTTTGTATAATTCAGTATCAAAAAGGAACAGAAGTCTCTGATATAAATCAGCAAAACATGAATTCAAATCTCAGTTCTTCCTCTTATTGTGATTTCTGTAAACCCCAATTTGATTATTTCTAAAACAGAAATTGTATTAGGTTAAACCATATGCAATTACTGATATTTGACCTTTTATAATTTACAGTTTACCTCCTAGGGTTGTCCATATCTAACAAATATTAAGAGCTCAATAAATGGTATCTATTGCTTTTTTCTTTTTTTTTCTTTTTTTTTTTTTACTTGCTTGCATTTATTTTTTATTTTTTTTTAAATAATAAATTTTATTTTTATATTCCCCCATACAATTGCAAACGCCCCATTCTGACCCCAATCCTTCCCCTCCCGCCCCCCACCCCCCAAAAAGTGTCTCTGGTTCATAGTTTTTTGTTGATTTTGATTTTCACTTTCTTATATTCATTTTCCTGGTCCCTTATTTAAGTTTTCTAGATTCCTGCTATGAGTGAGACCATCCGGTATTTTTCTTTTTCTTTTTGGCTTATTTCGCTGAGCATGATCCCTTCCAGCGCCATCCATGTTGCTGCAAATTGCATGTGTTTATCTTTTTTGAATGCTGAGTAATATTCCATGGTATATATGTACCACATCTTCTTGATCCAGTCATCTATTTTTGGGCATTTGGGTTGTTTCCAAAGCTTAGCTATTGTAAACAGTGCTGCTATAAACATAGGAGTGCAGGTGCTCTTTGGAATTGATGTTTCTGTGTCCTTTGGGTAAATACCTAGGAGTGGAATTGCTGGATCATATGGAAGCTCTATGTTTAGTAGGTCCAGAAATCTCCACACAGCTCTCCATAGTGTTCCTTCTATGTTATTGCTTTTTTCTTTACATCTTACATGTGCAGTATTTATTCATATAAACCTGCTTTCCTTAATAAATGCCCTCTTACCCCCATCAAAGTAATTGATGTTGTTTTTTGGAGTTAATGGGTTTAGAGAGCGGTGTCCTTGTGATACCAAAATTGCAGTTTTCAGGCCTAGTCTCCCAGCCAGGAACTGATCCCAGGCTGCAGGGGCAGTGCTGACTCCCAGTCATAGACAACCATGGGTTGGTGTCTCAGGAAGCTGCAGCAGGAACTTCACTGATGCTCAGGCAAGCAAACGAAAAGGCAGATTTGTTTAGACAAAGAAAAAAGCTCATTGAGGAGAAAAGGAACAGAAATAAAGTGGGACTCCCAAACTGATGGAACCAGGCCAGGGAGGGGCAAGGCTACCAAGTGGAGGCATGCCTCAGGAAATATAGACGGTCTTTCCCTAATTGTTCTAAAGCTCCACCAGTCTCTTTGTGATTGGTTAGTTCTCGGTGGTCTCACTCACTGCCTAAATGTCTCTGTGCCCAGAACTATGTCTCTGTGTCCCAGCCCTTAATCGTCCTTGTCCAGGAATGTCCTGTTGCTCCTAGGCCTGGGGTGTGTGATTAGTCTTGGAATTTGTTGCCCTTATCTCTAGAGCCTTCCTTAACTCTCCTGAAGTCCCTGTACTGCCTGTGAAGCTGCCTAATTATTCCTGACTTGCCTAGGACTCACTCAGGTTCACTCTGGGAAAGGTTTCACCAGAGCTCCCCTTTCAGCAGCACACAGCAAGTTTCCCAGGCGAGTTTCTCCATAAGCCAGAGACATTAGTTTTATTTAAAGAACAGGTTTATTTGAAAAGGAACAGAAAAGTAAAAGAGACTTGCATAGACACAAGCAGGCAGGAAGAGCTGCCCAGTAAGGGACAGGTTTGCTGAGAGAGGCCTGCATGGTTGCAGGCGGGCGGCCTTGAGGAGAGCTGCCTCCGCTGAGGGAGGTCAGTGAAGAGAAGCCCTGGCATATTACAGATCACAGGCAGGCGGGAAGCTGCTGCCCTGCAGAGGAGAGAGTTGGTGAAAGGTAGCCCCTGCATAGTCACAGGTGGGCAGGACTGCTGCCTGGTGCCAGAGCAGAGACTGCACTGATATAGTCTCCTTCTCTTTGCAAGGGACTCACTCCTTTGAGGAGTGGTTTGTTTGTTGACTTTAAATAGATTATGTAGAATTTGAAAGGGACCAGAGATTCTACAATGGACTCCTTTTCCCTATCTTTACCTTTGGGTCTGTGCTCCTAACACTCCCTACAGCAGTCTGATACCTGCTTGGATTTTACACTTTGTGACCTAGGTGTTGGCACTTATGGATCTTGGTTTCTAGAGCTGGGTCAATGGCTATGTTAATCCCTTCTACCCCCACCTCCAGCTCTTGGCATTGTGTGAGCCAGGTTTCTGGTCTTGTGGCACCTCCTTTCCAGTTTTTTTAACCTTATCCTTCATCAGTAATGAAGAATTAATATAATCAATTCAAACCAAAGTCAGTCTTTGGATTATACATCACTATTAATGACTTATGGGAAATTGCAAATTACATCTCATTTTATCATTCTTATTGAAACTGTTATAGAGCAACCCCGATATTAAACGGGTTCCTGGCTGTGGGTCCTCACCCGTGCGCTTTAAAGGGACTTATGAATACTCTACTACAGACGCACACAAAGGTTAATAAAAGGTTTATTTACAAGAGAAAAGGAAATAAGGAAAAATGTACAACTCAGGGAGAAAATAGGGAAATAAAGTCTTTAATGCGTCCTACCCGATCCGACGACCTGGAAACCCAAAGTCACTCTCAGAGCTGGCTGGATGCTGCGAGCTGGCGGAGAGCCAAAATGGGGACCCCCAAAGCCCACGTGTCTGCCTTTTATGTCCACCTGGCTGCTTAACCCCACCCTCAGGTCCCAGCCACCTTCCCTTTGGTGGTGATGGGATTTGGAGTTCCCAGTGTCTTTGGCTTTGACCTGGGGTAGGGGTGGAGTCCACAAAGCCTATATGGAATTAGCTTTGGGACATCCTTTTCCCCCTAACAAAACTACATAAGTTATTAAAGCTATAGCCCCCCCCCCACACACACATGCATGCTCACACAAATATGTAATGATTTATATCCTATTCTTTCTTCAGCTGACTTCCCTGTCCCCAGTATAACCGACCTTGGAAGTCCATCTTCTAAGACTAAAAGAATAAGTTGCTCAACCTCTGGAGGTTTTCCAGAGCCTCACCTCTCCTGGTGGGAAAATGGAGAAGAATTAAATGCCACAAACACAACACTTTCCCAGGATCCTGACACCGAACTCTATAGTATTCACAGTGAAATGGAATTCAGTGTGACGACCAACCACAGCTTCGTGTGTCTTGTCAAGTATGGAGATTTTACAGTGTCGCAGAAGCTCAACTGGAAAAAAAGTAAGTGACTACTACTGGAGAGCAGCTACTAAAAGAAAATCTAAAAAGATAATAACTTAGCCAGATACATTTAGAATTGCATTGACTTTGATAGCATTTTTGTAGTATTTTCAGAAAAACAAAACAAAAAAAGATAATAAAGTATTGTGATTTATTAAGGTCACTGCAGAAGGTGTAGAAGTATAATGTTACTAGACTAGTTTTATTTTCTTTAGTAAACCTTCTAAACATTAGACATCCAAATAAGTGCTACACATCAAGTAGTCATCTTGGGAAATGATTGTAACAGCATTGTTGCTGTTGAAAGCACGAAATTTTGCCCACTGGGCTTTGGCACTTTTCTGGGGGCCCCTTCTGCATGGTTCCTTAGTGTCAAATGATTGTCTTTTGTGTGTAAATGTGACTTTTAAAAACTACAGGTTTAGAGAAGTCTGGTGAAGAAGGTGAACAAAAAATTCCTTGAAGACAATGTCTGCAAAAACAGGTCATTTTTGACCAAATACTATGGCTGAATATGTATGGCGTTCTCTTACCCCAGGAGGTGAAATCATCTAAAAATACACAGTGGAAAAAGCTGGGCTTATATAAATCTCTGTATGATTAGCCTGTCACAATTACTACAGGAGAACTCAGATATTTGCAATATAAGTCCAAAGTGTGTGGCTGATGAATCACAGGCCTCTCCCCACTCCCCAGGCCTACTCCTAACAGTATGTCTTGTGGTTTCAAAGTAAGACACAACACATTAAGTGGACATAAAGTGGTACACAACTGAGTAGTATAATATACAATGTATGGTATGTCTATGTCTTACTCTTATCTCTTCTTGTAGTTGAAAAAATATTTTAGATTCTAGTGAATGATTTACTCTAGATCTTTCCACTTTGAGGTGAGTTTTTTATTTTTCTCAATAGGTAATGAGGCAAAATTTCCTGGGAAAATTTGTTCAAATATGAAGTAGCATCATTTTACTATTAGTCCATACTCAACTTCTTTCAATCATCTTTTGTGTATTGTAAAAAATTTATGAAGATGGGAAGGATTTTAAATAATCTACTTACAGATATTAGATGATTAAAGTCTATAATTATAAAAAAAATGAAGATGGGATGTGAATCATATAGTAAAGATATTTTAGTCATCAAGCACTACTTTTCACTTTATTAATATATCATTATTTAACCAATTTTAAACTATTGTGACTAAGGTGGGGGATGGTACACATGTTAGCAACAACAGCTTCAATTATTTATCACTTTGGGCATAACTTAGAATATGGGTACATATGATGTTCTAGGATGGGGGGGTTGGCAAAATTTCCCATCAAAGGGTCAGATATTAAATATTTTTGTCTTTCTATATCATATGGGTTCTTGCAACAACTCAATTCTGCTTGAAAGAAGCTATAGGCAAGACATAGCTGTGTTCCAACAAAATTTTATTTTAAAAAATAAGTGGTAGGTCAGGTTTGGCCTGTGTACTGTGGTTTGCTAACCTACAGGGAACAGAATGCAGCCTTTTAAATAAAAGGATGGAGCTATAATTTAAAGATGATTTAGACTGTCCAGCTTTATCATTTCCCCCCATTATGCCTTCTCTTAATTCTTCCTTCAGACAAGGCATGAGCAGTACCCCTTTTCAGTCTAATTCAAAAGAATATCTCTTTTCCCTATTTGGTCTGTGTTCACACAGTTAATGGAGATTGATTAAGTTTGTTTACTCATGCATTCACTCATTCAGTCTTTACAAAGTGCTTATCACATACCAAGTATTTTGCCAGATGCTAGTGCTGTCTTTATGGTCAGAGAGCCTTAATATGTAAATACTTCTTTAATTGAACCACAGGCATCATTTAGAATCAAAAGCAAATAATGCTTCTATGGGAAGTCAAGGGCTGACCGCATAAACAAACATAAATTAGGTGCAGAGTTCATAGAAATGTTACACAGCAGTGTGAGTATAGTTTTACTATCTACTCTAAAGCTACCTGAATTTGTTAATTAAGCAGATCAGGTCTATGATTCTTTTAGTCTGGGTTACCAAGTTTGCTAGTCCTGGTAGGCATATGTATGTGGAAGGGAACCCCCCCTTCGTAGTGTCTCATGAGTTAAATGTGCACACATCCTCTGCATATAACTTATGCACTGCCCTCTGGGGTGTTTCCAGTTTCCTAAGAGGCATTAGAACAGAAGTGGTTTCCTGAGAATGATTTCTCCTTTTCCCCTTAAAAATACTTCCTCTCAAGAGGCTGAGAGAGGTTTGAGGGTAGGTGGGAAGAGTCCTCTGAGAGGAAGCCAGGAGTGAGTCAGAACCTGTGAATCAGCCTGTGCTGTTATCCCAGGAAAATAGCAAGAGCTTTGTTGTTAGTTTGGGTTTCATTTGGTCTACAGAAGGTCAACCCTGATAATCACTCCATGTCTTCATGCACTCTATTATTTTATTTTATTAAAGATTTATTTTTATTTATTTATACAATAACTGGGGTACAGGTCAGAGGCGCGGGAGGGTGAGAGGATTCACCAGAGACAGAGCAGGGAGCAGAACAGGCAGACGGACCAAAGACACTGCTGAGGGGAGCAACAGGTGAGTTAGGAGAGGTCTGTTGTGCCATATGGGAATCTCCCTGGCTGGCTGGGAATCGAACCCACGCTGCAGAGGCTGTGGACAGCTTCACCTCGTGGCGCTCAACCCGCTGCGCCACCGGGAAGGCCCCACTCTAGTATTTTAAAGAAAAAGAAAAAACAAATTTCCCTAGTCTTTAAGTGATAGGTACGTCAAAATTCATTTTACAATGATTACTGCAGCCAAATGTGTAGTAGTTATTACAACCCAGGAAACCAGAGATAACAAGGCCAATGAAGGGTACTAAGGAGGAGCTGAGGGGAAAAAGCAACTGCAGGCAGCTGCTGCAAGAGATTTGGGGGGAAAGGAATCAATTCCAGAGAGATCCTGTGTACAGTATAGGAAGTTCACTGGAGTCTACTGGGTAGCAACGACGAAGACAAACTTTCACTCCTACCTGGGTAAATAATGGTGTTGCCATTCCCTATATAATAAGTGGAGAATATAAGTGGCAGAAAGAATATAGTGAGTTCAGTTTTAATCAGGTGGAGAAGCTGGCATCCATCCATCTAGTGAGACTTTGGAAATATAAATCTGGATCTAAGAGCTGAGCTCAGAAATATGACATATAGATTTAGAAGTCCAGTGGGATCTCAAAATTTGAGATTGCCCGGGAAGACAAAGGCCAGTGAGAGAAAGGAACCACCGACAGAAGGCACCCCAGCAGCAACAATATTTAAAGGACAGAGGGAAAAAAAGGTCAGCCTACAGAGACAACCAAGTCATAACAAACAGAAACAAAAGAATGTATTGTCACAGAAGTCTGCAATTTACCTACAAGACTTGGCAATCAGAAAAGTGAAAAACAATAAGTAAATCAATATTGGGTATTTATTTGTAAGGCATTCCAGAGCAGTCAGAAGAAGGTGAGCTACTATTATTCCTTTTAGTTGGTGGCCCTGTCCTTCTCCAGATGTTGTCTCTAACTGTTCCTCAAAGGGCTGATGAATAAATGGTGCAGCTGCTGCTCCTAGTCAGGAGGAACGGAGAACAGTGCCGCATGCATTCTTCTCACCACATCCGCCCTTGTGTCCCCATGTCCTCTGTGGGACAGGAACTACAGCTGATAGTTTGCAGAGCTTTCCTCCAGGATGGTCCCACCTAACTCCAAGCCACATGCACCCTTAGTTCTTTGTTGGGGCTAGTCTATCCTTCCAAAAGCTCTAGGCTAGATGGTAAGAATGTCAATCTGAAAATGAATGCAAAGTGGCCCCTGTAACCTTGCACTACCACAAGGGTGTGTGTGTGTGTGTGTGTGTGTGTTAAGAGAACATGCTAAGAGAAAGGAGAGAAGGGGAGAAGGATGCCAAAGCTGGTGAAGGAAAAGTAAGGTCCATCTAGAAAATGACATCAGCTATTTATTAGCCAACTAATAATCAGTGATACATAACAATAGCAGCTATAAAAATGAGATACAAAGACAAAATGGCTTTTAAAGTATCTGTTCAGAACCTTTCTATGACAACTTAGCTAAGTTAAAAAAAAAAAAAAGGTTATGGGCCTCCCCGGTGGCGCAGCAGTTGAGTGCAGGGTTGCGAAGTTGGCCGCAGCCTCTGCAGTGCCGGTTCGATCCCCGGCTGCTCCCCGGCCACCGGAGGAGGGTCCCACATGGGCTCAGACCTCTCCTGCCGCCCGCTGCTCCCCTCAGCAGTGTACTTCGGTCCTTCTGCCTGCTCTGCTCCCCGCTCTGGCTCTGGTGAATTCTCTCACCCTCCCGCGCTTCTGACTGTACCCAGTGCTTGTATAAATAAATAAATAAATAAATCTTTAAAAAAAAAAAAGAACATCATTAAAAAAAAAAAAGGTTGCATTTCCCTTTTTATGCTCAATATCTGTCACAGGGGTATTTTTTTTTAAAGATCTATTTATTTATTTATACAAGCACTGGGTACAGTCAGAAGTATGGCAGGGTGAGAGAATTCACCAGAGCCAGAGGGGAGAGCAGAGCAGGCAAACTGACGAAGTACACTGCTGAGGGGAGCAGCGGGCGCGGCAGGAGAGGTCTGTGCACCATGTGGGCCCCTCACCGGCCGCTGGGGATCGAACCGGCGCTGCAGAGGCTGCGGGCAGCTTCGCAACCCAGCGCTCAACCGCTGAGCCACCAGGGGAGAACCTGTCACATGGGTATTAGTTTCCAACAGTATGTATCTGAAGAGTTAAGTGACAGAGTTGCTAGAAGCTACATACTGAAAAGCAGACCAGGCAAGAAAGTGAAAAATACTCTCTATAGTTGTGTCAATATAAGAGGCATGGGATGCATATTAGGCAGTTGGAAACATATTAGAGTTGATTTTTTTTTTCCTTCACAGATGAGCCGGAACCTCATCATTCCTCCAAGAACTGGACTTATGCCTTAATAGTTGTGTGTTGTGTGATCATTCTAATAATAATCATGTATTACAGTAAGTACTGTCACACTAAATATCAGGATCCCAAATTCAATCAGTATGGTTCAGAATCTCTTCAAGGTTTTAGTCTTTCTTTTTTCTCATTTTTGAAGCATTTTGGAAACGTTAGTGTCTCCTTTACTAGTCCCAGCAAGTTCTGTCCATTTACTGGGCTGACATTTCTTGGACACCTACTATGTGTTTGGTACTCTGCTAGCCCCTGGAGTTACAAAGCAGAGAAATCACTGCCCTCAAGACACGGTATAGTTTAGTGCTTCTGTTTTTCATCTGATTTTATAATATTTTCTTGGAGACACTGAGGCTTGCTAATTTAAAAACATTTCTGATGCAAAGTGATTATCTAATCTTGGATTTGGAATTGGAGGAAAGGAAGAATGACAAGATTAGGGAGGGGGGAAGAATCATTTCCTTGGAGGTGGGCAAGATGGTGACAGGTGAGTTTACTGCTTCTCAGTTCCTTCAGAATACATTTTTTGGATAAAAGATCAGGAGCGACTGAAAAGGAATAGATATTTAGGATATTTTCCCCTCTGAATTAAAAATTTTGGTCTTACTTATATGCTACCTTCAATCTCTATAATAAAATGACAAGTTGTTGTTAGGCCAGAGAGAAGGCCATAGTCACCATGCAGGAGCACCAACATTTATTGGAGTAGAAATCGCAATACTGAGCAAAGAAAATTGGAACACCAACACCATTTGACCTTCCCAACCTTCAGCACAAAAAATTGTCAAAACTCAGGAAAGCCACTAGAAACTCTTTGCTATGAACAACTCACCCCAGAGGTAGAACAGTGTTCTGGTGAGCTCAAGACTTTTCAAATTCATACTGACCACTTTCACCATTCTAATTCAGAGTTTCTCATCCTTTGTATTATTGATATCTAGGGCCAGGTATTTCTTTGTTTTAGGATGCTGTTCTGTGTATTATAGGATGGTTAGCAGTATTCCTAGCCCCTACACACTATATGCCAACAGCACCACTTTCTCCAATTTTAAAAACCAAAAATATCTCCAAGCATTGCAAATGTCTCTTGGCATGTATCTATGTGTGTGTTTCTAGTTTGAGAACTGCTGGTCTAATTGTAAGACAGTCCAAAAGTTTGCTGAAATATATGGGCACAATTTATTTATTTCTATATATATATATTTACATGATTATTCATTTTTGTACAGTTTGCTTTCTCCTCTCAGGTGTAGTTCCCATAAAATTCCCACCACCAAGTCACCGGTGAATCATCACCCTAGTCTCTAGTGTTCTTCTCACCCCTGTTTTATCCCTCTCCTTTCTCCTCCCCTGCTGAATGTCTCTGATTTATAGTTGCCTGTTAATTTTTTTAAATATTTATTTATTTATGCATACAAGAGCTGGGGTACAGGCCAGAGGTGTGGGGGGAGGGATGAAAGGATTCACCAGGGATAGAATGGGGAACAGAACAGGCAGATTGACCGAAGTACACTGCTGGGGGGAGCAGTGGGCGAGTAAGGAGAGGTCTGCTGTGCCATGTATGTTGCTCCCTGGCCAGCCGGGGTTTGAACTCATGCTGCAGAGGCCGTGGGCCATCTCTTAGGTTGCATCTTAACCCCTTGCGCCACCAGGGAGGCCCAGTTGCCTGTTAATTTTGTTTTTTATTTATTACTATATTTTTTTCCTGATCCCTTATTTGGTTCCCTTGTATTCCTCCTATAAGTGAATCCATCTGATATTTTTCTTTTTCCTTTTGACTTATTTCACTGAGCATGATCTATGGGCACAATTTAAGGGAAATTCACTTATTTAAATTTTTATTATTTTGTCCTTGTTTTCAAGTTTGTTGTAGAACACGAATAGCGGGAGCATGGCGAGGAGCTACCGTACCTCCAGAAGATATATAGAAGAATCAGACCGAACATCTAAAGGTCACCTCCCTGAGCTTTTCTCTACCATACGTATCCAGGATATGTGAGAGCATGTCCATCATGAGGCGCAGGGTTTTCTTCTTCTCAGTACCAAATTTAACATCATCCACCTTTTTGAAAACCTCATTCAGATTACTTGAAACAGATGACTGGTATCTCTCCTTTCTCCCTACAATTTGGTTATTCTCACCTCTTCCTTTGTTGTGCTATTCTGACATCTTTAAATGTTCCCCCTTTGCCTGTCAGCTTAGTAGCTTTCATTATCTATGAAGCACTATGTTAAATTCATCTTGAAGTACTATTCTGGGCTAAGTCCTTATTTTATTCATTCCTTTTTCTGATCAATCTGATGGACACAGGTTGAAGTCACTAAAGGCTCACTCTGTTCTAACTCAGTAACACCCTCATTTGTCTCTATGCCTCTTACTGACTGCTATTCTGCTGACCTAGTCACAGAGCCAGATTTCATAATGAATTATTTCTCTGTGTTATTATCCACTCAAAAACTCTGAAGAGACCCTGGTGCCTACAGGTAAAGCTTTAAATCTTTTTACATTACAGCTGATCTCTTTAGTCTAAACATCCTCAGCTCTATCCATTGTTCTTCACAGCTTCATGTGAATACATTTGATGTTGACAAATGGAGGCCAAGACTTTAGGTAGAAGTCCACAAAGTCTACATGCAATGGATTAATTACTATCCCTTGTTTTTTTTTTTTTTTTCCCTATTAAGGGAGCATAAGCTTTTGTGAGCTACACTGTTAACACATATCAATCTTTGTTATCCTAAAATTCCTAGGTCTTTTTCATATAAGAGAAACATTGGAATATTGGAATCCTAGAGACTGATACCATATCCAGGTGGCTATAGACTCCATAAACAGTTCAATTTTGACTTGTGAAGCCAATATCAGGAAATGAGTCTGTAGGGTTGCCTTTAAAAATAAAGGACAATGAAAAATAACACCTGAGACATATAACAGCTTATGTTTCACAAAAGCATTACTTCATTTTAGTCCTATAAAAATCTCTAGGAACAAGATCGATCTCCATTCTATAGGAGAGAAATCTGAACTCCAGAGGCTGAGTGATCTAGGTCAGACAAAACCAGCACATCAGACTCCATTCTGGGTTTACTTCCATGCACCCTATCATATACTCCATTAAATTGTAGGCTTATTAAGAATAGCAACTATGTTTGATACAGCTTTGCTTGTCCCACACACACAAGAGTGTGTTGAGCTATGTTTACTCATTTGGTGACGCTGGTGATTAGTATTTGCCTGCTATTTAACGTAAAAACTTGTCAGGCTAGTCCTTAATTCACTCATAATTTAGACGGCCTTTTATATTCTTTGGCTATCAAGATTAGTATCTGTAATGTTAGTTTAAGTCGGGAATGCCCTTGCCATAAAAAATATAAAATTTAAAAATGTTTTCCTCAGGGCTCTGGACTGATACTGCCGGCCTCGCCACCTCTCTTCAGCTGTATCCTGAGTTGTTGCCAACCAGGCCAGGGCTGCAGACTCCAGAGCCTACTCCGGTGCCAGGGCCCCCATCCCTGCACGGGCTCCTGGATAGAACTGCACTTTAGCAATAGTGGGGACTGCAGTGATGTGTCAGCTTCTATTTATAATGGCGCAAGGAAAATATCCCCTGGACGCCCAGAGCTTGCACGGTGACAGCTTGACCCACCACAGACCTCACAAGACACTCGAAGACCTTCTGAAGCAGATGCCACAGCGTCGAAGGAAAACAAGAGCATTCGGTCTGAGGAAGATTATGCTGAGAGAAGGAAAGAACTTGAAAGTATCTTAAAGAAAAACTCATATTGGATCTGGGATTAGTCAAGTCAGTCAGAAAATGCCCCCGCCCACCTCCCAGAAGTTCCTCTTTCAATAACCAAGGGCACATTCACTCTCAGTATGAGAGATTAGAGTGTGAAGAAGAAAGGGGACATTTTCTCCCTGAATTTCCGAAGGGTTTTTTTTTTTCCCCCTCCCATCTCTGCTGCTCTCCTATCTGCTGACAGTCAGATTGGGAATCTATTTTTGGAAGGTGGCTGACAACCTCACGGGCAGGTTTTGATGCAGTGGAGAGGCTTTTTTCATCAAGTGGGGATCTATGGGGGAGCTGGAAACACTGCTATAGGAGAGATAGTTGGGTTCAAATACTCACATTCTATTGGTTCATATTGGACTGACTGATACTCTTCCTCACTGGCTTTATGCTAGTTTAACTTCAGAAAATGTTTGAGAAAGTTCTCATTAAAAATATTTTTTATTAAACAGTAAGCTGTCTTTACAAAAAAGAACACTTGAGGTAATGAAAACAAAATTTTATATAACTTTTAGGTCACTAAAAGTGGCTTTTCCTCTGTGCTATTTCTGGATCCTGCTGCCATTAGCAGAAAATTGAAGGAAAGCAGAGGAACCATTGTTCCTATGTTACTTATTCTCCTTTCGCTAAAATTGCCTTCCACAATTTTTTGTACGCTGGAATGGACCTGGCTTAAGGTGGGCAACATTCTCATCTGAATATTTGGGGTGCATAGCAAGAGCTAACCAAGGTTTTCAAATGGGGCTGAATTTAAAACATTTAATTTGGGGATCTATAAAAGATTAAGCTCTATAGTCAAAGGATGCCTAAATGGTGGTTCTCAGAACAAAAATCACTGAAAAAAAATAAAAGTAGTAGATGGACAAGAACTTAGAACAATGAGGAAAAAAAAAAAAGATAAAAATTGCTGCATTAAGATTCACTAGACATAATCAAAGGAGACACCAGTACATAATTAACCATAACATAGGGCAAATTTAATACAGCTTATTTATGTTTGAAATAAATTATATTATTGCTTGTTACATTTGATAAATGTGTTACTATTGTTTCAAGAGTTGTTTTACTTTTATTCTGATATTTTCATGATATGAATAAAATTATTTTCTAAAGCAACCATCTAGTTGAAGGATTTAATCAATATGTGGGTATGAATAACAGATTGACTAATTGCTAATTTGTCACAATTTGTGAATAGAATTTTAACATCTCTATGGAGTGTGATAATAATAGCAAATTATGGTGAAAATATACTGGTGCAGAGGCTCTCATATCCTTAAGACTACTAGCTTTGTTATTATGTAATGGGCACTAACTATTATATAGCACCTGGGCATTGTTCTACTCTTTACATGCATCATTTTTTATTTTAAAGATTTATTTATGCATACAAGAACTAGGGCACAGGCCAGAGGCGTGGGGGTTGAGAGGATCCACCAGAGATAAGAGCAGGGAACAGAACAGGCAGATTGACTGAAATACACAGCTGAGGGGAGCAGCGGGTGAGCCTGAGGTCTGCTGTGCCTTGTGAGTAGTTCCCTGGCTGGGGATCGAACTTGTGCTACAGTGGCTGCAGACAGCTTCATAGGTTACGACGTCCCAACCCCTTGCGCCACCAGGAGGCCCTACACGCATCATTTTATTTCACACCAATTCTGAAGCAGATCCTATTTCATATGACAGATAAAAAAACTGAAACTTCAAGTAAAATGGCTTTGCTATGTGTCACATGGCTGCAGAGCCACATGGGTGGAGTTAGCGGCCAGTGGTCTGCCTCCAGAGCCAAAGGTTTCAGCCAAACACTATGCTGTTTCATAGATCTTGTTTCTATGGAACGACAGTGTTTTCATAGTAGTTCTAAAACCAAAACAAAGCAATAGAAGTCTTCTCCCCTCAGTGTACTTATTTCAGTAATTTCTTGCCCCATCCCAACCCTCCCTACTTAGTAACAGTTACAATCTGCCAGCAGACTTCCTTATAAGGCAGCAGGCTCCTGGAGAACAGAGACTATATCTAGGTTAAGTAATTTTACATGGCATCATGGCATACTTTCTCTGAAATACTAAGAAAGAAACAAAATCTGGATGTCTCTAAATAATACTTCCTGGTTCTTAAATTTATATTTTATTGCAAATGACACAGGAGTCATCTTTGATTTTTATTAAAACAAAACCAAACACTAAAACACATTAGGCCCACATTGTTTCCAGGACTCAGGGCCCACAGGGCTTCATAGATATTCCCTTATCTGCTTCTTTCCCCTCCTCTTCCTAGTTTTTCCTAGAGTACCCTTTTAAAGTTTACAAGAATATATATACAACTTGTAAAATTCAACTTTTTTTGGGACTTTAAATTTACTGTTGTAAAATCCAAGGGGAAAGATATAAATTGATGGATCAATACAGATATAATGTCAAATATATCAATGGAGGATAAGGAAAATGAGAGTACAACAGCCCAAATCTTGGTTTAAAAAAAAAAAAAAAAAAAAAAAAGAGCAAATCACAGCCACCTCCAATACCAGCACATACATTTGTCAGCAAGCTGACCACAGACATTCAATACATAGGGCAACATAAGCCCTTTCAATTCTCTGACAAGTTTCAAATATCCAGAATATTTTCAGTCCTTGTCTTGTTTATCTGTTGATGAAGGATTTCTAGGAAGATTTAGGAGGGCTTCGATTTTCTTAACATCATCGTTGGATTGATTTTTCTGTAAATTACTTTCAATTTCTTCAGGGAGTTTTTCTGTAAATTGTAGTCTGGCTTCCCTGTATTCGAAAAATGAAAAGGATATCAATTTCCATTTTTTTAGTTCTTAGAGATTTTTTTAAAAAGATATTTGCCTTACTCTTCCTGTAACTTATGACTATTATGATTATGATTCTGCTATAACAGCAGCTCCGATCCAAAAGATATCCCAGAATTCTTATAACAATGATGTACAGGAGCTGAAGTACATGGAGCTAAGGTATAAGCCTCAAAATCTGGCTGTCCCCTCTCAGTGTCAGGGTGATGTGAGAGAGTTCCCAGCCACTCTGTTAAACTCTCTGTTGGCAGACACTGTAGCAACTAGAAAAAGGCTGAAATAATGGTAATCTACGTATGAAAAAGTGAAACAGGTCACTACAGATGTGTTTGTATATATATATTAGAAGTTAAAAATCAACTTCCAAACAACAGATAAATAATTCTTCTAACTCTGTTTTAGTGCCTTCCTTCTTTTAAGTGATTATCAAGATCACCTAAGACTTCTATTCTCAATTGTTCACAACCAGATTTGTCCACTTCGTCTGTTTCTCTAGCCAATTTTCTTCTTTTTTAATAATTTTTAAAAAAGATTTATTTATTTATGCATATAATATCTGGGGTACAGGCCAGAGGTGTGGGGTGTGAGAAGATTCACCAGAGACAGAGTGGGGAACAGAACAGGCAGATTGAAAGACACTGCTGAGGGGAGCAAAGGGCTAGCCAGGAGAGGTCTGCTGCACCCTGTGGGTATCTCCCTGGTGGGGGATCGAACTTGTGCTACAGCGGCTGTGGAGAGTTTCATAGGTTGCGTCTTAACTCCTCGAGCCACCAGGAAGGCCCACTAGCCAGTTTTCTATATGTTCTGCTCAATAAGGCAATTTTTCAGATGAATTTCTCTAGTTATTGTCAAGCAAAGAAGCAGACATATAAAAGGCTCTTAACTGTTTATCAACTCTCCTCAGAAATATCACATTTATACACATGTAATTTATATAGAGAGAGTTTATATGTATTAATGACCTATACAATTTTTTTTTTACTATTTCCTTCTGCCAAAGTATTCTTTCTTTGGTGTATTCTATATGCCAAAGAAATCTATATTCAAGTTATTGTTCTTGCCCATTTTTAAGGTTTTCTATCTCTAAATAAAGTTAACTGATCAATTCTTCTAGTTTTTTATGTTTTTTTTTTAATTGGAATACCATTATTATTTAGGTATATTTTTCCAAATGTTAATTCTTCTACAACTTCTATGTCAGATTAAAATGGCCAATACTTTTCTTATCTAACTCCTTGTTCAAAGCTTCCATTATTAAAAAAGAAAAGAAGAAAGGAAAGGGAAAGGGAAAGGCAGGGAAAGGAAAGAAAACAAAGGTCTCTTATGACACCTAAAGAGCTAGAAATAAGCTGGGGCCTCCCTGGAGGCGCAAGGGGTTAAAACACTGCACTATGAAGCTATCCGCAGCCACTGCAGCACGAGTTCAATCCCTGGCCAAGGAGATAACCCACATGGCACAGTAGACCTCTCCTGTCTCGCCCGCTGCTCCCCTCAGTAGTGTATTTCAGTACATCTGCCTGTTCTGCTCCCCACTCTGTCTCTGGTCTGCACCCCAGCTCTGATATGCATAAATAATCTTAAAAAAAAAAAAAAAGAACTAGAAGTAAGCTAATGCTATCATTCTTTCAATTCTCCCATAATTTCAAATTGTATGCTGGCATTCATAATTTAAGTGCTCTTTTTTTAGACCGTAGATAGTGGCCTATCCTATCTAACCTCTTACCCAGGAGAAGAGGAAGGAATGAAACAAACATACTGAGCATTGTGATATGATTCTGTCCTTGGTACAGCTGAGGAAACTGAGACTTGAAGGAAAATATCTAAGATAACAGAACTGATTAAGAGTCATTAGCTCCTTGTCCTATAGTACACCAGTCCTTGGACAACAGATACATAGATACTAATAAAATTTCCATATATGCGCGTGTATGTGCGTGCATACATGCGTATGCGTGTGTGTGTGTTTAGCACAACAGAAATTTCAAGCAAAAACATGGAAAAAAAAATGACTGTTTAGCTGTTCAACTACCAAAGCAGCAGCAACAAATGTCATTGTGGGTACCCAGGAAGCTGAACTGTGAGAATTATTTCTACCAGGAGTACCAGATGGCAGCCTATTATTTTATTCTTCCAAAGAATCAGCACCAAGTCTACTATCAGTCTGATTACTGTATCCAGGGGATGACTTTCTGGAACAGGTACAAGTTTTCATCCTCTTCAGTGGCATCCAGTCTATGAACAGCCACTATATCTACTTAATTCTTTTGTGCCCAAGGCAAGAAGTAGAATCTTTGAAAAGTAGAGACTATCATATTCTGTATTGTTCATAGATGTATGTGTAAACAGAGATAATCACCTTATAAACAAAGTCAAAGCTTACTCATTGCTGTGAATTTTACTTAGGTAATTTCCTGTGATGTCAAGAACATAGGAAAAGAAAAACTATACAACCAAATGAGATGTAGAGTATTTTTTTTTTAAAAGATTTATTTATTTATACAAGCACTGGGTACAGTCAGAAGCGCGGGAGAGTGAGAGAATTCATCAGAGCCAGAGCGGTGAGCAGAACAGGCAGAAGGACCGAAGTACACTGCTGAGGGGAGCAGCGGGCGCGGCAGGAGAGGTCTGCGCACCATGTGGTGGCCCCCCCGCTGGCGGCAGGGGATAGAACCGGCACTATAGAGGCTGCGGGCAGCTTTGCAGCCCAGCGCTTAACCACTGTGCCACCAGGGGAGGCCCCGAGATTTACAGTATTTTAACTTAATATATTTAAGGAAAGATCCTGATCAGATTAAAAATAAAATTAGTGTCTTTCTTCCTTAACTAAAAAAATTAAATGACCACATAGGATACAACTTGAAAGACTCAGTAAAAATAAACTCTTCTCTGAACTGAGTGGCAGTTTGCAGTACTGCCAGGTTAAAAGAACAGCACCATCTAAGGCCTCTGACTGGGAAGTCAGTTATTCTAGACTTAACATGCTCCTTACCATTCGTGCCGTTTCTGTTCATGAAGTGCTATTAGATCTTTCTGTTTTCTTTCTTGAAGAGTCTCACCATAGTACTTCTGAAGCACCATCAATAGGCTTCCTATAGGAGTGCTGAGGGCAAAGCAGAGGGAAAGTTTAGGAAAAAGGCAATCATCAGACCAACAATCAGACAACAACTAAAGATCCTGTTGAATAAAGAAAACAGTAATAAGACAATTTCCATCTTGATCTGCACAACAAAGATAATCAATGCAACTTCTTAAAATTAACTGATATAAAAACAACAGGTCTGAAAATTGGCTGTTTTTTATCATGAATGATAAATAACCAGATACACACACATGACAAGCTCTAGTAAGATGTGCTCCTAAAGTACTGTTTCTCAGAAACAAAATTAATAATGGGAATGGTATCAGACTCCCCAACAGGAAGGAACTGTGGAGGGCATTTTTAGTTGGGGGAAGGATGCTACTGGCTTTTGGGGAAAAAGCTGCCAAAATATCCTAAAACTTAAAGAGTCTGGTATAAATGTCTCACATACCTGCCAATAGTTACCCATTAAGAAACTGATGACAAATGTGGTAATGAAGAGGGTTTGATTCTTGTTTTCTCAAGGGGAAGACATTTTTGACAATGAACTTAAGTTCCCATTGGCTACAACTTAAGTAATCTTATTAAAAGTTACTTTTGCTAAGTGGAAATGTCCATCAACAGACCAATGGATAAAGAAAATACAGTATATACCATAGATTATTATTCAGCCTTAGGCAATCCCGTCACATGCTACAACATGGATGACATGCTGAGGACATTAAGCAAGGTACTAATAAAATTTATGTTAATTTAGAACCAAACTATGCTGATACTTACCCTAGCAAGGCTCCAATTATGCCACCAGCCACCAGGCCACGCAGGCCTAAGTTTATTCTAAAAAGACTTCCTGTGACAGCTATTTAAAAACAAACAAAAAGAGGCAATATTAAATCATCTTTAAACATCAGAATTTTCATCTTTAAATTTCTTCCTACAAAAACACAACCCCCTAAGTAAGTTTCCTGAACCAAACATTAATATACCACCACAAAACAAGATTTCCTGAACCCAAAATGTTGATTCAGCTAGTTTCTCATCCTTTAGCAGGTTTAAAGAAACATTCCTTTTACAAACCACTTCTTTAATCTGTTCTATGGATCTAACGTATTCTGTTTCCATTTCTTTCTGCTCACCTTAAAGTTCTGTAATTTTTTTCACTTCCATTTTTTTTCACTTCTTCCTTGTTCATGGAAAGCTTTCCCCAAATAAACTTTCAAACTTCAGAGCTGCAACTTAACGCATTTTCTCACCTTATCCTTCCTTATAAGGCTATCCTATAGCTCAGGCAGGCCCAGAAGTGGGTAGTTGCCCTAAGATGCCCCCTGGTGGCCTGTACACAGGTGCTCATTGCTTCCCACTGGTATTCAATGTTCTCCTTTCCTTCTTTGTAATATTGTCACTTATGTTATATAGTGGTGGATCTCTTACCAAAAGGAATATGTTCTGAGAAATGCATCATTAAGTGACTTTGTCACTGTGTGACTATCAAGATATATGAGAGGCTGCTGCCAGCATAAAATGCAAGGACTTTATGACAACAATATCAGTAGGTAACAGGAAGTTAGGACTACTGCTATATGGTGGGATATGTGATTGTATGTTAAAATACAATGTTGTTGTTATTATTTTACAAAACCATATGCATTTTAAAGAAGGGAGAAAACGGGAAAAGAAAGGCAAAGCAATACATTTACAATGTCTTTTATATTAACCAATGTATTCATATACCATTTCTAGTAATTCTTGTTTCCTCCTGTGGAGTAAAGTTAGTATGTTATCATTTCCTTGTTCCCATATACCTCCACTCCTTTCTTTTCTTTTGTGCTATGTCATATATAGCTTTGCTATATATTCAATAATTCAACTTTAGTTTTTTTAATCAACTACGAAAAATATAGCTATATCTATAATGTATTTAATAACTGTCTTATCAATGTTCTCTAATTCTGTTCTCTAATTCATGTAGATTCAAGTTACCATCTGGTATCTCTTCTTTTCAGTCTAAAGACTTTTCTTTACTATTTTATAAGGTAGGTATGACAGTGACGAATTTTGCTTATTTGTCAATTATTTAATTAAATCTGAAAGATTTAATTAATTGACAGGTTATCCTTTTCAGTACTTTTAATGCCACTTTACTAGCTTCTGACTTCATTGTGATGAGTTAACCCAACTGTCCGAGCCAGTTTTTCTTGCTGCTTTCAAGAATTTTCTCTTTGCTCTTTCAACAGTGTAGCTGTTATGTGTCTTGATGTGAATCTCTTTATGTCAAGTCTTCTTGGAGTCTGCTGAGTTTCTTGGATAGGTGGATTTATGTTTTCCATTACATTTGGGAAGTACGCGAACATTATTTCTTAAAATACTTTTTCTGTCCCTTTCTTTCCACCTAGATTCCCATTTTATATTTGTATATATATTTGCATGTATATGTATATATGTATGTATATATATTGTTATGTGTATGTATATATGTATATGTGTGTGTGTGTGTGTGTGTATATATATATATTGGGATTCTGGCTGGTATCCCATAAATCTGAGGCCCTGTTCATTTCTCTTTTTTAAAAATTCTGACTTCCACAAGTGACAATCTATATTTATCTTCAAGTTCATTGACTCTCTTATGCTATCTCAAATCTGTGTTGAGTCCCTCTTCTCCAATGATTTTTAAATTTCTATTGTTATACTAACAACACCACACTTTTAACTTGATTCCTTTTCAAGATTCCTATCTTTATTGATTTTTACATTTGATGAAACATTGTCATCATACTTTTTCTTTCCCTCTCCCTTTTTTAATTTAATTCTTAAAAAAAAAATGGTTTGAAATCTTTTGTTTGGTATGTCTTAAACCATATTTGAAAAGACTGAAAAATATAAGTAAGAACATAAATGTCTTACCTCCTGCAATGACAAAATGGCTTAGGGTATTTTTATTTTGGTACACATTTAGACCAGTGTTCACAGAGCTGGGAAGAAGGAAAAACCACAAAATTTAAGGCATATCCCATTTGCTTTTTGATTACAATTTACACTAAAGTGACAAGTATCTATTTAGAAGAGGCTGCAATGTCAATATCTGGTCCTAATCTAGGCCTCATCCAGACTGTTAATACATCTGCAGGTTTTCTAGGTGGACCTTTTCTTGCTGAAGAACAATAAAAAATAATCAAATTTCTGGAGTAAATATCCATTTAGAAAGAGAAAGGTGCAGAAGAGTTTTGTAGAACTTTTCCTACTTAGAAAGTCTGTATCTATTTTGATACTAGTGGGTAAAACTCTAAAGATGCAAAACTACAACTTTTACATAGACAAAAGCTCTTGAGAAAAAGATATGATCAATCACTTTCATGTGGTGTTCAGTTTTTATAATTCCACTTGTTCAAAAGATGTGCTCCTAAAAAAATATGGAAAACTTTGTCACAATCCAGAAAGAACTTACTTGAATATGGTCACAAACACTGCAGTTCTCCAACTCCAGCGCCAGCCGTACCGGATGAAGCCTCGTGTGGCAGCATGATGTGCAGATTGCTAGAGTTAATAAAAAGGCTATGAGCTTCCAAGACACCTTGATACTTTCTTTATTCTACAACTGTAGTGAAGGGATGTCAGCTACAGATTAGGCAGGAACATGTCGACAGAAACAACAGAAGACCTACAGAAATTGTTTAAGTATTAAAACTTAAACAAAAGTCCCATGTATATTCTTTCCAATCAGGAAATAGAAAAGGAATTAAGAATTGCCAATGTCAATTAAGTATCAACTGAGAATCTGTTGGCAAACACAACATATCAGTATTGGACATGCTTTTAATGTTCAAGAAATCTTAGGGAAAAGAAAAACATAAAAAACCGAGTAAAAAATAAAGGGTAAGGATTAAAGTAATATAGATGTGCAGGAAAGGAACAGAGGGAGAAAAAAGAATTAGTACTTACTGGCCACTCAAATAAATTAGTGTTAACATATCTCATTTAAGCTTTTTTTTTTTTTTTTTCCCCTTTCATAGAACTGGGTTGTAGGCCAGAGGTGTGGGGGGCGGGGTGAGAGGATTCACTAGAGACAGAGTGGGGAGCAGAACAGGCAGATCTATTGAAATATATTGCTGAGGGGAGCAGCGGACAAGACAGGAGAGGTCTGCTGAGCCATGTGGGTTAGCTACCTGGCCATGGATCATACTCAGGCTGCAGAGGTGATAGTACTGAGACTTAACCCGTAGGCTACCACGAAGGACCCCTCTCATTTAATCTTTACAGTAGTTTCAGACGGTGTTTTACTAAAGTATAGAGAGGAAGCTTCTAACTAAGATCACTCAGCTAATAAGGAATGCAATTAAACTGGATGAGAGGTTATCTGTCTCCATAGCCCATTTTTGCTATCCTACAATAGAACATGTCTGGTACAATATTGTGATGGTAAAGTCTAGATTTTGAAAGAACCTGAGAGAATCCCTACGTGGGTGCTTACTAGGTCATATTGGGTAAGTCAAAACATCTCTGACAGGGATATGGATTCATAGTTTTTAATAAATAGGTAATAATAATAATAATAATAATTTAATAAATTAGATACAGATGTGTGCATGATGATGTATATTTCCTGCCTGCCCTGGGCAAACAGAGTACATAATATTCTAGTAGCAAAATGAGCAAATCTTAAAAACAGGTATTGATCTTTAAATACCATTTTCCACTACAAGAAACCAGCGCTCCTTGGTCAAAAAGCTAATTCCAGGACTGGTACTAGAAAAGTAAAAAATGAGCCAAGATGCCAAAATATCAAGGTGGAATCAAAAGAATGATGAGATCTTATCAAAAGGATATAGGATATAGCCTGAATGGGCTCAAATATCCAAACCCTGAACATTGTAAGCGTCGAAATAAGTAACAATAACAGATTACAAACATACAGAATAAATAAACAAACGGGAATGGAAAGTTCTCCCTGTAGCAGGATACTAATAAATAAATATAAAAGGAATGATGGAATTAGAAAATGGTCATTTGGCAACTACCACAGTAATAATAGTTTCAGGCAAAAATGCTCACTGAATACTAAAACCAGAAGGTAAAAATTTGATGAAAAATAGATTTACAGGGCCTCCCTGGTGGTGCAGGGGTTAAAGATAGCACCATCAAGCTATTGCCAGGCACTGAAGCATGAGTTTGATCCCTGGCAGGCCAGGGAGAAACCCACATGGCACGGCAGACCTCTCCTGCTCGCCCACTGCTCCCCTCAGCAGTGTATTTCAGTAGATCTGCCTGTTCTGTTCTCTACTCTCTCTGGTGAATTCTCTCACCACATGCACTTCTGGCTTACACCCCAGTACTAGTATGCATAGATAAATAAATCTTTGGGAAAAAAAGAAAAAAGATTTACAAAGTGTCCAGAAAGTATCCATAAGTTATTTATTAATTACAAGGGAAAAAATAGTAATTTTACAGTGAATAAACCTGCCAAGAGACCACTTAATCATGTCACAAAATTGAATGTCGAAGTAAAAAGATGTCAGTAAAAAGAAAGCATGTACTTCTGATACAATATACAGGATATTCCTGTATACTGTATACAATATATACAATATACAGGATATTCCAGAAACTAATAACAAGAAAACATCAAATAAATCCAAATGGAGGGACAGTCTACAAAATAAATGGGCCAGTCTTCAAAAATGCAAAAGTCATGAAAGTCAAAGGAAGACAGAGAAACTGTTCCAGATTAAAGGAGACTAAAGAGGCATGCCAGGCAAATTCAGCATTTGATCCAGTATTAGATCCTGAGCCAGAAAAAAAGTTTATTATTCATTTACTGTTAAAATAAATTATATCATTTAGCCACTAGCAAAATTTACATGAAGTCTATATATAATAGTACTATATCAGTGCTAATTTCTTGATTTGGAAAACTATATTGTGGTTGCTTAAGAGAAAGTCCATGTTTTTAAGAAATGTACGTGGTGCCTAAATTTACCCCCAAGGAAAATTTATAGGAAAATACTATGCATTACATAGATAATGACAAAAGAAAGGTGGTAAAATGTTAACATTTAATGAGCTGGGTACAAAGCAATAGGAATTCTTTGTTCTATTTTTATAATTTTTCTTTCAGCTTAACAATTTTTAAAAAAACAATGCAAAAACATTAACACACTCTTAGCTGTAATTTCCTCACTAATACAACAGAATTGAAGGACAGAAATGATATAACAAATGAGCTGGTACTCTATAAACTGTAAAGTTATACATATTAGCTATTATTTTAATGTGAACTAGTATACTCCATGAAGGCTTTGTGAATGGAATAAATATATGATGGCTGAGCCCTGACGATTCAGTAAGGGTTTAAAAATACATTTCAGAAACAAAGCCAGACTGGTGATTCCTTTTGAAGAAAAAATAATCTGACAAACCACGCATATGCATTTAACATTAGTAATTCCTTGTTATTAAGTATAGACTTTGTTGTTTTACTCTGACATCCAAAACCCTCCCAATCAACTACCTAACTGAATAACCAAATATAAAGTGAAATATTAAATGCCCTGTATATTATAAAAATAGAGTACCTACCACAGCATCAAGCTGGTTATGATAAACTTCCGCTTGGCTCTGCTCAATGTAGCGCTGTTTAGCATGAATAAAAGCTGGTATTCCCCCGTATGCCCAGCCAATGATGCCTGCTGAAACTGCTGCCCTGTAAATATTCTCAAGTTCCTCTGACGTTCTCTGCTGTTCACTAGAACATCAAAAAGACAGTTGTCTAGAGAAAGACATCCAAGGAATCCAAATAGGAAAAGAAGAAGTCAAACTATCACTATATGCAGATGATATGATAATATACATAGAGAACCCCAAAATCTCCACAGAAAAACTAATTCAACTCATCGGTCAGTTCAGTAAAGTGGCAGGATACAAAATCAACATGCAAAAGTCAGTAGCCTTCCTATACACAAACAATAAATCTGAAGAAGAAGAAATCAAAAAAACCACCCTTTTATTATTGAAACAAAAAAAAAATCAAATATTTGGGAATAAATCTAACAAAAGAGGTAAAGGACCTATACAAAGAAAACTATAAAACACTGTTAAAAGAAATAGAAGAAGACACAAAGAAATGGAAAGACATCCCCTGCTCATGGATTGGAAGAATAAACATTATTAAAATGGCCATCCTACCAAAAGCAATATACAGATTCAATGCTATTCCAATCAAAATCTCAATGGCATTCTTCAAAGAAATAGAACAATTATTGATGAAATTCATATGGAATCACCAAAAACCCCGAATAGCCAAAGCTCTACTGAAAAAAAAAGAAGGAAATGGAGGCATCACACTCCCAGACTTCAAACTATACTACAAAGCCATAATCATCAAAACTGCATGGTATTGGCACAAGAACAGACATACAGACCAATGGAATCGAATAGAAAATCCAGAAATAAACCCACAGATTTATGGTAAACTAATCTTTGACAAAGGAGCAAAGACTATGCATTGGAGCAAAGAAAGTTTGTTCAATAAATGGTGCTGGGAAAACTGGGTCGCTACATGCAAAAGAATGAAGCTTGACCACTACCTCACACCATACACAAAAATCAACTCAAAATGGATTAAAGAACTAGACATAAGACCTGAAACCATAAAATACATAGAAGGAAATATAGGCGAAACACTACGGGATTTGCACATCAAAGACATCTTTACAGACACATCACCCAAAGCAGTGATAGTGAAGGCAAAGATAAACAGCTGGGACTACATCAAATTAAAGAGCTTCTGCACAGCAAAAGAGACAATAACAAAAACAAAGAGAAACCCCACCAACTGGGAGAACATTTTTGCACCCAACACTAATGATAAAGGACTGATCACAAAAATCTGCAAAGAGCTGATGAGACTCAGCAACAACAAAGAAAATAATCCAGTCAAAAAATGGGCAGAAGAGCTAAAAAGAAACTTCTCTGAAGAGGAAATACAAATGGCCAACAGACATACGAAAAAATGTTCAACATCACTTGTAATCAGGGAAATGCAAATCAAAACTACCATGAGATACCATCTCACACCAGTGAGAATGGCACATATTAAAAAAACTAGCAACAACAAATGTTGGCGAGGATGTGGAGAAAAAGGAACTCTCCTGCACTGTTGGTGGGAGTGCAAACTGGTCCAACCACTATGGAGAGCTGTGTGGAGATTTCTGGACCTACTAAACATAGAGCTTCCATATGATCCAGCAATTCCACTCCTAGGTATTTACCCAAAGGACACATCAATTCCAAAGAGCACCTGCACCCCTATGTTTATAGCAGCACTGTTTACAATAGCTAAGCTTTGGAAACAACCCAAATGCCCAAAAATAGATGACTGGATCAAGAAGATGTGGTACATATATACCATGGAATATTACTCAGCATTCAAAAAAGATAAACACATGCAATTTGCAGCAACATGGATGGCGCTGGAAGGGATCATGCTCAGCGAAATAAGCCAAAAAGAAAAAGAAAAATACCGGATGGTCTCACTCATAGCAGGAATCTAGAAAACTTAAATAAGGGACCAGGAAAATGAATATAAGAAAGTGAAAATCAAAATCAACAAAAAACTATGAACCAGAGACACTTTTTGGGGGGTGGGGGGCGGGAGGGGAAGGATTGGGGTCAGAATGGGGCGTTTGCAATTGTATGGGGGAATATAAAAATAAAATTTATTATTTAAAAAAAAAAAAAAAAGACAGTTGTCTGAGATTACCTATGGCTACTTCTCTCTAAAGGACAGGATAATTTATCCCAAATGCTAACACCACCACAATTTTCATTGTAGGCAGATTAAATCCTGTGATGAATTAAATAATGTAGTTATATTATGAGTAGCTCAAATCTCTGACTAAATGAATCTATTCTGTTAGAAATTAAGAGAGTAGTTACTTTTGGGAATGCAGTGACCAGTAGGGGCACAAGGGGGAGCTTCTGAGTTGCTGGCAAATTTCTTGTTGGATACCTAACTGTTTAATTTGTGGAAATTCACTGATCAGCAAATACTTAGCTCTTTTTTCCTGAGGCATATTATACTCCAATAGAAAATTGTTTTAAAGCTAATTTTATTTGATGACTGTCACAATTCTACCATATTCTGGAAACAGCTTCCTGCTTTTGTGAGTTGGAAGTAGAGATCAGTATTTTCTCTTTTTGAATTTTAAGCTAAGCTTTTGAGTACACAACCTTATGACCTTGTAGGACAATGCATGCAAGAGTGAAATTCTAGCTAGATATATTAAAAAACCCCAAAACCTCTTTCTGAATACCTGTTTTAACTTCTATATCATACTCAGACGGGGCTGTCTTATAAAAAACAACAGACATTAACCTCACTTTGCAAAGGGCAGCACAGATCAGCCAAAATTAACCAGGTACAATTACTGTTTCATTCAATGTGTTACTATCAAAATTACAAAAAACTAGACCCCTTAGTAAAGCTTCCAAGATATTCTATGGAAACTGCTCTAATTAAGAGCTAAGTTTGTAATTATTAAGTAACTATACATAATGGCCTTCTTAGGAAAATAAACTACTAAATGTTAATTATTTACATTACTAACTTGCTTTCTTTAGAAAATGTGCAAGTGCTTAATTCTAATTACCAATACCCACAATATTTCTGAAATCAAAACCAGTGAGTCTTTATAGTTTTTGCATCTGCAAGAGGAATCGAAGATAAATCTCCCAGGAAACTGGGATTCTTGTGTCAAAAGAAAAAAATGCTATAATTTGAACTTTGCATTTTATCTTTTCTAGTAAACAAGACAAACATTTCCATAAAAGCTGACCCACAGTAGAGTTCAGAAAAGAGACGTTGTAAAAGAATTTAAGATTTAACATGCCAGGAAGTGGTCAATTGTATTGAAACTATAGACTTTGGGGGGGTGAACATACTGTAGTATAAACTGACATTACTTTATACGACTGTACACCTGAAACCTATATGCTATACATATTTTGTCTCTTTTTCAACCTCTTAAAAAGTTCATGAAGTAGGTGACGGTCCAATTTTATTGATATGCAAATTGTTTTAAGAAGTTATGTGGTTGATCCAAAATGGCCAGTGGATAGTGAAGTAACTGGGCACACAGATGGGAAGGACCTAGACTGAAGGAAACAAGAATGGGATTGTGGTTCTGTCACCCACTGCTAAGTGACCTGCAGCCAAATTACATGCTCTTTGAGCCCCAGTTTCCACATCCATGCCAAGGAGGCTAGTATGAAAGTTACACTAGATTATCTTTCAAATTTCTTTAAGTTCCAAGATTCTGTGATTCACCTCTTCCATTAAACATTATGTACTCTCTCACAATTCTCTCAAAAAGGCTTCTCATTTTCCTTAAAATGGCAAAATCTAAATAATTACATGCAATTCTGCTCCCTTGCCCCAACCATTTCAGCAACATAATTTAACCAGCTGTTTTAATTTAACCACTTAATAACACAATAGGTAAAGTACTTCACTTGAAAGAGTAACTTTTCACCAGTAATTGATAAATGAATAAAGGATGAAATAAATGTGAGTCTGTTTTTCTTTAAAGCTCATCAATTTAAAGGGCTAACCTTTATTCTGAAATATCCTGATTTATGAATCCATCTAGTAACTTTTCTAAAATGAGGAGCCAACAGCTGTTACTATTTTTTATGTATTTCTTATTTGGCAGAACAAAAATCTTAGAAGTCTCTCTGCCATTTCTTCAACCTCCGTATTTTTGGAATGGTGGGAAAGTGCTGGTCATTAAACACGAAAGGTGGATGGAGGGCAAGTGAAAGACAGAAAAGAAAAATAGAGTAGACTCCTGCCAATGTGGGTGTCAGGTTCACTTCTGAAACTAGTTTGGTCCAATTCTTCTAATCGGTAAACTCTCTTATCTGTAAAGCAACACTTTAGAGTATATTACCTAAGCATCCGAGAGATTTCCTTCCATGAGTCTCACCCACCCCAACTGAAACTCGGCTTGTCAATCAACAGAACTACTAGATGTCGGGCTAGTATACCCTACAAGTTTAGGGTATAAATCCCAAATCCCAAACGAAAATAAACCACAGCTTCCCGGGGTCCCTTGCACTAGGATGACTCAGGTTGCAGGACACCTCCTTCACCCCCTTCCCCACAGACCCTGGGCACTTTTACTCTTTGACAAACAGCTGCCGGAGGCGGTCCCATCCAGATTCCGGGAGATGGGGTTCGGGGACGTAGGAAGGTAGCTTCTGCTCCTCCGCAAGGGGCTCCGAGTCGGCGGCCAAAGCTTGCGCAGCTAAGACCCGAGGGAAAAGACCTAGCGCCCTGCAGGAGAAGATCCGGGGCGCGGGCGGCCGCACCTCCATGGCCCTCTCCGAGCCTGCGGACATTTGGGTGCTCAAGGCCCTGTCTATCGCCGTGGGAGGAGACTGCGTGTAACGGCAAGAACGAGCCGAAGCGCACCCACACACTAAGTCCGCGGCCACCGCCACTGACACCGTTGCCCTCAGTAGGCGGCCGCACTTAGCGGGATCCCCAACACACGAGACAGGAAGTCCCGCCCCAGGGGCAAAGGTCAGGGGGCAGGCCGAGGGCGGAGCCGAAGTCTCAAACACTTCCGGTCGGAGACTGGCCGGACTTAGGCGGACCCAGCCCGTCCCCCGGAAATGAAGTTGTAGGGCTCAGTTCTCTCCGGCCCCGCCCGGGTCTCGCTGCCTCTGTAGCACCTGAACCCTACAAACCCCGGCCTCAGGCGGGTTCTGGTCGGCCAGACGTGCCCACGGGACGCAATAGTTTAACATACTGACACGCCGGGAATCCCACACAGAAGAACGTGCAGGTATCAGTGCACTACGGAAGTGTGAACTCCAGTGTAAGTGGAGTACGGAAAGGGGAGGATGATTTGCACAAGAGCGAGCCCAACCCGTATCATTCCTACTCCGTTCACTTCTGGGTTTTGAAAGGACATAGCCAGTGAAATTAGGTCTTGGTGCCAGTTACCGTGAGCTTTCTACAGCACTTTATTTTTTTTTTAAAGATTTATTTATTCATACAAAAACTGGGGTGTAAGCCAGAGTTGGGTGGGGGGTGGTGGTGGTGAGAGGATTCACCAGAGACACAGTGGGGAGCAGAACAGGCAGATCTACTGAAATACACTGCTGAGGGGAACAGTGGGCGAGGCAGGAGAGGTCTGCTGCGCCATGTGGGTTGCTCTCTGGCCGGCTGGGGCTCGAACTTGTGCTGCAGTTACTGGCAATGGCTTGATAGCTTGATAGCTGTTTTTAACCCCTGTGCCACCAGGGAGGCCCAATTTCTAGAGCACTTTAAAGGAATCAGCTCTGTTCAGTTCTTCACAAGGTGGGTTTTGCCTACTGCTTCTCAATAGGCATCCAGTTTCTGGAAATTTATCAGGTCTCTGATGGTGCAGCAGTAATACCTTGTCACTACAGACTTCTCTCGCCATAGTTTTTATTAAAATGCCCACATTTGCAATATTCTCAAACAGATCTGTGATTTTATTTAATCTTTGTTAGCAACCATGGCCCTTTTTCTCTGCCAATCCCTATCCCTCTTTTATTCTTTTCTAAATGTAATTCAAAATCGCTACACTGTTTAGTAGGATACAGTGAAGAGTTCTGGAATTTGGGCCTCCCTGGTGGCGCAAGGGGTTAAGTCTTAGCACTGTGAAGCTATCAGCAACCACTGCAATAGCAGTTCTATCCCCAGGCCAGGGAGCTGACCCACATGGCCTTTCCTGTCTTCCCCCCTGCTCCCCTCAGCAGTGTATTTCAGTCAATCTGTCTGTTCTGCCCGGCACTCTGTGTCTGATGAATCCTCTCACTGCCCATTCCCCCACATCCCTGCTCTTGTATGCATAAATAAAATAAATCTTAAAAAAAAAAGTTCTGGAATTTGATCGTTGGACTTCTTGTTATAGCTGAGGCCCAGATAAGTGACTGATCAGTGACTAGCTGTATCAGCAATAGTGCCAGGGAGACAGTGCCAGCAAGTGCTCCCAGCACAGCACTTACTACATTGCGCAATTTCTATTTGCTTATATATCTCAACATATTAATTTTGAGGTCAGAGACCCTAAATATTTATCTCTGTATCTCCAGGACCTAGTGTGGTATGTGATTGTTGAATTCAGATCCTATCTCCCGGCTCTGACTCTAAGTTGCTGCTTAACCCATAGTGGGCACCATGATAAAGTCCCAAGGTCTGAAAGGCCAAGAAAAAGATGCATAATTTGTCTGCTCTACATTTTGAAAAAGTTCAATACTTAAGATAATTCCAATATCATTCTGGGATGAGGGAATTAGGGTGTGAGGTAGAAACTAACAAAATCATTTATATACAATTCACATGCCCACTCACTGTCCTATTGATACAAATGAGGTTATGTTAACAGGCAAACAGGCTAACTCTATAGCTACTTTCTCCTTTGGGTGACTGGAGCCTTGTTTCTAAGTTTCTCTTTGACATTCCTAGTACCTCAGCAAATTTCTGACCCTTGGCCACTGGTAAGCTCTTCTGATTACCCACCTGTCACCTTCCGGTACACCTGTTTCTCCAAACTCATTGGACTTACTACATTTTTTTCTTTTAGCCATCAGGGAAATACTCTTCTACTTGCAGTCTGCTCTTTGTGAAGGTTATCAGAGTGACACTAAGCTGAAGGTGCTGAGATTTACTTGAATCATTGTTTCACGTACAGTGCTCTCCACCTCCAGATGTAACAGCAGAGTAAAGGCATCTGGGAAGGATGTCAGTGCAGTGACCACATTGGGCCTGGAACTACCGCTCTCCTACACTCAGCCCTTGTTGTGGAGTTGCGCTCATAGAATCCAATAGTTTCTTCCTCCAAAATGAATTTTTGCCCAGGGGTCAGATGGTTTCCTTTCCCTGCCAGGTTCATGGGATATGGCCTCTACTGCATGTATTATATATTAATTATATTATATTATGTTAGTTATATGATATGTAACATGCAGTGTTCCTATAGGTAGAATGAACTGAGAACTCTAAGGATCACTTAATTTACTCATTTCTCAAAGTGTAACTTGAGTTTTACCTCCATAAAGTTTCTCATCTTCCCATATGGAAATTTCTTCTTCCTCTAAAATCCAAGTCTACATTGTCTTTATGAATTGACCTTATGATTAAGACCTCATGTCTCCTTAATCACCTTCCACCTATGCCTCTCATATTATCACTTATTTTATCATATCAATGACAGGATCCCTTGATACTAGGGAGCCGGTTGTAAACATTTTCCTGTCTTCCACTGTTTGTACACAGTAAATGCTGAAGAAGCATTTGATAAATATTGAGTAATTTGTCATTGTACCCCTCTGCCTCAGCCACAACACTTTATCTCTGGAGACAGTAGTATTACCTTAAATGAAAGCATCTTTAGACTCCCAGGAATATGGGTTTTTATGTATCTATCCGTGCACTTGTCTGTAGTCAGCATAGGGGTGAAGGGTAGGAAACTGTCCTCATTGGAGCTGATCCATAGGTTCTCATTAAATGTCTTCTCTTGGGGATCTTGGGCTGAGAGAGAGCCTGGCAGTCTTGGAACTGCACACAGCAGCACTCTAAAGACAGACCAAAACTCTTGCTCTAGTTATACCCTGCCAACTGCTGCAAAACTTATGTAGATTCTTCAAGATGCCCTCATGCGGCAGCCTCTGCCGCTGAACACCAGTGAACTTACTGGAAAGAGGGAGGCTTTCACTCAGACACATCAGAGTGAGTAAGACCCCCTTCCCCTGCGTGCTGGACTGGACAGTCAATGACGGGTAAGATCGGGGGCAGACTAAAGAAGGCACTGGCCAGCCTCATGTCTGTGACTCCTGACGACCTAAGACAGGCGCAGTCCCCGAGGGGCTTCATTATGATAAACTTTGGCGTTCAGATCAAACAAGGTCTACATGCCTATAAGCCTAATTTAGGCAACAAGCCCGCAGTAATTAACCCCTCCTTTGATGGAAACAAGGCTGCTAAGAACGTCACCTGCAAACAAGCCTGATGGAATTACCTACAAAGCAGTTTTACCATTAATCAGATAGCCATTGTTTCAGAATAAGTAGCAACCTAGCAACCTGTCTATAATCATACTACTTTTTCACTTACTTTGCTTTTTCTTTATATGTGTACAATCAGTTTCAGGAAATGCATGATAAAGAAAATAGCGTGTGGCAATAGTAGTTTTATAATAATCATAATACTTCTCACATGAGACAACACCATAAAAATCAAAATGCTTACGTAGAGAATATATTGCTCGTGATCACTAAAAGTAGAAGGTGCCAGTAGGTAAATATCAATGTTTTTGATCATTGTGGTTTTGGGATACGAATCAAGAAAAGCTAGCTTAAAGAATGCTGTTCGGTGTAAGCTAAAATGATTGTGTAGATTCAGTACCTTGAGATTGTTTACTGTGCCATGTCATGGAACAGCAATCACATGCACATAAATAACAAAGTAAATGTCTTATGCCTTACAAAGTATTTTATGCTGAGAAAGAATTAAATTGTATGAAATCATCCATTGTTAAAAAAGGTATAAAAGTGTATGATGATTTTGAGCAAATTACATTCAGATCTTCACTCTTGAAGTGTGTCTGTCTGTCATTTATGTGTCTGTCTGTCATTTATGCGCCGATTCCTTGAGCATCCTCACAGTTTCTCAATCCTGAGACAGTCCTGCAAGTCTACCGCTGCGCTGGTTCGCGGCACCCTCACATCTTTTTAATAATATTTTTGCTTGAATTTGCTAGAGGCAGTTTCAGTTCTTGGCAGCTAGGAGAAACTAACTGAAGAGTGCAGAATAAGGTGTGGGTACTGACAACATCACATAGATGACACTCCCCAAATAAAGGAAAAACAGTATTTGTGTGAGTTGAGTATCTTATTTCATTCAATTAAACTAAATCATTCTCTTTCCTTGAAGAGAAGTGTGGGTTTTAGCCCTCTAGCAAGTCATTAACATCAAACAACAATCTTCAAAAATTATGGGGTTAAAAAGTATTTTCAAAGACATACATTTTACATATTGCTACACACCATCCTCATACTATCTACACTGAGACAAACAAATAAACACGTATAAAATCTGAGTAACATTTGCTATGTTTAAATACAAAGATGCCTTACTGACTCTTCAAAAAGCAGGTGAGAATTTACATTGATTCAAATCTATTAGGCTTATCCAGTCCTTGGAACCAATGGCTGGGCGGTCTGTAACTAGGATCTAGGTAAGCCAACCATATCCTTCCTTCTTTCCTCCCTCCCTTCCATCTTTCCTCCCAACAATTCTTCAGTATCTACTCTGTGCGAGGCACTATACTGGATAATGGACACATAAGATGAGTAAACATGATTCCCTCCCATCAAAAGCTAACAGGACAGAAGGAGAAAGTCAACTACAGTGCAACGTGGTATCATATGATACAGATATGAGCAAAAGTATAACGATAGCCCCTAACTGCCTAGAGGAATGAAAGAAAGAATTCAGAAAGAAGGTATCGCTTGAGCTAGAACTTGAAACACTCACGGAAAATGTAGATTCAGCTCCTAATCCAAAGGATGGAAAATTTTGTTCTAGTTTACTGAGAGGAAAATTAAAATATGAAGAAAACGATCCTAAATACTAGGGACTCATCGTTACAAAGCAAAACCATGGTACCACTCAGAAATCCAGACTGCTTATTGTCAGACTTATAGCACCTAAGGACATTGTCCCCATAATTTTTTAGCTCAAAAACAAAAAAATCTAACTTTAAATATCTGCCTTATTCCATGCAATGATCCTACTAGGGATATTCCACTCATTATGAAGTTCCTTAGACTTAAAATTTTGTAGAAGGGTGTTAAAAAGGCCAGATACAATTCTTACAAATAGAATAAAATTCCAGATTTTATATGACTGACTGTCAGTCATGCCTACTAATTTTGAAACCAGTTAATACCAAACAGTTCTTAAGAGGCAAAGGAAAAGAGTAGATTTATCTGTGGAAAAGTTGGGCCTAAGGGACAAGGATGATTCTGAGTTACCGGGCTATGTTGATTTTAATAAAAAAATTTTTTTTCATCTTTGAAAGAGACAATGTTAGGGAGAGCACCCTGAGAGATTAAACTACTATCCAAATGTCTTTTCCGATAATAGAAAAGGAGGTACTCTAGCATGGATTTGGATTGACACAAATATCTCCTATAGAAGTAAGTGCTAAAGTTGAATAAACTCTCAACTTAATGATATTTGGCATATGAAGGCCCCATGAGGTCCCGGCAAGACATGGACATCAATTTGATAAGGAAAAATACTAAGGGTTTGCAAAGAGTGAGGAAGAGTTGCTGTTTTACAAACAGTTCCTTTAAAGAGAGGAGACTACTTCCTAAGATTCTGAAAAGGTTTTTGTCTTGTCTTTTCTTTTCTTTTTTTAGAGAACATAAACAGAAGGTGTGAAGGCACCAAAAGGGAATTTGAAATCCAGTTGCAGTAATCACTCATACAACTGGCCCCTTGCTATATAGATCATAGAAACCTCCTGAGTACCAAAGTTAATGCTTTTACAAAAGAAAACTCCTATATCATTGCATGGCATGACTATTGCTTCCTTAAACCTTTCAGGAAATGATTCCCAAGTATTTTTCACAAACCCTTATAAGGATTCCTATTAAAATATAATGATGGAGATCAAGCCTAGGATAACTGCAGAATTGTGATGATAAGTTGCAGTAGTTCCAAATGATTAATTTTCTGCTCCAAGTAGTGGGCCAAAGGCCATCATCCCATTGAATCAGTCAGTTTCACAGTGATGGATTTACACATGTGGATGATCTGAGGCACAAGCTGTGATTGGTCTAAGAAAATGAGAGGTTGAATTGGGTTCAAAGCCCACATCTTGTGATTTCTGGTCCTTATTCAGTCAAAGCATTGATCTGCTTCTTATCTGTATTATATTTCTTGACAGTCATTCTGGATGCAGCATGATAAGGAAAACCAAGTAATTGGCTTGATAAGAGTATTCAAGGTATAGGTGCAACACTCATGGTAAGCTTCTCACCACAGGATATCCAAGATCTGCTACCATAGAAAGGACTATGACCCAGTGATGACTCCTAGAGTTCAGTTTTCAAGATTTTGGGAATAATCTGATCATAGCCTTTCCTTCTTGTTACATTATAGGACAAGAATTTAGAGTATTCCGTCAACAGGTTCTCCCAGTAACAGGTGATGTCATCCATCTGCAAGTGGTTCATAATAAACTGGCTTCCCCTGGAGACAGATTAACAAGAACATTTAAAGCACAACATTAAATAATACAGCATACATTTGAGTATATCAAGCACCATTCAGAGAACTTTACATGAATTAACTCATGTGATACATAGACCAATTCTATAGGCGTTGAATTTATACACATGCATTTAGCAATAGAACTTCACACTTTTTATTTTTACAGTCAATGTTCAAAAAAAGTATTCATTTTAACTACTTCAAGGTCTTCAGTCTATTTATCTAAAGGATGGGCTTGGGGCTTATGTTGATGAGTACTTTTCCCCCAAGACAGCTTTAGCTCTGATTTATGTCTGTATATTGAGGATGAAACCGGATTATCACCATAGTAACAATATTCATGTAACTTTAGCTTGGACAAAATGAGGATGATAAAGTGGAAAAGGAAAAATGAACAGAATTTACCTTTCAGCAATTTCTTGAGCTACATCATCATTTGCTTTTACAAACTGCAACAGCTCTCTAAAATGAAAAGAATTATTAGACTCTGATTATAGACCATGCTCACTAGTATCAAGTCAGAAAGACCATCAATTGAGATCTATGGTTAATTTTAGATATGCGGATAGTGGATTATTTCTTTTTTTGAAAGAAAGATATCACAGTCCTCACAGAAACATAATAACAACAAAAAGCCCACACACAGGCTAAATACAGCCTGTTTTATGTTTGGGATGTGTTTGAGAAAATAGGGAAATGTTCAATGATACACATCAAAAATCAATAGTAAGAAAAAACTGCCTGTATCCTGCTCTGGCTGCCAGAAGAGAGCACTGGGCTCACCTTGCTGGTCCCTCTCCATACCTCTTCCTAGTGCCTCCCATCATAAAAAGAAATTTACCTCAGCTTCCCTGGGGTCAGTTCTCACTCCTTTAACAATATAACAAGACTGAATATTCCCATCTTCAATAACACATATTTATGTGAACCCGATAAGTAAAAAAAAAATCTTTCAATAGAAAAAGTCATCAGAAATAATGCCTTAAGTGGGTAAGACTTAGGGACAGACTATGGGAGCTTTTAGAAACTCTGCTTGGGGGAGAGCTGCTTACTGGACATTGGAGAGGTCTGTTTTGACTGGGATATAGTGAACCCATGGCTTCAGCTGTGGATAGAAGAATTCCAACCACTCATCACCAACGTGGAAAACAAGTGAACCACAAAGGAAGAGGTGTTTGAATCGGAAACTTGCAGCTACACCTCGAAAATTAAAGAGATACCTGGGAAAGAAAGAAAAACATACTTGATATTATATTCCTACTGCCATAGAAAGGACCATTTCTTCCTCATTCCCTCTCCTCTTCCTTCTTTTTATAACTCCTCTCCCTTCTCTTTCAATTTTTAGTTTTCAAGGACACAGTAATATGTCCTTGTGGAGTTTCTGTTAAATTCTTAATTCTCTAGGGGCTACTGGTTTTTCCTGGGAATGTTAGGATGAGGAGGAACAGGAGATACGTTGCCCAGGCACAGTAGATAGGACCAGGAGCTGGATGCTGGATAGAAATGATACAAAACTCAGATGAAAACAGTATCTAATCTTTTCCTACAAACTTTTTAAGAACTAATGGGCCCACAAAAGTTTGTTTTTCCCATAAGGTAGTCCATCTGGTTAAAGGCATCCCTTGTTCCCTGTTCCTTCTCTTGAAGTCTGGAGAGAAGAACAAGTATACCTAATGTATCTTTAAAAAAAAAACAAAAAAAAAAACCCTGGAGAAGAGCTAACTTAGGAAAGAACATTTTCTTTTCCATGCATGCACCCTTGTCTCCAACCAGTTACTTTTAAACTGTAGTTCCCAAGGTGCAGTGTAGTCAGTACTCACCCCTCTTAATCCCCCCATAGCCCTCCACTTGACCTGCTTTTACTGTTCATCAAATTCTTAGTCTGGCATTTAATTATAATATTTTAGTTATATATTTTATATTCATGTTGAACTTTAAACTATTTTATTAACCTGGTCAAAACTTAGTCTAACTTTAGTTATTGGCCTGGCGGGATGTTGGAGAGAGGGAATTCCATCCCATTATTCATTAGCACACAGCACACAAACTCTATGGAAGCAGGAGCCATATCTCATTGTCGCCACAGCACCCACAGAACTCATGTCAGAGTCTTGGATGCATTAGACCCTCAGTAACCAATAGGTATGAAAATTAATGAGACTTTGATAATCCCCAGCTGAGTCCTAGTTCTCATCCAAATTGAAGCTATTTGAAAAGCACTATGGAAGTCTTACTTGTATTTGCAGTGGTCCACAAGATGGACGTCCTTAGCAGCTGGCTTTCCCAAGGTATCCTTTAAATAAAAGGAAGTTAGTAATAATAGAAACAGCAGCACTTAGTGAAGACCATTGTGCAGCAAACATTGTTCAACATTTCATCAACATGACCTCATTTTAGCCTCTGAATAAACATACTCAGCAGGGTTATTATCCCATTTTATAGATGAAGAAGCCAAGGCTTCAAGAAGTTGGGAGACTTGCTCAGGGTCATATGGCCCTAAACAGAAGAGCTAGAGTTTTAACTTGAGTCTGTAAGCCCTCCTGAAGTCAAGTGGATCCTCATCTGGACTCAGGTCACGGCTGCAGCACATTTCCCTCTATGTAGATTATACACAATTGGTCACAAGTGGTGGCTGGTGGACTTTGAGGTATAGCCCCCACACAGGTTTTGTTGGTCACATAAAGTAATTAAAAACAACTATTCAAACCATTGCCAACATTTATACATGGTAGGCTATTTCTTAGCAAAAGAATCCAGATTTCCAACTTTTCTTGTAAAAAGAAAAAGAAAGAGCTGGTTCCTTTAGAAGTGGGCTCCTGTGCCCTTGGCAGCAATGACTAAACCTTTAGTGCACTTTTCTGTGGCCGCTGAAGGCATATAAGTTTGAGACCCCTATCTGTAGTCAGCCACCTTAGCAAACTTGTCCTCTTTGCATCTTTCCACAGTTGATGATTTAGTTAATGGATACATTTTTCATGTTTTACTTTTTTAAAAAAAACTCCTTAAACTTCATTGGTTTCTGTTTGGTTTCAACTAATAAATTTAGGCATCTCTGGTAGACTTAGCTATTTCCCCAAGAAATTTAAGCCTTTTTCAAATATCATCCTTATGTGATATATGGAAATTTCAGATGAGGACATTTAGGCCTTAAAGGTCTTTGTACAAGGCAAGAAGTCATAGACTTAAGAGGATAGAGATGGACTCCAAACTGAATGAAGTTGCCAGTCATTAATGGTTTCTCCTTAAAGTCACTTGGGAATTTTAAACAAAAGATGTCTAGATCCTATTCTTAGAGATTCTTTTTTGTTGTATTTTTTTAAGCTTTCCAGTTGGTATTATACAGCTAAGGTTGAGAGCTACTGTTTAAACCAGGAACTGGCCAACTACAACCCACAGGCCAAATCTGCCCATTGCTTGTTTTTATGTACAACCAACAAGCTGAGGATATTTTTACCTTTCGAACAACTGAAATAATTCAAAGAATATTTTATGACACGTGAACATTACATGAAATTCAAGCTGCAGTGCCATAAATCAAGTTTTACTAGAACTCCACTTACATACTGTCTGTGGCTACTTTCCTGCTGATGGCCAAGCTAAGGTAATAACAGAGACCAAACAATCTGTAAAGCCTAAAATATTTACCATCTTGCCCTTTAAATAAAATGTTTGTGCTCTGTGGTTTAAACCTTCAAAGTAGCATTATAGTATTACTAGTCATACCAGGGGCCAGAAAAGCAATGTGAGTTTGAAAAAAATAATTTACGTATATGCTAATTCTAGCTCACAGAACCTTCTCTACATTCATTCCACGACTGAGAAGAACCTAATCTGAAGTTCTACCCAGATGGCAATGTACTTTGAGTGAGAATGTTCACTGCTGTAGCTCTATTCAGAAGGCTGGTGATTACTTTCATAGATTTCCAGGCCTGGTTTTTGGTGTATTCTGCATCAACAAGTTTTGGATTTTTCCGAGATAGAAGAATGAGAGGATCTCGTTCTGGACTTGTCCTATAAAAGAAACACATGACATAAAGCTATGGTACCTACACCACAACACTATTCCCAATCTCTGAAAGGTGAGCAGGACTTGGACCCAATGCAATCACTCTAGGTACAGACGGACAACTCCCCACTGTAACAGTAGTGACTGGATATTGAATACTGCAGCATCTGGATGGTCCTGTGCTGTTCCCCACTTTACCCTTCAAGGATGGGGAGTATTTTCCCTTTCTTTGTTTGCATTTAGTCTTTAAGGGTATATTGTTCCAGTCACTATAGCTGTATCTCAGAGAAGATCTCTCTCTTAAGAGTTGGGTGTTGATGGGGGGTGTGGGTTGGAAGGATCACATAGAGGCTACAATCACTGGTACCATAGCTCTTTGACTAGGTAATCACCACTTATCAAAATAGTAACATGGATTTTGTTGTGTATGCGCTATGAGGTCCAGTATGATGATTAAGAATAAAAACAAAGGGCTTAATAACCTGAAGACTATATGTAGAAAAATATCCTAGTTATGGTCCAAGTAGCAGATAGTCATGATATATGAAGCGGGGGAGGGCCATAGACCCCCTGCTGAGAATCTGATGAGAATTGTGGAACCCTCTTTCCAGAAAAATGTAGCACAACCATATAATTTCAAGGAAGTTCTAGAATTCTTGGAGCTCACACATGGACCCAAAGTTAAGAATCTGTGATCTCAAGATTTGAGAATCAGAGAAGTTAACAGTGAGCAGTAAGCAGTAACTGTTCAGCCAGTCTGCATCCTGAATTTCATTGCCCAAATAACCAGGGTGCAATCTCAGACACGGTCTCATTGAGAATGCTACAAAACTCTTCTCTCTTCACATTCATATGTTCAATAGATATTCACTGTGTGTCTATGTACCAGACAATAATCTTGGCATTGGGCATATGCTGAAAATAAAGAGTCCTTTCTCAATCTCTTCCCTTTTCTTCTTCTCCCTCTTCCCTGCTTCCCTCTCCATTTCACCTGACCCAGTTTGTGATCTCCACCACTATCTGGCAGCCACGCGGTCTGAGGAAAAAGGCAGTCAGGAGATCTAGTGATGGTTTCTCTTCTGTATCAACTATTAGAGTGACTATGGGCAATCATAAGCTACTCCTAGGAAACTGCAGGTTCTTAGGCAAGAGACTCATCCATCCTGTTCAATCTTATATCCTCCCTGTCCATCACGCTCATGGCACTCTGTAAATAAATTTGGATGGATGAAACTTTCCTTCTTTGAATTTCAATTAAAATCAGAGAGATTTCAACAAACAACTTGAGTTCTTCTCTAGTTTAAAAATTCTGTGATTCTGTTTATTTCCTTAGTTATCTAAGTTTTCTCTTTGAGCTAAAGTTCTTTACTACCTCAAAACTGCTTATATTTTACACAATAATTGGAAGAATACATTTGTAAAATATCAGAAAATATAATCACCTTGATCCTCGGAAATATGCTGTGGAATTTTTCTTTTTCCATGGCCACTGTGCTGCTGACCTAAAAATAGATTTTGATTAGTTTCTATGTTTTTTCCTTAACTACACAGGGATATGTTTTAACCATTTTAAATAAGTCCAATCCAGGCTACTCAAAAGAAAAAGTCCCAAATAATATTATATTCCCTTTTCTTATTGCTTCTTTCCTCTAGAGGTACTAACTAAAATATCGACAAATCTATTTCTCCATGTATAAGTTAACAACATTAAGAGAAACATTCCTAAATCCTAAATGACAAGTTTAGGGGTGTTTAACTCAGCACAATGAGGATTTCTTCTCTACTTTAAGTGGAATACTATTGATTAAAATTAATACAAAGAGTATCACAGCAACTATCAGAAATTGAATTAAAGCAAGAAAACAAGTCACTCCCTGACTTCATGTTTTGGATATATAGGTGATATTATCAGATTTAGTCCAAAGCAACCTGGCATTCTTGAAACTGTTCTAAGTGCTCTATAAAGACAAAGTCCCTGAAACTCAGGCCTCAGTACACATTACCATGACCAGCTTTCCTTGCTGAAACTGCTAGCTCACAGGTGCATCATTCTGAATGTTCTTCGTAGGAACCCTGCACAGAAGTTTGTGCAGTGTCTTCCTCTGAAAAAGGGGGAGGAGGGCTAAACTGAAGTTAATGAAGGATTGGTGGACTATTTACTATAATGGAGAAACTTAGGACACAAACTTCACAGATATATACGTTGCCACATTTTTCATCTTCTCTCAGCTGAGAGCATGTTTTATTTTTCCAGCCCTTTCTCCCAGGATCAGAGGTACCTGGCTATCTAGTCCAAAACTATCCTCAGAGCATCTCTTGCTCTGCCCTGTAGCACTGGGGTTTTTTCAATGGAAAAATGATGTATGTGTATTATAAAATTCTAATAGAAAAGCATAAAAGTAAAAAAAATCATCTGGAACTTCTCCACCCACGGAAAACCACTTTTAACACTTTAATGTTTCAGTGAAGAAATTTTTCCCAATCACTTCTCTCCTTATCAAATCTCACCTGGAGGTGATTTTGCCCTCTGCCCCAAGGGACATATGACTATGGCTAGAGACATTTGATTGTTGTCACTCTTGAGGAATTACTGCTGACATTTAGTAGCATCCTACAATACATACAATACATAGCCCCCTACAACAAAGAATGATTCAGTCCAAAAGGCTACTAGGACCAAGATTAAAAAACTTCATTCTATATAACAGAGATCATACCATACATACAATTAGATAACATTTTTATTAAGATGTATATTATAGAGAACAACCAGAACACCTATATAGCACTTACAATGTTCCAGACGCTATTCTAAATGTTTTATACACACACTAACTCATTCTCACAATTGTATGTGGGTTTTTATTATTCCTGCTTTACATTTGAGGATCTTGAGAAGTTAAGCAAATTGATCAGAGTCACACAGCTAATAAGGTTTGAACACACAGTCCCTGTTTTTAAACACTAGCCTACCCCTACTTTCGATTCACGCACAGTATTACATTTAATAGCCTGGTCATATTTCATTTCATTCCTTACTGATGAAATTTGGGTGATTTCCAACTTTTTACCTAAAGAACCAACACTATAGTGAATATCCTTGTACAACTGTCTTTACACAGTTATGAAATTAGCTTTTCAGGATAAATTCTAGAAGTGAAATGGCTGAGTTAAACATTTGAAATTTTGACATATATTGTGAAATTACCAAACCGAAAATGTATCAATTTATACTCAAATTTTAACTATAAATTTCCTTGATCTGTGGGAAGTACATAATATAAACAGACCTGATTTCCCGCTCCTTCGATCTTCTCACCCACCTCCCCAGCCTCAGAAGACCTATGTTAGAACTTTTATCCATGAAGTGCTAACAGTGGCCATGACAGCCTGGTTCTGCCCCAGCTCTCTTTCATAAACCACTGCTCACACCTCCTCAACAGTAGCGTGAAACCTTTAAATTCACAAGGACAATGAACTTTTCTAAAGATTGAGAATTAAGTCAGAGGAGATAAACTCACAAAAGATCATAAGAAAAGAAAAATGACAGCAGAAATAAATGAATAAACTAGCAAATTTTTATAGTTTCAAGGTAAGAAATGAAATCAAAAGCTTAAAGATTCTGAATGGAGGATTCTAAAGAATAAATTTGCAGTTCTATAATCATTAATAAAATAAATTCTACTGGAGAACAAAGGGAAAAGTACCAAAAGGAAAATCTGTTCATATGAGGTTAGATTTTAAAACATATTCTATATCCCTAAAAATTGCTTATTAGTTTAAAAGGGGGAAACCAGTAACTATGCAGTAGGGGAAATAGATAATACCATGACTAAGTGAGCAAAGTTAACACCATTAGAAAGGTGCAAATGGACACAAAATCACTGATGTAAGTAAGTATTTGGCCCACAATACTTAAATTTATTCTAATCATGAGGAAATAGACAAAACCAAATGGAAGAACATTCCACAAAAAAGTGGACTTTAATTCTTCAAAATGTCAATGTCATGAAAGAGAAAAGACAGACTGAGGAGCTGCTCCAGATAAAAGGAGACTAAAGTCAAATGACAAGTAAATACATGACCCTGGGCTGTGCCCTACACTGGAGGTGAAATAATTATTAAAGACATTATTGGAACAATTAAGTGTTGTATCAATATTGTTTCCTGACTTTGATAATTGCAGTTTAGCACTAAAATATAAAGGGGTAAAACGTGACAAGATATGCATACTCCCAAATAGTCCAAAAAAACATAAATGCATGTATTACATACACACTCAATGTCCATCAAAAGAAATAATGAAGTAAATTATTATCCATTCAGTGGAATACTATGCAATTGTTAAAAATAATGAGGTTCTTTTATATGTACTGACATGGGAAGATATCTAAGACATAAAAATAGGTGGGGGGGAAGTTACTTAGGTTAAATATATTTATAAATTTTTAAGCGCATATGTAAGTTTTATAATCAGAATTGAAAGAAAAGACTGCTACAAAGGCATGCTGATATTTGCAGAGTAAGTTCTTCAGCTCTTTTTCTATGGATACATAATTTTTTTACACATAGAAAATTGCTTATACTATAGCTATTTTGTCTTTTATTTTTAACTTAAAAGTCAGTCATTTTAAAATAAATGTTTATACTCTACTATTATTTTGAGAAAACCCATAAAGAGGGATAAATAAAACCTTTCTAAAGGACTTACCTTACCAGATCTTCTCTGAAGAGGTCCCACCGTCCAAGACCCGTAGGATAAATTGGCCAAACAGCAGGTCCCCCTTCCCAAAATGTCCATGCAGGATACATGATATCATGGTACTCTGATGTCTTCAACAGAAGCAGAAACACTGTTCTTAATCAGTCTCAGGTCAGAGTAAGAAGAAACAAACTAAATCTATGCCACAGTAGCCCGAGTATTACACTGCCAAACATGTATTTTCCCTAATTTTCAAAGTCTGGACCCTACCTATGAAAAAGCAAAAGTGACCATGACTTATGATTCATACGCTCACAGAATCCCAGGATTTGAAATCCCATTAAAGGTCAACTTTTCCAGTTCCCCAAAGTTCTGTTTTTCTAGCAAACACAAACTAAACTAGGGTTTTAGTTTAATGAAATAATATAGCGAATTTGAATGATCATGTAACTCTCTCATCTTTGAACTGCTGTTACACCGAAAGTGTGCACTGTCTCACCAGCTCTAGGTTATTTCCTAGTCCTAGTTTATTTCTTGTATTTTTAAAGCGCAAGAATCAGGAAATAACAATGCAAAGATTAAGAGTACGGTTTCTTAAGTAGATCATCTGAGTCTGAATGCTGACTTTTTCAATGCCTTTGTTTCCTTATCTTTGCAATGGAGAAAATAATAATAATGTTATCTATCAAATTGGCTTATTTTGAATATCAAATGAGTTACTACATGTAATAATCTTCCAATAGTGTCTGACATATAGCAAAGATTCAGTAAGTATTAGTATTACCTACCACTGGAGCACTGTTGAGGTCACATTGGTGGGTTAGTAAATTCATGGTTATGTACTGATCAAGGTCAAAAAGTGCCAATGGACAGAATGGAGGTAAAGAGAATTATCCCACATCTTTGAAAAAAATTTGAAACCGCTTGTTCCTTTTTTATGGTTTTTCTGTCAAAACTCAGGCCACTGATAAACCTCTAACTGTACTGTTTCTTCTTTTTTTAATTGAAGTAACACTGTTTCTTCTAATGGAATTACACACACAATATGTTATTTGCCTTTTCTCAAATATTTAAGAAATGGTATGCAATTCATCAAGCACCTCAGACAAAAGAGCTGCTCAACAGAAGCTGCATGATTAACTATGAAATTGACAGACTAAAATCTCTCCCTTGTAAACCAGGATTTAAAAACAAAAGGAGAGGAAAGTTAGACTAGCAATTGTCATACTTTATTATTCATATAAACAAGAGATAAATAATAGAAAGTCCTTACTGACTTACATGGGAACCTCTATCTGTTCTCCTGGGAGGGTTTCATGAAACACAAAAGGGCCAAAATCATTTGAGAAACAAGGTTAAACCACGGGAAGTGCAAAACAAATATGGCCTCAGCCCACTTGCAATACAGGAAATAAACCATTCTAGAAATGAAAGTAAACTGTGATAAAGAAAAAGCAAGGATAAAAGTCTCCTTGCTTTGGAGAAACTGAAACAAGAGATGGTGTTCCCTTTCCCAAAGTCCACAGGGTTTTCCTAAACTCATTCATCCACCTAGAATCTTCTATCTACTCTCTTCCAGCTACCCACCCCACCCCAAATGGTCTCTAGGGAACCAAAGCCCAACCTGCCAACACATCATTTGTGAGATCTGAAGCACTGACAAAATACTAACTTTCCCAAGTTCCCCAAGCCCACAGGTGAGTCCTAACACTCATATTCTTCAACTAGACCCAGGGATCACATTTTACATAACCATCTTGAATATCTCAGGCCTATGCATTCAGTTCACTGTTTGGATGCAAACTGCAAGGAGTTACCTGACACCTTCAATTTCAGTGCTAGACATGTTGGGTCCCTGGGATACAGTAAAAGATGTGGCAGAGGATACCCAATGCTATGGCTGATACATACATTGAAGGTACTTAACAAGTGTTCTTTTAATGAAGGTATTCCCCTACTCCAAGCTCATGAACTTTCTTGAGCCACTCTCTTCCACTCTGTAGGATTGCTGAACCTCACCTCTACGTCCTACAGGTTCCTCGGGTCGCTCTCATTCTCTACCCCCCACCCCTAGTCCTATAGGCACTTAAGCAATCTTACATCATTTACAAGTCCTCAGCCTCATTTCTTTAATCTTACTGCTCAACTAGTGTGAAGTTAATAGGGTCAGAGACCCATTCCTTGGCCTCAAGCCTCATGCTCACCATCACTCATCAGACTGTCACAGGACACTCATTTCATGTTCATATACTAGAAGCCCACTCTTCAATCCCCCATATGGTTCTTTCTGTGCTTACCTTACTGAAGGAGAAGATTGGAATGGCAGGTTCCATCCATTTAGGAACCTGAGGATAATCTCGAACATTGATCACCATCTCCATGTCAGGGAGGCGCCCAATGACTTCCAAAATAAAGTGTTCTACACCACTACACCTGCCGACCAGAGACACCACAAGTTCACCAGTTTCTTGCAAAGACATTATTTTTATTGCCACAATAATTCTCAGTTTATGAGGAAAGGTAAGAAACATTACATTATCTTCTACCTGAATACAGAACGCTATCAAAATCAGTTTTGCAAGTCAGAAAAAAAGTGTTATGTACAGAGTCAAGAAGATAATGATAGCTTTCTGACTAGATGCCCCAGGAATCCTTAGAGGATTTCCTGAAGAAAGAGAAGATACACAGACAGCTCTGCTGCATGCCCTCCCCTGCCTCTACTGCTATCCTTTGAGGTCCTGACAAGCACTATACTGAGAATAGCATTCCAGAGCTTGACCAAAATTTTCTAGCAGCATGAAATGACAATTTTAAAATACTATTTATATGTAGGGAAATAACTACAAAGAATATCAATGTTTCTTTTCAGCAAATACCAACCAAGAATATTTACTCTGCAAAGCTCTCCTTCCTCTACAAAGAAAAAATATGGACCTTCTCAGACAAATAGAAACTTCAGAAATTCATTACAACTAAACCCCCACTCCAAAAAATTCTACAAGAAGTCCTAAAGCCAAAACCAACAGAGGAATGAACAAGAACAGAATAAAGCAAGGAATAAAATCACAAAAAAGACAAACAAAATGGCAAACACAGATGCCAACTTATCAATATTAACTCTAAATGTAAATGGATTAAACTCATCAGTAAAAAGACACAGAGTAGAAGGCTGGATTAAAAAACAAAATCCAACCTTGTGCTGTCTCCAGGAAACACATTTAACCACAAAGATAAACACAGACTGAAAGTAAAAGGTTGGAAAACAATCCTACAAGCAAAAAAGAAGGCAGGAACAGCCATACTTTTATCAGATGAAATAAACTTCAAATTAAAAAAAGTAAAAAGAGGGCCTCCCCGGTGGCGCAGCGGTTGAGCGCTGGGTTGCGAAGCTGCCCGCAGCCTCTGCAGCGCCGGTTCGATCCCCGGCTGCTCCCCAGCCACCAGAGGAGGGTCCCACATGGCGCGCAGACCTCTCCTGCCGCCCGCTGCTCCCCTCAGCAGTGTACTTCGTTCCTTCTGCCTGCTCTGCCTCCTGCTCTGGCTCTGGTGAATTCTCTCACCCTCCCGCGCTCCTGACTGTACCCAGTGCTTGTATAAAAAAAAAAAAAAAAAAAAAAAAAAAACCAACCAAAAAAAAAAAAAAAAAAAAAAAAAAAAGTAAAAAGAGACATAGATGGACACTACATTATGATCAAGGGGACAATACATCAGGAAGATATAACACTCATCAACATATACTCACCAAATGAAGGGGCACCAAAATATAGTAGACAATTATTATCACCTCTGAAAACAGATATTAAAGAAAATACATATATAGTGGGAGACTTCAACACCCCACTCTCACCAATGGACAGATCAACGAGACAAAAAATAAGCAAAGACACTAGAGCCCTAAATAAAGACATAGAACTCAAGGACTTAACAGACATCTATAGGACACTGCACCCAAAAAAATCTGAGTACACATTTTTCTCAAGTGTGCATGGATCATTCTCCAGAATCTATCACATACTGGGCCACAAGACAAACATCAACAGATACATGAAAATCAAAATCATTCCAACCATCTTCTCCGATCATAAAGGTATCAAGCTAGAAATAAATCATGAACAGGAAACAAGGAACCTTCCCACTTCATGGAGATGAAATCCACACTACTGGAAGACCACTGGACTATTGAGGAGATCAAAGAAGAAATTAAAAAATACTTTGAGTTGAATGACAAGGAGGATACCACTTTCCAGAATGTATGGGATGCAGCAAAAGCAGTAATAAGAGGAAAATATATAGCAATACAGGCTCACATCAACAAACAAGAAAGAACTCAAAAACAACCTAATCTCACATCTCAAAGAACTAGAAAAAGAACAACAAAAAAACCCTAAAGCCAGTAGAAGAAAGGAAATAATAAAAATCAAAGCAGAAATAAATGAATTAGAAATTAAAAAACCAATCCAAAAGATCAATGAAACCAAAAGTTGATTCTTTGAAAAAATAAACAAAATAGACAAACCTCTAGCAAGTATCACAAAGAAGAAACGTATAAACAGGAGAAAAGAAAAAAAATGTATAAAAAGGAGAAAACACATATAAATAGGATTATAAATGAAAGTGGAGAGATCACAACAGACTCAGTAGAAATCAAAAGAATAATAAGAGATTACTATGAACATGTATACACAGACAAATTTAACAACCTAGAAGAGATGGACAAATTCCTAGAATGATATAATCATCCAAAGCTGGACAGAGAAGAAATAGAACAACAAAACAGACCAATTACAAGCAGTGAAATTGAAGCAGTAATCAAAGCACTCCCCAAAAACAAAAGCCCAGGCCCAGACGGCTTCACAAATGAATTCTACCAAACGTTTAGCAGTGAATTAGTGTCTATCCTATACAAACTCTTTCAAAAAATTGAAAAAGAAGGAATACTGCCAAATACGTTCTACGAAGCCAACATTACATTAATACCAAAACCCAACAAAGATGGCACAAAAAAAGAAAATTACAGGCCAATCTCCCTAATGAACACTGATGCAAAAATTCTCAACAAAATCCTTGCCAACAGAATCCAACAATGCATCCATAAGATAATTCACCACGACCAAGTAGGATTTATTCCAGGGACCCAAGGATGGTTCAACATCCGAAAATCAATCAATGTAATCCAACACTTCAACAAAAAGAAATATAAAAACCATATGATAATATCCATAGATGCTGAGAAAGCATTCGACAAAGTACAACACCCATTTATGATAAAGGCCCTTGAAAATCTTGGGATACAAGGAACATACCTCAACATTATAAAGGCCATATATGACAAGCCCACAGCCAATATCATTCTCAATGGCGAAAAGCTGAAAGCATTCCCATTAAGATCTGGAACAAGACAAGGATGTCCACTCTCACCACTGCTTTTCAACATAATACTGGAAGTCCTAGCCAGAGCAATAAGACAAGAGAAAGACATACAAGGAATCCAAATAGTCAAGGAAGAAGTCAAACTATCACTATTTGTGGACGATATAATAATATACATAGAGAACCCCAAAAACTAATTAAATTAATTAAACAATCAATCAGTTTAGTAAAGTGGCAGGATACAAAAATCAACGAACAAAAACCAGTAGTTTTCCTATACACAAACAATAAATCTGAAGAAGAAGAAATCAAGAAAACCATTCCTTTTATTATTGAAACAAAAAAAAATCAAATACTTGGGAATAAACCTAACAAAAGAAGTAAAGGACCTATACAAAGAAAACTATAAAACACTGTTAAAAGAAATAGAAGTAGACACAAAGAAATGGAAAGAAATGCTCTGCTCATGGATCGGAAGAATTAACATTATCAAAATGGCCATCCTACCAAAAGCAATCTAAAGATTCAATGCTATTCCAATTAAAATTTCAATGTCATTCTTCAAAGAAATAGAAAAAATATTGATGAAATTCATATGGAGCCACAAAAAACCCCGAATAGCCAAAACCCTCCTGAAAAAAAAAAAATAAGGGAATGGAGGGATCACTCTCCCAGATTTCAAACTATGCTACAAAGCCATAATAATCAAAACTGCATGGTATTGGAACCAGAACAGACACACAGACCAATGGAACCAAATAGAAAACCCAGAAATAAACCCACAGATTTATGGTCAACTAATTTTTGGCAAAGGAGCAAAGAATATGCACTGGAGCAAAGAAAGTTGTTCAATAAATGGTGCTGGAAAACTGGGTCGCCACATGCAAAAGAATGAAACTTGACTACTACCTCATACCATGCACAAAAACCAACTCAAAATGGATTAAAGAACTAGACTTAAGACCTGAAACCATAAAATATATAGAAGGAGATATAGGCGAAACACTACATGACATGCACCTCAAAGACATCCTTACAGACACATCACCCAAAGCAGTGATAGTGAAGGCAAAGATAAACAGCTGGGACAACATCAAATTAAAGGGCTTCTGCACAGCAAAAGAGACAATAACCAAAACAAAGAGAAACCCCACCGACTGGGAGAAAATTTTTGCACCCAACACTAATGATAAAGGACTGATCACAAAAATCTACAAAGACCTGATGAAACTCAACAAAAACAAAGAAAATAAGCCAGTCAAAAAATGGGCAGAAGAGTTAAAAAGAAACTTCTCCAAAGAGGAAATACAAATGATCACCAGGCATCTGAAAAAATGTTCAATGTCACTTGCAATCAGGGAAATGCAAATCAAAACTACAATGAGATACCATCTCACACCAGTGAGAATGGCACATATTAAAAAAACTAGCAACAACAAATGTTGGCGAGGATGTGGAGAGAAAGGAACTCTCCTGCATTGCTGGTGGGAGTGCAAACTGGTCCAACCACTATGGAAAGCTGTGTGGAGAGTCTTAAACCTACTAAAGATAGAGCTTCCATATGATCCATCAATTCCACACCTAGGTATTTACCCAAAGGACACAGAAACATCAATTCCAAAGAGCACCTACACCCCTATGTTTATAGCAGCACTATTTACAATAGCTAAGCTTTGGAAACAACCCAAATGCCTAAAAACAGATGACTGAATCAAGAAGATGTGGTACATATATACCATGGAATATTACTCAGCATTCAAAAAAGATAAACACATGCAATTTGCAGCAACATGAATGGAGCTGGAAGGGATCATGCTCAGCGAAATAAGCCAGAAAGAAAAAGAAAAATACCGGATGGTCTCATTCATAGCAGGAATCTAGAAAACCTAAATAAGGGACCAGGAAAAAGAATAACTATAAGAAAGAAAAAATTAAAATCAACAAACAACTATGAACCAGAGACACACTATGGGGGGTGGGGGGCAGGGAAAGGAGGGTTGGGGTCAAAATAAGGGGGTTGCAATTATATGGGGAATATAAAAATAAAATTAAAAAATAAAAAAGCCAAAAAAATTTTTTAAAAAAATTGCTCCAATATAAGATGAAAAAAAATAAAAAAATAAAAATAAATAAAACAAAACAAAAAAAGAAAAAAAGAATATCAATGTTTCATAGCATTAAAAAAGATGCTGGACTGTATTAATAACAAGGTAAACTGGTGAAACAAGATGCCAGTTTTCACCATTCAGACTGGCAAAGATATGAGAGTCTGATAATAAAGTGTTGGTGCAGGTATAAGGTTTATTCTAAACATGTGATACAAAGGCAGTGGAGGTGTAAATAGGCATAGCCCCTTGGGAGGACAATTATTTCTATTTATCAAGATTTGAAAAACACATTAATTGGCCTGTTAATGGTACTTCGAGGAATTCAGCCTGCAGATAGAGTTACACAAGCTTAAAGGCGTACAGACAAGGATGTTCACTGCAGCACAGTTTGCATTAGGTGAAAATCAAAGGGGAGTGGTGAGGAATTATTTTATTTTATTTTTTTAAGATTTATTTTATTTATGCATACAAGAACTAGGGTACAGGCCAGAGGTGTTGGGGGCGGGGGTAAGAGGATTCACCAGAGAGAGTGGGGAGCAGAACAGGCAGATAGACTGAAGTACACTGCTGAGGGGAGGAGTGGGCGACACAGGAGAGGTCTGCTGCACCATGTGGGTAGCTCCTTGGCCGGGGATTGAACTCCTGCAGAGGCTGCCAATAGCTTGATAGCTCTGTCTTTAACCCCTGCACCACCAGGGAGGCACAAGGTAAGGAATAATTTAAGTGTCCATTGACACAGGACTTGAATATAATTATATTATAATCCAAATAATAGATTACTAACCAGCTGTGCAAGGGTCAAGCTTTTTCTATGTGCTCTTATGTAACAATTTCAAAATCTACTATTACATTTAAAAGAAAAGTAAGTTACAGAACAGAAGACACATGTTCCTATTTGTTGATGAGCCTAGATAATTATATATGCATAAACTATTTCTAGAGGTCTACACAAGAAACATGCAATTGTGATTGTCTCTTGAGAAGTGTCTCTCAAGGACTAGAGATATGGGAGTCTAAAATGGTATGGCCTCCCTGGTGGCACAAGAGGTTAAGACAGCCTATGAAGCTGTCCGCAGCCTCCACAGCATGAGTTTGATTCCTGTCCAGCCAGGGAGCAAACCACATGGTGCAGCAAACCTCTCCTGAGCAGGGCCTCCCCGGTGGCGCAGCTGTTGAGCGCTGGGTTGCAAAGCTGCCCGCGGCCTCTGCGGTGCTGGTTCAATCCCCGGCTGCTCCCCGGCCACCGGAGGAGGGTCCCACATGGCACACAGACCTCTCCTGCCACCCACTGCTCCCCTCAGCAGTGTACTTCGGTCCTTCTGCCTGCTCTGCTCCCCGCTCTGGCTCTGGTGAATTCTCTCACCCTCCCGCGCTTCTGACTGTACCCAGTGCATGTATAAACAAAAACAAAAAAAAAAACAAACAAACAAATAAATAAATAAAACATGCCTCTAAAAAAAAAAAAAAAAAAAAAAACCTCTCCTGAGCAGGGAGCAGGTGTACTTCGGTCAATCTACTTGTTCTGTTCCCCACTCTTTCTCTGGTGAATCCTCTCACACCCCACACTTCTGGCCTGTACCCAGCTCTTGTGCTCATAAATAAATAAATCTTTTAAAAAAATGGTAGGGAAACTTCCTTTTCATTGTTTATCTTTTCAGGTCATCCAAATACTTCACCATGCGTATCTAGTGCTTTGTACTACTAAAAAAAAGTAAACAGATAAATCTGATTAAAAAGTTAAAAATACATGGGCCTCCATGGTGGCGCAGCGGTTGAGCGCTGGGCTGCGAAGCTGCCCGCAGCCTCTGCAGTGCCGGTTCGATCCCTGGCCGCCAGGCAAGGGTCCCACATGTTGAGACAGACCTCTCCTGCCACGCCCGCTGCTCCCTTCAGCAGTGTACCTCGGTCCTTCTGCCTGTTCTGTTCCCTGCTCTGGCTCAGGTGAATTCTCTCACCCTCCCACGCTTCTGACTGTACCCTTGTATGTGCTTGTATAAATAAATAAATAAAACTTTAAATAAATAAAACTTTAAAAAAAGTTAAAAATACATAGTTACATTACATTTATACATGACAACTAAAACATTTAATTTCTTTCTCTTTTAGCTTTTAAAATAGCACTCTCATATACTGTATGACTTCACTGACATAAAACTCTAGGAAATAATCTATGAGAGAAAGCAGGTCAGTAGATGCCTGGGGATTGGTGTGGGAGAAAAGCGTGGTGGGAAGGGCTGGGAGACAGGGATTGCAAACAGGCAGAAGGAAACTTTTGGGAATGATGAACATATTCATTATCTTGATGTATATATGTATCAAAACTCATCACATTGTACTCTTGAAATATGTGCAGTGTCCATTAACCATACTTCACTAAAGCAATTATTTAAAAGATGTCATTATTCTCCATCTTTGAAATGTTATATCTGGAGTGTTAATTAGATGGTCCTCTGGTTCTTGAGCAAGACGTCTCAGTTCATCTTTGAAATACTGCGTTTATATTTCATTTTGTTCAGAACCAAATTTTCTATATGTCATACAGTTTTTGAAAGTGGGTGGTTTTTAAAAAAAGGATTAAAAGACACTATTTGTAGCTGCATGGGAATCTGACATATTACACACTGTGCTCATTTCATGAAGGCTACTGGTTCTGAATATCTCATTTTATTTCTATTTGATATGATTCTGTTTTCCTTAATTGTCTACATAGTCAGAATAGGGAACTTTCACTGCCATTAGAAATACAGACAATCATTCTCAATGAAAGAACCTGTGTTCCTGTAAGAAACCTTTCTAAGAGCTCATGATTCTGACCAAAATGTTCCGAGGTCTAGAATAAGAGTTACTGGCCTTTCAGAAAATTTGAAAGCATTTAATTTCATCTGGAAATCACTCAGGTATTAAGTACCAGGATAGCTCTCAAAGTCATACAGTGTCTATGGTCATTTTGTATTTCTCATTAGTGAAAATTAGAAATTTCTCTAAATTCGTAATTTATATTTAAAGTCATCAGTATTGGGCCTCCCCGGTGGCGCGGTGGGTTGAGTGCAGTGGTGTGAAGCTGTCCGCAGGCTTTGCAGTGCAGGTTAGATTCCCGGCCAGCCAAGGAGATTCCCACATGGCACAGCAGACCTCTCCTGTCTCGCCCACTGCTCCCCTCAGCAGTGCTTTCAGTTCTTCTGCCTGTTCTGTTCCCTGCTCTATCTCATGAATCCTCTCATCCTCCTGTGCCTTTGGCCTATACCCCAGCTCTTGTATAAATAAATAAATCTTAAAAAAAAAAAAAAATCTCTCTTGAAAAAAAAAAAAACTCATTAGTATTGTCCCAAATAATGAAACAAATGTCCATTTAAAATACCTCAGTGATTTTCCCCACGAGCACTTTGTCTCTGGCACTTGGTAACCACAATGTAACTGTGATTACCTAGGAGTAGTGGGATAGTAAGTGATCTTTATTTTCTTATTTTGCCATTGTTTTTATATATTTTTGATAATGAAAATGTATTAATGTAATTAAGTTATATTAAGAGCAAATAATATAAGTCTTTATGTTTAAAAATGCATGATTTTCTGACAGAATAGAGATTGTTTAGAAATAATATCTTAGGTAAGGGACTATCATGCCCTCTGTTTTTTTTTAAAAGACTCTTGAAAGGGAGGCTTATCATTTTTTGCATATAATGTTGTCTAAAACTAACTTCCATGCTCAGTCCATGACCTTCCTTGCTTGCCCTCAGCATACTGAATGGCAACTCACCTCTTATGCTTGGAGTCCTGGCTATTCTGGCCTGAGTGATCTGCACCTCCAGTTACTCCCTTGCACCTTCTACCACCTCTCCTCAAATACTCACAAGAGTATTTTTTGACTCACAAGAGTATTTATTGACCCACAAGAGACTCAATAAATGCTGCTCCTCCCCCTCTAGCTCAGCTCACTTCCACTAGGTCTCATCAGCCTGTGTCTTACAGCTACTCTAGTGGAGAATGAAAAGGGGCAGAGTTACAGCTAGTACAAGTGATATGCCAGTTTTACACACAGAGAGAAAAGAAAGGCTTTCATACAAGAAAAAAGAGAACAGATGTTGGTCACAAAAAAAAAAAAAAAAAAAAAAAGTCCCCAGGCAAGAAGAGTTTGCCATTATTTTGTAGTTCCCCTGAAATAGAGTTTTGTTTATCAGTGCTTTTAATTATCTTCTCTATAAGAACAGTACAAACAAAACCACATGTAACAGGATCAGAAAACATGTCTACTTAGAACTCTTACCTTGAGGGGAACATGCAGTCATTTTCTCGGTATAATCTATTCTGAATGATCTGATAGTGGGTCCCCAGCTTCCGTCTGACAACCTCTGCCATCATCTTCCTAGAGATACCACCTCGGAAAGGAGTCAGATCCTCTTCTATGACACTGGGAAAGAAAGGGAATTATCAGGGAAATCAGGCGAAGAAAGTGACACCATTCCACCCACTTCCCATCTGTGGGTTTAGGGTTAGTATTAGAGAATACAGTAACCTAAGGGAAAGAATAGAGGGCAGGTATGAGCAACTTTAGCCCCAGAAGCATCATAGATGATCTAAAACATCAATAAAGCCACTGCAAGGACAAAGCTAGTCAGTTTCTCTCTTTTCTCCCTCCATTTAGATTGCCCAACACTGACATGTTACATATTCTTTTTTACCACTAATGTCTTTGTCATAGCGGTCCCACTGACCTCCCCTCTCAGAATGCTACAGAAGGTACAGTTGATACCTGACAGTTTGATGCTGACTGACTCCCTTGTTTTGGCCTTCATTCACCCTACATACACTAGCAGCCTGATAACAGTCACCAGATATGACACCATTTTTGTACCCCCTTTAAAGCTCAGCACAGTCAAATTTTAATAAATAACACAAGTATCAGTTGAATTTTTTTGAGACATTACAAATAACATGATGTAGAGCTAAAGGGATGTTGCTATTTAGCTGATGAGAAATCTGAGGCCCAGAGAAGTCAAGTGGCATGCCACAGGGATAATCAGTGGGAAAACTGGGACTAGAAACCAAGGCTGCCTTTTTTTTTTTTTTTTTTAAGACTGATTTATTTATGCATTCAAGAACTGGGGAACAGGCCAGAGGTGCAGGGGATGAGAGGATTCACCGGAGACAGAATGGGGAACAGAACAGGTAGACTGACTGAAATACAGTGCTGAGGGGAGCAGCAGGTGAGACAGGAGAGGTCTGCTGCATCATGCGGGTAGCTCCCTGGCCGGCCATGGATCGAACTTGTGCTCCAGAGGCTGTGGATAGCTTCACAGTGCCGTGCTTAATCCCTTGCACCACCAGGGAGGCCCCCAAGGCTGCTTTTGAAGTAATCTTTCTAACACACCATGTTCCAGACCTAACTTGTATACTTTAAAAATAACAGACAATTTATTCGATTCATTTATAAATGTCTATTCCTTCAACAATACTTATTGAGGGACAGCACTAGGGATACAACAGTGACTAAGACATAGACCTTTACCTCAAGCTTTCAGTCCAGTGGAGAAAGCAGTGCTGAGCAGGTACTCTCTTAGCTCTGGGCATTTTTATTCCCAGGAAAACCACCTCAGGAACCCCTTCTACTCACTGCAACCAAACACTCTCCGGAATCCTAGGGGACTTCCTTACTTCCTTGTGACAAGAACTAAACTCTCAAAGACACACCAAAAAAAAAAAAAAAAAGAAAGAAAGAAAAAGAAAAAAAGAACTCACCCATGATAACAGCTGCAGTTTTGACTTGAACATGGTTCATAATTCTCCAAAGACCTGTTAATTTGGTCAATAAACACTTTCCATTTTGAACCTTCAAAAAGTGAAGTAAATCAAAGTTAGCAAAATATCCCTGAGTATTTCTATTTGCTAGCAGCAGGCAGACAGAATCAACAGACAACCCCTTTCCAAACCACTGAGAGAAATGAACCGCCTGCAAAGATTCATTGTGTAACTCTCCAGCTCAGATCAAGATCCTCTACTTGGGCCATCAGGTGTCAAAAAGAAAGGAAAAGTACAATTTCCAAGCTTAACGCCTGACACGTAGAGGCTGTGTATAAACTGGTGACACACAGCCTCACCTTTTAATAACGAAAATGAGTCCCATAAAAAGAGTGATTAAAACCACAGACATTAACCTTTTCATTTCTCTGGCAACATAAGAATCGCCATTACCAACCCCTCCTCCCCCACTTATATATTTCTCTCTCTCTTTCTCTCTCTCTCTCTCTCTCTCGCTCTCACACACAAACACACACACGAATTATTCCCCCCCCAGTGTGTTTTAGGGAGGTGCAGAGTGGCCAAGTGCGGGCGATGACCACTGTGGGTTGTTTACAGGGGTACTCCCTCTACTCCCCACTATCACTACCAATTCCGGAGGATGGGTTACTCTCCAGGGTCCTGGGCAGGACAAACTGCGCCAGCCACCCAGACGCTCGCTCTTTGCTCCCTGCACCCTCGTACCCTCTGCCCAGCTCTGTACTACAGAGGCGACAGCAAGAGTCCGGCGCCGGCAGCGAGGGACAGCGAGGGGGGCGGCAGAGGGTCTCCGACCCAGCGAGATCCGAGCCCGAGCCGCTGAGTTGGCCTGCCCAGAGCCCACCTGACTCCTTTTGGCGGCCGGGTACAGGGGGTAGGAGTAGCAACAGCAGCCATAGCCTAAGCTGCGAGCGCGCCCCCCGCTCCATCGCCAGCGGACCCACTGCGGAGTCCCGGCTGCGGCGCTGGCGGAAGCACCGCCCCGCACAAAGATGGCGGCGCAGGCCACACCACGTGGGCGGAGGGCCGCCCCGCACAAAGATGGCCGAGCGCCTCTCCGCCTGCCCCGCCCCCAAGCGCGGGCCTGCAACCTGGTTTCCCTGGGAATGTAGCGCCGGGAGGTTGAGGCGGAGCATTGCAGTTATCGCAGGAGTGCTGTGCAGGTAAGCCTACTGATTTGTTTAGACCCACACTATATGGTTAGCTGCTTTCTGTCGAAGTGCATATAGGTATTTAAAATGCGTCCTCCTCCCTCTTCTCCCCACCCTCTCTCTCAGAATCCAAGTTGAGAATGAGTAAGTGTCATCCTCTGAAAGAAATGTCTAATAATGACAATTTCTTACACTCTGTAACATGCTGAAAACATCGTATTCTCTGAAGCCAGAAAATTGAAAGCTAGAAAGGATACATTTCTTGCCCACAGCTTTAGTTAGTGGTACAACCTAAGTTAGTTATTTGCAAGATATAAAATTTCTTCTTATTGTATAACATAGATTTTGTTGAGCATCTGATTGTATACAGCACTGTTAGACGCCAAGAAACTGCAACTAGTGTAACGTAGTCTCTTTGTAATAGGAATATATAACAATTGAGGTTGTTATAGGATAGGGAGAGGGGCAGCCCAAACCCCGCAAACCTGCCTATTCTGAATGGGTTCTGCCATCCGCCGCATCAACACAAAACATATGAGACTTTAATGGGAAGGAACTTTAATAAAACTAGGAAACAATACAGGTAAGGCAAAGAGTCTAGTTTCTAAATGAAGCACCTAAAGTTACCCGTCCCCTCGTGGGGAAAAGTCCATCCAAATGGGATTGGCTCAGAGCAAGGCCCCAAAGCCTGCCACAAGTCTAAAGCATCTTCCAGTGGGGACCCACAGAAAAGGGCCAGAAACAACCAGACAAGCCCGGAAGGAAAAGAGCAAAATCAACATCAAGATAAAAGCTGCCATTGTCACCTCCCCACGGGTCTCACCACATCTGTGTTACCCCGTCCACGACCAAAAGACAAGCGCAGTTTCTTCACGTGTCTCTAGGCTCCATCCTGCTTCCTTCCTCAGTCTTTTCTGCAGCTTCTCTTCCTGCTCAGCTCCACCCTCCCTTGGGTGGGGCAGGGAACCTCCCCTTTTCCTGGGGACCACCCTGTTACAAGGTGACATAGAAGTGAAAAAAATCAGTGGACACCATCATTTTGGACAGTCTATAGCTATATATAATGATCATACAGTTAGAAATATTTAGACTTTGTCTAAATGTGCATGGTAACATCCTAGGCTCTGAAAATACATGGAAGTACAAGATGAGGTCTCTGTCCTTTAGGAGTTTAGAATGAGAGAGAAAACATATATGATCCCCGGTGATAATTTATAATATAAGGCATTAAGCACGGCTAGTTTCAGTGGTGGGAAAGGGCAATATGAACTAGAAATCTGTAGCCAGTGAGGAAATGTTGGTGAGCCAACAGAAAAGCAGCAAAGGAATTTCAGTGTTGCAAGCTATGAAGCAGCTAACAGGACAAAATAAATGTACAAAATTGCTTATGCCTAGAAATGAATACAATGAAAAAATGTAAATTATCTTTTTATATACTCATGAGTAAAAGTTTCTGTGGTACAACAGGATAAGAATATTTGTGACTAGCTACCTTTATTGGTTTTATCATCATTCTAGTTCTGCATTTACTAGATGGGTTATTTTCAACAAATCATTTAACTTCTCTTCAATTTCCTATGCAGGAACAATGGCATTATTAAAAACTTTATGAGAATTAAATGAAATATGTAGTTATAATTTCTGGCAACCAACAAAAACACCTCAATAAAGGTTAAATAATCATATACTCAAGGCAAAGGGTTTTCTCTTAGGGTGTTTAGAATATCTGCAGGGAGAGATCTCACACGGTGCTTTTTTTAACACTCTTGTAACTATTCCAAGTTTCTGAATTCCTCACTATGTTGCCCACCTCCTTACCATTTCATCTGCCACATCCTTTACTAGAAAGCTTTTCTCCCACGAACTGCCTGTTTGTTCTTGGAGTGTTGGTTTATCAAAAATTCTGTTAAGTTTTTCTTGATATGACACCACCATCATCCCACACAATTTATTACACTGTCTTGCACACTATCTTTGGACCTTGGACATACTTTTTAATGTTTCATTTATTATAATAAGTTGCAATTCCTGTATTTTTCTGGTATTTTGTTTCATCCACGATATTGTGAGTTTTTTGTGGTATTCATTTTTGTAAATCCACCATCTATGTAATCTTTCATTTACAAAACAGTGAACGCCCCATTGGATGCTGAGGCAGGACTTCGGGACCGGGAAGTGACCTGACCTTCTGTGACTTCTCCCAACCTGCCTCATTTGTAAAATGGGGGCTATAATTGGCACACGGTTGTTACTTGAAATCCAGGCGATAGCAAGGACCCTAGCACGGTGGCCCCAGATCAAGGGGGCGCGGTGACCAAGAACAGGAGGAGGCAAAGAAGCAGGCCAGTGCTGCCCAGGAAGGCTGGACAGCGAGCTCAGCGGAGAAAACCGACCCCACTGCGCAGGTGCACGCAGGAGGGGGTGGGGTGCCCGTTTTTTGGGCTGCTAGTGCAGTTCCGGGGGTCAACTCGCGGCTGGGGCCGCCGTCTGTCGCGGAGCTGACGTCATCGTTGTGCGCTGCCACGTCTGCTCTGCTCCGCGGTAATGGAGGCTGAGGTTGAGTGCTGACGGGGCCGGGCTCTGCTTCTAGCTTTAACTGTGGCTCTGACTCTGTTACTGCCTCAAGGTTTGGGTCTGGGACTGGGTCTGGTGTGGGTTTGGGTCTGGCGGCCCGAAGACTGGATACTTTTTCTCGAGTCTCCGGGCGGCGACGGCCTGGGGTCAAGCAGCTGGTTAGGAGCGCCTCTACGCGAGAGGGTGTTCTCTTGCTTGGGGTCCAGCCTGTAAAGCCGCCGCCTCCCAGGGATCCCGCCCCACCGGCTGGGCCTCCTCCATGCGTGAGTATTAGGGAGCTGCCGCCCGTCCGGGTGTCCCTGGCCTCTTTTGCACTCGGGGTTGTATGGCGGAGATCGCGTCGTCTTCCCCTCTTGGGGGCCAGTCATTGAAGTTTGTGATCCTTTGCCTTATGCATTGCCCCACCTTCGCTCTCGAAGTCCATCCCAGTTTTTTGCTCCGCTTTACTTTCCCTTTGCTAGTAAATTGAGTAAATACCAGCAGCCCCATATACATCCAATGGTATGAATGCTTTGTCTCATCTGGCATTTTTGAGTCCACAGCCAAAGGCTGCTACGAATAGGGAACATAGATTCGTCTGTAGTAACGTTTTGAGAACCAGGGTGTTTCCCAGAGTCATTAAGTTTTTAAATTGTATTGTTTAGAAAACAGACTTTATTATCCATGTTGGTGGAATCATGATTTTACCATAGCTTAATGAAAACGGTTTCTTTTCAGTGAGGGTCATTATCTGTTACCTGTGTTACTTGTCTTTTTAATCCTGGGGTTTCAGACATTTCTAAATGATTTTATATACTTTCATTTTTTGAGTGGGCATTCATTTGGGCTCCTTCCAATATTTTCACTTTAACACACGGAGATACCAATTGAACAATTTTACATTTAAGTGTTAAAAAGCCTACTAGTGTACTTTAATTCATCTTTGTCTTGACAACAATCTCTGGAAGACATGGCACACCTTTTGTTGAACAGAGGTTCATCAGAATCTAGGCTTCTAACCTATGGAATCTGAGTAGTCCTTTCATTAGAATAAAGTAGGTAATGGACAGTTGGGAGCATTTGTTTGAAAATTTGGTTTTATAAGACTTGCTAACTCAAGTTTTTCTGGTTGTTTTGTTACATTGCTTACTTTAACAATGGTAAACTGATATTAATTTTTTTTTGTTGTTCAGAGTTGAAACAGGTTGATAACCATTAACCTGGGTTGCAACTACAGGTGGCACTGGAAGTAGACTGGTTCCCGGACATGCCCGGTGGAAGGAGGGGCCCTAGTCGGCAGCAGCTAAGCCGATCAGCTTTACCTTCTTTACAGACTTTGGTTGGTGGGGGCTGTGGCAATGGAACAGGCCTGAGAAACAGGTAAACAAAAAATAACGCATTATTTGTCATATCCTATGATCAGTTAGCATGGAAGCTATCAACGTTATTTCTAACACTGAAATAGAAATTCTGTCCTTGAAAACTGAAAGTTCAATATTTCAGAATACTTTGGAGGTAAAAGTTGTACAATGGGGCTTACATAGTGAAAGCAGTTCAGTTCATTTTAGTTATTAAAAGAAGGGGAAAGTGAATAAAAGTATAAGGCCAATATGATTTACCTACTTACTAGCATTCTTTTGTCTTTTTTTTGAGGACAAATTAAAATAGTTAACAGCTTATAAATTATGTCATATTCTATCAGTGATCTTAAAAAATTGTTCAAAGAGTGGTTTGAAGTTAATGAACTGTAGCTATAGTCTAATCATCTTAAAATTTGTGTCATATGAGAATAAAGAATTTGATCTTTTTAATGGAAATTTGTCTCTGATCCTAATTTCCTTTTTAAAAGTTATTATTTTATTGAGGTAACATTGGCTTACAATATTTTTGGTATTTTGGAAATATAGGAACCCCCCTCAAGTATCACTGTTATAGTGTACCCATCACCAATTCACCCATAGTCAATTGTGCTTCCTTCTCTCTTTCTCTGTTCCTAATTTCAGAGTTAGGATGAATTATTTCTAAGCTTATCCAGGATATCAGGAGGTTTGATCATGTAGCAGTGGAAGGTGATGACTTTTGCCTGATGCACTGTTTTATCAAGAAAATTTCTGCTTCCTCCCTCTATAGAGTTTTTTCTTGCCTTGATTCTAATTTTCTCATTCTTTTTATTATTTTTTTATATTTATTTTTAATATATGACTTTATAATATCTCATTCTTATTTATTTTGATTCTTATTTATTTTTAATATATGACTTTATAATATTTCAAAAGCACATCTTAATTCAAACTAATACCTTTAAATAGCAAAAACTCATTTAATTTATGAGGTGTATAAGGTAAACAATGTAGGCCATTTTATATTTATAAATACAAACCATTGTATAGTAAATGCACAATAAAGATGACAGTGATAGTCATTTTTAAGGGTGAAAACTTAAACTTTAAAGGGCTGCTTTTCTGAATCTGTATAATTAGAGGGTTCTCTATGAATTTCATTTCTAGAACCTCTGTATTCAAACTTACCCACTTTCATGCCCCAAGGTGGGAAGTGGTAGGTAGATACCTGTAGGAATACAATTTATTGTCTGCTCCTCTGCTCAGAAGTAACCTTGTGTCTGTCCAGTCTACACTCAGCACTTTTTTTTCATGAGCAGTACATCATAGGAAGGAGCATTACAACTTCTTGCATCCCAAAACTTGACAGTGTTATCTAAAGCTGTTGCTCATATGTAGGAGACCACTTTACTGGTGTGACCCATCCTGTATATGAAGTTAGGGACAGCAGCACCCAAGAATCATTTTTGATTCAGGTGCTAAGCGTTTACAAAGTAGAGAATAGAAGATGCACTGAAACACTTTTTTTCCTGTCAAGGTTGACTTAAGATTGCCAAACTCAATATCTTACATCCTAATTGTGGAGTCCCAAGATGCACTACAAATTTCTTCAGCATATGGCCAGAGATGGTCACTGTGGGCATCTTTGTTATTCCCAGTTGTTTTATTTACTGTTTCTTTTTCAGTCAACTTATGGATTCCTCCATTTCATCTTCATCTGTAGGGAATGTATACCAGATCTTTAGTCTCTTATCCTAGGAATCACTGTAAATTTAGTTCCTGTGCTATCAACAGCTATAGAATCCACTTCCAGCATGACCTCTGCAGCAGTACAGGGTTTCCAGTTGGTTTCTCTCTACATCCCACCCTCATATGAGAATGGTCTGATCCATAAAGGCACTCAGGAGCAGGCAAGACACACTGTCTTTTTTCACCCAGGCCACATCTTTGACAACATTTGTTGTTAAATTGTGTCCCGCAATTGTCATTATTGACTTTCCTTCCAAGGACCAGATCCAGGAAGTCTTATAAGAACCAGTTAAGATCCATTCCTCTACCCCTTTGATTTAACTGATTCAGACATCATGAAACACGCTTTACTCTGACTGAGGTGCAGTGTACTTCTCTATGTATTCATGGCTTCTAGTTCCACAGCCTATTCTGATGAGATGCTTTTCAATTCCATGGTTTGACTAAGGGTATTTACAGAAACTTGCCCTTGAGAATGAAATCAAACCACATTTTGGGCCTCCAGCAATTTATAGATGATATTATTAAGGTTAGCAGTTTCAGAGGCTGCAGAGATTGAGAAGGCAACATCATCTATCAGATATTTTTTTCAGTGGGGAAGAATGTCTGCAACTGAGCCACGACACAAGTACACACAAGATTTGCCTATAGAAGTAGCATAATAGTCAGACAACAGACACCTTGATCTCTTACAGCTATAGAAAAGAGGCAATTGAAATTAGACTTCACAGGTAAATAAACTTTTCAATTAGGAAAAATAAGGTGGTCAAGCTGTTGCATGGACTGGGCTGCCACTTTCTTTCTTCTCACTTCCTCAGCTGATTCTATTTTTCAAAGTTTGAAATCACTAATACTGATTGTAGCCATTTCTGGCCCTTCTGATGTTATTTGTGTACTTTTCTCTTTCTGGCTTGCCCTACTTTTTTCTTTGACTTTCCAATCCAAGATCTTAAAAATCAGTTCTGATCTCATCACTTCAGTGGGACTCTCCGAGAAATTCCAGTTTGAGGGGATTTTTCTAGTGTCTGATTCTCAGACTAATTTTCAATTCTAATTTTATGTTTATATATGTTTGCAAACTACTTAGAATTTACTGTAGAATATTATTTCTTATTCTGTTGTGCTTTGGATTTTCTCACTTAAAAAAGTCATACTTTATGCTTCATAGCAGGATGTTGAAAATAAATGAAGTAGTAAATTGCAGTAGCTTTAAAAAACTTTATTCTGAATTTTTCAAAATTTCTACAATATGTGTTATTTTATCTTTAAAAAAATAAAGAGAGTGGGCCTCCCCGGTGGCGCAGCGGTTGAGCGCTGGGTTGCGAAGCTGCCCGCGGCCTCTGCGGCGCCGGTTCGATCCCCGGCTGCTCCCTGGCCACCAGAGGAGGGTCCCACATGGCGCGCAGACCTCTCCTGCCGCCCGCTGCTCCCCTCAGCAGTGTACTTCGGTCCTTCTGCCTGCTCTGCTCCCTGCTCTGGCTCTGGTGAATTCTCTCACCCTCCTGCGCTTCTGACTGTACCCAGTGCATGTATAAACAAAACAAACAAACAAATAAATAAATAAATAAAACATGCCTCTATTTAAAAAAAAAAAAAAAAAAAAAAACAACTTAAAAAAATAAAGAGAATGAGAATATGTGAATATGCTTTTGAAGAAAGATACATGTAACATAGATACTGAGGTGAAAATGTTTCCTATTTGAAGTATAGGCCTTAATTTTACTAATTAAAATTTTACTAAGATCAAGGTATCTGTTGTCTATTACTCTATTTTTCTAGGCTATCAACTTAGTGACTTGGTACTTTCAAATTGCAATCACAAATCATCTATTGTGGTGAAGTAGGAATGCTTGGGTGGTGGGTAAGAATGGTAACAACACCTGAAGGGGAAGATCCTATACCTCTACCAAACAACATTATAAACCAATGTTACCTCAATGAAAAAAAAACAAGAAAATCATAGCCAAGCCTAGGTAGGATTCTAGCTAGCTAAAAAATTCTAATTCTGCCTCTGTCTTTACTCTAGCACTTCTTTGTTCATATTCTTCTACTTTGACTTTGACAATTCCCCTAGATAACTGTGTTTTCAAACTGTTCCATAGAATCTCTTCAGTGTGTGGGGCTGCCATTGGAGAGCTTAGAAGGGAGAAAGAGGCAAATAGGCCTAGCAGTGCAGGCCTCAGGTTTCCCAGTCCTTTCTTCATCAGACTAACTTCTGTGTGTTTTAAATATTGGGATACTGTGTAAAATATCTTTTGGGAGAAAATAAAATGTTCTACTCTTACAAATGGACCAAAGCCATATTCCTAGTTGGTTTTGCTTGCACTTGAAGTCTGCAAATATATTGGCAAGTAGAAACATTTGGAAAATACCTCTGCTGTTAAATGGGCTTAGCTATAATCATGTATTCTTTTCTGTGCTTTTTTGTATCTCTTTTACTTGGCTTTCAAGGTTCTAGTCATGATAGCCTTGATCTACCATTCTCTACCTGCTCTTGTCTTTTAGCAATTAATTGGGGTGGTGGAAAGAACATATTTTAGATATGTTTAGATTTTTATATTTGGGTGGCAGAGAAGGTATTTTATATATGTTTTGATGTTTAGAATAAAGTAAAACATGGTTGTGATCATTGTGCTTTGAGAGTTACTAAAACTGTTATTGAATGATTATTTTGGAAGAGGGCATTCCATATTTGGTTATTGATAGTAAAGGAGCTGCTAGAAGAGGTGGTTAGATCATGGGGAAGAGGTATAAAAATTTGGATAAAGCAGTGATAGATAGCCTAGACTATAGGTTTAGGAAGTATGTGTGCAAAGACATTGTCCAGATGAGAAGAACTCATTTCTGGGGTATCCATAGATTATTGATAGACATAGGTATTTGCTTAAGTGTGATATAGTTGGATAATTGATTCTGCAAACCAGGTCAGCTGGTAGGTGTTTTGTGATATACAAAACTTGGATTGGTAAAGTTCAGCTTGCAAATATCAATGAGCTCCTTTGGTGACACAATCAAGATTGAAATCTATAGTTCTTTCTCTTGCTTTCAGCCTGTTTCTTGGAACAATGTGCTTAGATGATTATCTTCTACAGAGGAGGACAATCTGTGAATTTCTGAGTGTCCTCAAGAGCTTTTATTTGAGGGAGACTCTTAATTTGCTTTTTTTCTTTGTTTTCTCCTTGTGAGTACTAGGTTCATAGTACTGCGTGATCATGTCTACATTTTAACTGCTTTCTCTGTCCCTTCTAGTTCCTCTTTATCCTTTTGAATATTTCCTGCTTTATCCATTTGCTTCACTAAATTCTGATGCTGCTGGCTTCATAAAAGTTGGTTCCAGGTCTGCTTTAGTAATTCTTTCCTGTACACAAACTTTATATGAAAAGGACAAAGCAGGTATTGAACATAAATAATTTTGGCTCATTTTAGGCATAGTGAGCCATTCTTACTATTTATGAATATTTTTATATCAGCAGAAGGAAGTATTTACCAGTTGGATCTAAATGCCAACACTGCAAGCAGGCCTTGCTGAACACCTGTTTTACTTTTGGGAATCTGTAATTTTGGTACTAAAAGCAGAGTGTGCCTGTATAATCAGCTCCCGGTAAAAACTTTGGGTATTGAATCTCTTTTGAGCCTTTCTGGTATACAGGTCATTCCTGTATAGTTATTAGTTGCTAAAGTAGTTATGGGTGCCCTGGTTTCCTCCAGACTTGCCCCCATTACCGTTTTTCCCCTTTGCTGATTTTGATTTGTATCCTTTTGCTACAATAGATCTTGGCTATGAACACAGGTATATGCTCTGTCCTTGAGGAGTCCTAGTGAATCATCAAACCTGGGCATAGTTTTGAACCACTCTTTTTTTTTTTTTTTAAAGATTTCTTTATTTATTTATACATACAATAACTGGGGTACAGGCCAGAGGTATGGGGGGGTGAGAGGATTCACTAGAGACAAAGTAGGGAACAGAACAGGTAGATTGACCGAAATACACTGCTGAGGAGAGCAGCAGGTGAGTCAGGAGAGGTCTGCTGCACCATGTGGGTATCTCCCTGGCCAGGGATCGAACTTGTACTGCAGTGGCTGTGGATAGCTTCATAGATTGCGTCTTAACCCCTTATGCCACCAGGGAGGCCCAAGAACCACTCTTTAAGGAGAATCCATTTCAAGCCCTTGTGTTATAGATGAAGAATCTGAGACTCAGGGTTGTAAGGTTTTCTTAAAGACCATCCTGGCTAATGGAAAATCTGGGGCCAGAACTATATCACATCGTATTTCAAATATTTGTCATTTTACTTTTCTTGAATCCACTTTTATTTCTCTTAGAGGAATAATACGTTAACATTTCCTAAGTAATATATCTGTTACTAATCTTCTGAAATGTATTGAATAAGTTTATTTTAGCTATATAATTTTTGGTTTCACAAACTTTGATCTTAATCTCCTTTTAAGCTTCCAGCTACTGTTGTTCTTTGCCATTGATGTGCCAGCTCACTTTATGTGAGCTTTTTCTTTGTCTTCTGGCTTGAAGTTTAATAACCAAGATTGTATAAAGTATCATACACGTAAGCCTTTGTATTTTGTTTTGAGTATCTTTCTTGAAGCCTAACATTTTATTGAGTATTAATGGCAGAATCACATTAATTTGCTTTACTTGGGCAAAATCCCATAAGAACCTACTTAACCTTTAAATCATAACAAATAATTAAGCATGCTTTCTCACTTAATATATTGTTGACTGAAGAGGAATAAGAATTTCTGGATTGTTCTAGAGTAGAGACTCCTAATCTTGTAACAAGTCATCAGAATTTTAATTCTGTAGCTATGATCAGCTGTAATGAGGGGCTAGATTGGCCACTTGCATTAATTCCCTCCTTTATAGTCCAGCAATGTGTACAACTCCAGATGCCACCTTTCATGTTGTTTTCTGTGTAAATGATAGCTCATGGATTTGTGCAGTGCTGTGACCCATCTCCCAGACCAGATCAGAGGACTGTCGTGTTTTAATGATTGGTTTGTGATTGATCAAGTAAGGTTGTAAAACCTGCTGGTAGAACACAGTCTACTCTTTAGTAGACTTAATCTGTTGGAATATACTCTGGAAGGAGAGGAAAAAACTGTTACATATTTTTCCGACCCTCTTCTCATCTCTGTTCTTTCCTTTTTTCTCCTGAATTTCTGCAATGGTCTTCTTAACTTTTCAGAATGGGCAGAGTGAGCAGAGTGTTCGTTCACATTAGACACTTAAAGAACTAAATGGCCCACACTATGTTAGAATTCTATATTTGGAATTTTTAAAGAAAAAGAGTAATGTGAATATAATTCCAAATCAAGCCTCTTTTCCTTGTTCTGTAAACAGACCCTTTTATCTCTGTAACTATTACCAAGTGTACAAACAATAGGAAATTTTGTTCTCCACCCCAATCTTATCAGTTTAGATAGTCCAGCTATTTCTAACCTGCAAGAGTTGGAAGAAAGAACAACACAAAGATAGGAATTTAAATCTCAGTATTTCAACTTTATATTAAGACCGCTGTCTTTTTCATGACTGCACTGTGTGCTATCTTAATCTAAATATATATATTTGCAGTGAACTAGGATAAATACTCTCTTTCCTTAAGATTGTGATCTAATAGACAAGACATAGATGTATACAAAAATTATGTAACAGTATAGTATGGAAAGTGCAAAAAAGTAATAGGTTGAATATGACAGAGAAAAGATGAATCAGTTTTGGCTGGGTCAGAGTCCGCTTCATAGAAGATATATTTGTTCATCTTAAAATGCCTGAAGGATCTTGTCAGCAAATGTGTACATGAAGGGTTAAGGAAGGTGTTTCTGATAAAAGGATTAGGTGTACAAAGAATAGTGTGTGTATTGTTAGATAGCTAATAGCATGGCTTTTATAAAGGATGCATGTGAAAGAGTGATAAGAGGCAGCAGAGAGGACTTATTGGATGTACTAAATTTTTAAAAATATTATCCTATTGGCAATGGAGCACCACTGGGGATTTTGGACAAGAGGATAAAGCTGTCAGGCTTTCACTTCATAAAGATCTCTGAAGGCAGCTTGGAGAAGTGGGTAAAAAATGAAGTCAAATTTAATTTAGGTAAAACATAGGGTATGTTTGAAAAAGTACTATGGGTTTAGACAGGAAGGTACAGTTTGGAAAAGTTTCATAAAGTGGAATCTAAAGATTTAGAGAGTGATTGGATGAATATAAGAAGCAGAAGGCAAGTTCTAGTATAACTCCCAAGTTTCTGATATGAACAGTTCACTGGTTAGACTGTGGACTAGGATCAGGATTATAGGAGAAAACCCGGAGATATCCAGTATGCAGCCTGATAACGTAGGTCTTAAAATTCAGCAGAAAACTCTATGGAGAGAAATTTTAGTCTTCAGCATGCAGGAGATAATGGAAGCCATGATCACCTATTAGATCAGTGAGCAAGAGAGTACAAAGGGAAAAGGCCGATAGTTAAAGGGTAGGTGGAGGAGGAAGCAAGAATCGTCTGTACTGTATGACACTGAATGGTATTACCATTTGATTTTACCATAGTTTTCTCTTTCAGGAATGGTAGCGCTATTGGCCTTCCAGTCCCGCCTATCACAGCCTTAATCACCCCAGGTCCTGTTCGTCATTGCCAAATACCCGATTTGCCTGTGGATGGGAGCCTGCTCTTTGAATTTCTCTTTTTCATCTACTTGCTGGTTGCTTTGTTCATTCAGTACATCAACATCTATAAAACAGTGTGGTGGTACCCTTACAATCATCCTGCTTCTTGTACTTCACTGGTAAGTCCTAATAGGCCTCTAAATTCTTCATGTTACTTAGCCAAGAAAAAATTGGAAAGTCTGTGTATGAATTACTTTTCTTAGTAATTTTTCTTCTAATAAAGTTATTTGTTAAACTACATGTTACTTTCAGAAATATGTCAGAATAAGATTGTTAAAATATAAATATCTCAGGGGCCTCCCTGGTGGTGCAGGGGGTTAAGTCTCAGCACTATGAAGCTATTGGCAGCCACTGCAACATGAGTTCGATCCCCAGCCAAGGAGCTAACCCACATATAGTGCAGCAGACCTCTCCTGTCTCGCCCACTGCTTCCCTCAGCAGTGTCTTTCAGTAAGTCTGCCTGTTCTGCTCCTCACTCTGTCTCTGGTGCATCCTCTTCTCTCCCCCCGCCCCCCCCATCTTTGGCCTGCACCCCTGGTATGCGTAAATAAATAAAATAATCTTAGATACATATGTGTATATATAAATATTTTACTTTGATCTATGACTAGAAGAAATAAAAATGAAGAAAAAATTTAAATAATTCATTATAATAACACAGGAAGGTTTTGATATTTAGCTTTCTCTACACAATGTTAAATTTGTTGGAAGTTTAAAGTGCCAATATGATTAAATTCTAGCAATGCTAGCTTTTTAATAACTGTATTAGGGTAATGGTATCTTCTAATAGAAATAAACCCAAAATTGTAGAATGCTTCAAACACAAAACAGTCTGAGACAGTTCTCCTGGTTGGCAGGAGTAGGATAATTCCATGTGGTCAGTAGGGGAGCCAGGCTGGTGGAGACTGTATTTCAGTCTGTGTCCGCCAGTGTAGCTGTGGTCCATCCCTGTCAGCCAGAAAGGGAAAAGAGCATATGTAAATATAGAGGAGAGTTTCATACCATTGTCACACATGTCCCCTCCTGACTGCTTGGGATGCTGGAAAATAGAGTCCTTTAGCTGAGTGCATTGTTACCCTAAGTAAAATTGGGTTCTATTAAAAAATAAAATTGAGACAGGAACAGTCTATCTAACTAGTTTTTACGTATTTTTTTTTTTTCTATAAAAGTATGTTGTAAGTCTCTTCTACCCTCTTTCCAGTTGTTAGGAGGCCTGTCAAAATCTTGATGGAGAGAAGATTCTCCATAGATGGTTATATAAAATAATAAGTAAAGCAGGTCAGTTGCTGAGACAGGTAAGTAGTTGGCAATAGCAGATTTAGTTGGTTAATGGAAATATGCTCTCAGAGAAAGAAGATGATTGCCTTGGGTAGTTTATATGTCTGGGCCTTATAAATAATTTTTAAAATCCTCCCTAGCCAGCTGATCATAGGAAATATGGACCAAAATATTCAAGGTAGTATAAATGGGAATAAAAATTTTTGTTTTAAATATTTGTTACTTTGTTGTTCCTGGAATTAAGTACTGAAATGTTTCTTTCCACATTGGCTATCTACTAAATATCACATGAGGAGAATTTCATTTTCTTAAGAATTATAATGAATCAATGCCCAATTGTATGTTTTTTGTTTGTTTGTTTTTAATGGTCTTTTCTTTGGCCACTGTGTTAGAAAATGAAGTTGGATTAGATCATCTTTAAAGCTTCCTCCAGTTATGTATATCTATAAGTAAATACCTCACTAGCTTAACAGTGACATTGGCAAACATTTGTTAAACTTTTACTGTGTTCTTTGCAAGTGTTAGCTCATTTACTGTTTCTTGAAACAGATAAGTCCTACTCTATGACTTCATTGTATAAATGAGGAATGAGATCTAGAAATTATGAAACTGACTCAGAATCAGATAGTTCCAAAGTGGGCACTCAAATACAGATCTATTAAGCTTTGATTTCCGTATTTAGTCTATACTTACTGCATAAATATTGTTGAGTAGTTCATTATAAAATTTCCTTTGACATCCGTGGAAACTTACTTGTTGCATTTTCAGGCTAATTCAGGAGCTCTTCTCCCAGTCCACCCTCTCTGGCTATAGTTCTTTTAAAAACTCCCTATAGATGTTGCCTTGAAACTAAGGGAGCAAGTGCTGCTGTCGTAATCAGGAAGCTGCTGCTATCGCTGCTGACTCTAAGTACGCTGCCTTTGCTCTGGTTCATACTATGCATGGCTGCCTTTGATCCTACCCCACTCCCCTCTTCATTCAGTTTTGAATTCAAGTTTTATGTGATGTTTGTGGTTGGCAAAAACTACATCATAACTAGAATGTTAGTTTCAAGAAAAGCTGGAAGGCATTCTTAAAGGACATTATTGCCTAGACTATCTCACTTATCTACCAACATGTGATTCTGGCTAACTAACACAAAGCTTAAAATTCAGTTATAAAGCTAAAAGAAAAATACATGGAAAAGTAAATAAGATTTTAGCCCATGTATCTGAAAGGGGCTTGAATTGGTAAACTGTTCAAAGATGAGTGGACTGCCAGATACCTAACTACTTCCTGTCACTGAAGGTGTTTAAACCTAAAAGGTGGCTACCCAGCTGGGATGCCCTGGAAGAAACTTTACATCTCAGTTAGGTGGTTTGTTTCTTCATGTTAATGTAATCCTAAATCAGAAATTTATCAGATTTATATGTTAGGTTTTTCTTTTTCCATTTCAAGATCTTAATAATTACCAGAAAGAAAATATGGACACTTGAATATGTAAGTACTATTCTGGCTGTCAAGTAATTAGCTGACTGCTCCTAACTCTAAAAAACATAGAAGTAGGACAGTAACTTATTCAGTCAGAAGTGGAGGACTCTGATTAATATTTTGGGTAACAGAGAATTACAATCATATATATATTACCAGTTTTCAGTTATTTAGAATATAGCAAAAGTTGCTTAATGATAAGATACATTAGGCACTTATATCTTCTGATACAAAAAAATGTGTTAGATGCACTAGTGATGCATAAATAAGACCTAGACATTAGCTAGGGTCTAGTGAAATTTGCTTCTGTTGTTTTGGAGGAGTGAGGTCAGTAATGAGATGTCTGAAAAGTAAGAGAGGATAAATATTGGTAAAATCCAAAGTATTTAGAAGGAAAAGGAAATGCTCTAAGGAGTGGTAAGCCAGCATTCTGGTTCCTCTATCTTTAAAATATATCCCAAATCTGGTCCACTGTGACTGACCCTTTGTCAATCCATCATCACTTTTCACTGAATTAAAAGCAATAGCCTAAACTGATCTTGTTCTCACGACAGTATATTTTCCACATAACAGCCAGCAGGACATTTTGAAAATATAAATAGAATCATAGTACCTTTCCTAAAACACACAGGACTTTGCTTTAGGAAGAAATATGGACAAACTCAATCCTCAGTTACTTACTATTTCACTCCAGCCTTCTTGCTGTTTTTCATACTTACCAGTCATATTTTTCCTGCCATGGGGGCTTTGTGATTATGTTTTCCTCTACTTGGGACTCTCATGCCAGATCTTGGCATGACTGCTACTTTTTTCCCATTTAGCTCTTAGCCCAAATGCTATCTTGTCAGGGATACCCTTCCTAATCCAATTTAAACTGGCACTTTACCTCTCCTTCTAGTTGTTATTTATCACGATTTTATCTTTACCAGCAGTTATAATTTCAGAAATGTTTTCTAAAGGGTTGCCATTACTCTTCCCCTTTAAATAAATTTATTAAAGATACAGATTTAGCCTCTGTAACAGGGTGGCTAAAATGGAGTGAAAGCTTGTTTCCCCATTAAATAAAAAGTACTTGATAGGCCAATGTGACAACTCTTTTTATCTATTTCTGTATCATCCCCAACATGCTTCTTCCAAACTGTGGTCCAGGGTAGCTGCTCCAACTCCTGTCATCATATCCAGCCAATAAGAAGGAAGAAAAGAGAAATAGACAGCTTCTTCTTTTAAAGGGGTGGTTTGGGAGTTGTACACATCACTTCCCCTCATGTTCTTTGGTTGCAAGTAGATGTTGCAAGGGAAACTGGGGAATGAATATTTAGTTAACTAGGAGCTGGTGCCTATTTAAATCCTGCTATGAAGGCAGACGAAACAACTAGTAATCTTACTAATCCTACTAAGATCCAGGAGAGGTGGAACCTTGTTTATTATTCTTCAGCACTTTGTTCTCAGTATGAAGAAGAGTACCTAGCACATTGTAGATACCTACTACATTTTTATTGAATAAATTAATTGAGAAATTCAGTTTTTTATTCTGGAAGGACTGTGGAAACCCATGGACCTTTTGATTATCAAAATGAAAATATATTCCAGTTTTATTGCTGACTACTTTTTATTTTCTTTATTATCATAGTTTTATATATAGACTGAGAACTAGAAGGAACTATACACAGCATCTAGGTAATGCTTTCATTTTAAAGGAGGAAGAAATTAAATACAAGGCATGCTTCTAAATTAAGTTAAGGAAGAAGACAGTGTAATTGATGTATCAGCTAGTAGGAATTTTAGGTTAGTAGATATCTAATTATATTAACATAAACTTGCATAGAGAGGCCAACAACTCTAACTCCTAAAGATTGAAAATTCCAACTGATCCATTAAATTTGTGGTGCATAATAAATGACATTTTAGGTAAATCATTCTTACACAATTCTGTGTTTTGTTACGTCAAAGCTGTAATCTTTTCCTTTTAATTTAGTAAGCTTTAAAAAAAGGAAAGGAGGGCCTCCCCGATGGCGCAGTGGGTTGAGCACAGTGCTGTGAAGCTGTCCCGCAGCCTCTGCAGCATGAGTTTGATCCCCGGCCAGCCAGGGAGAAACCCACATGGCGTGGCAGACCTCTCCTGCCTCGCCTTCTGCTCCCCTAAGCAGTGTATTTCGGTCCGTCTGCCTGTTCTGCTCCCCACTCTGTCTCTGGTGAATTCTCCCATCCTCCCGCGCCTCTGACCTGTACCCCAGTTCTTGTATAAATAAATAAATTTAAAAAAAAAAAGGAAAGGAATACATTCCAGATAGTTTAAATAGTGTTTGAGAAGCTAAGCAATTTGTCATAAAAGAAATAGAAGGTAGGTAACCTCTTTAAGATCTCTCAAATTCCTGTGGTCTGTAAGTATAAGGTGACACAAGATTTTTGAAGGGGCAATCCTTTCCTTGTACTAGTTCCGGTTGGATACTCATATTTCTTTCTGATGCAGTTATTTGTTTCTATTGTAGAATTTTCATCTCATTGATTACCACCTGGCAGCATTCATCACAGTGATGCTTGCGAGGAGGCTTGTATGGGCCCTCATCTCAGAGGTAACAGCTCATTCCCTATATTCTATCACTTGTAGAGTTAGTTACTAAAATGGGTTCAGGTTGAAAATGTGAAATGTTTAAATATAATTGCATATGGTTATAAATCTCTTCACTCCCAATGTATTGTGCTATTATTTTCAAAGGTTTTTCTACAGTATATTTAAAACCCACATGTGAAATATTTCTAGAGAACTATTAAAAATCTCATTTGTCTGGTAGGAGCTTGTTTTCAGCTTCTGACTTCTTCACTACAATCTTTAAAATAGTAACAGTTACAGTAAATATAGGGTGATTATAGATATGTAGCAATATCTAACTATTGATATGATATGAAGAGTTATATGTAAATAAACAGTTGCATCTCAAACATTGTTTCAGTACCCATCTGAAAAATTGAAATTATATACCATCTGTGGAGTTCTTAGCAATAGACTTCTAGAATTTTAAAATAATATTTAAATTTGCATAAGACTAATCTTGGAGATTAGATACTTACATTATAGTGGACAGTGGAAAAAATAATTTGGACATTAAAAATCATCTTTTTCAAATTAAATATTGACAGAATTCACCACTGGTATCATTTTTTTATAAATCTATAAACTCTAATGAGGAAGGTAAACATTTTCTTAAGATTTTGTTACCATGTGCCCTATAAGTGATTGTAAAAACAAGAAATGTTAACTTAGCTAAAATGGCAAGTAATTTTAATCTTGGAATTTATAAATCAGGTAAAATTTAAAATGAAAGTTACTATAATTTCAGATAGCTGACAGTTATTTTCTTCTGAAACATACATGGACAGTATAAGTTTATAAGCTCTAAATTTTAAGAATCTTATTTCTACACACTGAGTAAATGCAGATATTAATTCATAATCTGAAAGCCTTTGAAGTTAACGGACAACCTTGGTAGGAGGATCATTTATTTGTCACAGTGGAGAAAGCTATAACCTTTTCTCCTTGACTTTTTATTTAGGTCATGATAATAGATGCTTGCTATAGGCTGTATTGAAAAACTATGTTCTTTCTTTAGAGGAACTCAGTGGGATTTCAATTTTACATCTGTTAAAACGGGGAATGATTTTGTTTTGTCCTTTCAGTTACTTAGAAATGGTACTTGTGTATGTCAAGTTAATATGTTCAGTTACTGTGTAAGTGCTTCATAACTGCGGTTTCTACTTGGAACTATAAGGACTTTAACTTGAAGTGCTGTCTTGTTTCTCTTTTTAATGGTTTAGTACCCCTTATGGGCTATAGTTGGAGAATATATTAGCTGTTTCCTAAAGAAACCTGAAATTCTTACTAGGAACAGAATATTTAAGCTAATACAAATGATTTCTAGTCAAAGAGTTAATGTATACAAAGAGTAATGTCTGTCAGAAAGGGAATGTTCAGATAATCATGGTATGTCTACACAGTGGAATAGCATGCAACCATTAAAAAGATGAAAATGTCTTTCTGTATTGACAAACTAGATACTAAGTGAAAAAGCCAGATACAGAATAGTGTGAAAATAAGGTAGGTTGACAGAACAAAATACATATGATTTATATATGAATAAATTATCTCTAGAAGGACATACAGACTTACAATGGACAACCTGGTTGGTAGTTGGGGAAACAGGGCCAGAAGAAGGGAAACTTCATTGCGAACTCTGTTTTATGCTTTGTAGCTTGAACAATGTCAATATGTTACCTATTTTTATATTAAAAGCAAGAGGTTTATAGTGATTCTATTCCTAAAAAAACTAAATTAGGTGGATAAGACCCTTCATAAATTATCTTTCCTTCCATTAAAATATATTTGCCTTTTTTTTTTTTTTTTGCTTATAACACAGAAAGGATCCCTACCCTGAGAAAGAGCAGTCATTTTTAAGGAGAGGCTAGAGGTAATTAATTTAGAAAGCTATATACTATTCTGGGAGGAATACCTCTCCAACCAGATAGACATTGTTTATTCACCTCCAGGTCAACTCTACAAGTGTACTTACTCAGCAAATTAAAAAAAAATTCAACTATTCTTTCACCAACTTGAGGCAGCTCACTTTTTTAAAAATTGAGTTGTTTTTCTAAGTAGTGCATTTTATTGGAAAACACTAAAATATAAAGCAGGAAAAAATGTAAATTATTCAAAACCTCATTATTGAAAGAAGCATGTTTTGGTATATTTCTTTCCAATCTCTATATGCATGTAGAGATTTTATATATATATATATACTTATGATTATATAGTATTATACATATTTACATATTTGGGATATTATCTATATATTGTCAGGATATTTGTGTTTGGAATATTTTTCTACTCCTTACCTAGCTGATTCTTGCTTGTCCTTGAGTTCTCAACTGAAATATCACTTCATCTAAAAGCCTTCCCTAGGTTAGAGTCTCCAGTTTTTTGCTCTCTATAGGAGCCTACTTTTTACTGCAATTATAAAAGTAATTACTTGTATGAATTTTAATACTTGTCTGTCTTTGTTTGCCAGCTTTACAAAGACAGAGGTTTTGTTTGTCTTAGTTACCAATATGTCCCCAGGACCTGGTACAGTATCTGTCACACATAGCACAATGATTAACAGCTTGTGCTCTAGAAAGAGACAAAAATGATGCATACATCCAAGCTCCACTGCCCTGGTGACATTGGGCAGAAGTAGTTTTTTGGTGTTTTTTTTTTTTTCCTGATCCTAAACATATGAGAATGGAGGCCTTGGAGTAATTGCATTAAATATGTGAGGTACATTATTTGCCCTGCAGTGACTGAGGACAACTTGTATCTTCTTCACAATTTGAGGCTTAAGTAATTCATTATGGTATTAATTCAGTTGCTTCTTTGTATTTGTAAATAACTATATAACTATTATATATTGCATGTACATTATATATGCTATGTAGTATGTTGGGTAAACTAAGAAATGAACATATATAGGAGGGACCTGAAAATCTCTTCATCCCCTCCCATGTGCTTTTAACTCCAAATAATTTTTCCCCCTTTCCGGGTTATGGGAATCTACTGTTTCCCCTAACATTGTGCTCATTGTGCCCTTACTAGTTTATTTTGAAAGAAAATGACATTGCAAAGCTTCATGTTTAGACAAGTGTGTTTTCTTACCATATTTCGTCAATTTTAAAGATGTGGTATTAAAAGAATATTTGAACAGCTGTGATACAAAGAATTGGAAGTGTTTATACATCATTTCCATGTTTGCTAAAGTAAAAAAAAAAATTCTATTTATATAGGGATCTGTTAAAGATAATCTAATTACTTTTGAAATTTCAGTAATTCTTTAAACATTAATTTAGCAAACAGTTTGGGGTGAGTATTCAAAGAAAAACAGAAGCACTGTAGCTGCTATTGAGGCCTTTACAGTATAATTGGCAATAGAACAACTAAATTAGTGACTCACTATCTCATAAAGAATTACCTGGTGGGTTGTTAAAATACAGATTCCCTGTTCTCTTTTGGAAAATTGATAGGAATTTACGTATTCATAAGCAGCTTAAGTGATTCTGATTAATTTGGTTCATGGATCAGATTTTGAGAAGCCCCAATGTAAACAAGCTAGATAGCATTATAAAAACTTAAAGGAGGTATCTGTATAGGGCACTTTAGGTATGCAAGGAGGAAAAACTAGCTGCTCAGAAAAATCTGAACCTTCAACAATGAAAAAGTGGGATGAGACAGTTTTTCTTTCCATACCCTCCCCTTCTACCTTCCTTTTTTTTTAAATTCACAGTTTATCTTCCTCTAAAAATTACTAAGTCCTTATTTGAATAGGATCATTTATAAAATGTTTCTTTTGGTGCTTCCACCTTTCAGGCCACTAAAGCAGGTGCAGCATCTATGATTCACTACATGATTCTCATATCAGCTCGCTTAGTGCTACTTACTTTGTGTGGATGGGTGCTTTGTTGGACCCTCGTCAACCTCTTTCGAAGCCATTCAGTCCTCAATCTCCTTTTCCTTGGCTACCCGTGAGTACTTCAATTTTACTTTTTCTTTTTAGTAAGTCTTTTAAGAAATTATACGAGGGCCTCCCCGGTGGCGCCGTGGATTCAGTGCTGTGCTGTGAAGCTGGCCGCAGCCTCTGCAGCATGGGTTTGATTCCCGGCCAGCCTGGGCAAAACCCACGTGGTATGGCAGACCTCTCCTGCCTCTCCCACTGCTCCTCTCAGCAGTGTATTTCAGTCTGTCTGCCTGTTCTGCTCTCCACTCTCTCTGGTGAATTCTCTCACCCTCCTGTGCCTCTGGCCTGTACCCCAGTTCTTGTATAAATAAGTAAATCTTTAAAAATAAAATAAAATAACAATGATAATGTTAAAAAAATAAATTATACAAATCATGCAAATGATATAAAAGAGTGAAAAATGAAATTCTTCAAATATAAACCAAGCTTTCAGAAAATTAGGAAATCAATGTGGGGGATAATCATAGAATTTATTTTCTAAATAGAAATATAATTGTAACAATTATTTAAACCAAGACTATCCTAGGAAACTTGAGAGGTATGGCTGGCTGCCCTACCAATGGAGAATATTTTCATTAACTCTTCACCAATTGAAGGCCCCTGTATTGCCTATATTGGGACAAATTGTGGTTAATGTTAGTTAAATCAACTGGCTCAACCATTCTTACCCTTTTTGTAAAATTAAAGCTCAAATTTAAAATTTTAACCATGGGGCCGTCCTGGTGGCAGAGCGGGTTGAGTGCAGCGCTGTGAAGTTGTCCGCAGCCTCTGTAGCACCTGTTCGATTCCCGGCTGGCCAGGGAGAATCCCACATGGTGAGGCATCTCCTGTCTCGCCCACTGCTCCCCTCAGCAGTGCTTTCGGTCTGTCTGCCTGTTCTGCTCCCCGCTTTGTCTCTGGTGAATCCGCTTACCCTCCTGCGACTCTGGCCTGTACCCCAGCTCTTGTATAAATAAAATAAATCTTTAAAAAAAATTTTTTTTTAACCATTCTTATGGGTCTGTAGTAGCATCTTACTGTGCATATTGGTTATGAAACTGCTTTTCATAGCTTAACTTGTATATAGTTATCTAATTGTATATATTTGTATACCTTTGACCTTCATTAGATTTTAATAACTACCAATTATTAAATTCTTATTATGTGCTAAATGCAATCAGTAGTCTTTGCAAAGAGAAAGACAGGCTGAGAGACTAAAAACTTTCTTGTGGTCAATTAGTAAAAATGACTAAGGTCCTTTTGACTCCAGAGTCCTCATCTTAGCCATTATTCTATGAATAGTTTTATTCTATGAGTGATACCCAGCACAATACCAGCATTACTTGAAAAGTTGTTAGACATTCTCAGTCTGTCCATAACCTATTAAAAACAAAAATTCTGGAAAGATGGAACCAGCCATTTGTCTTTTAACAAACCTTCCAGATGATTCTGATACTGTTCAAATTTGAGAATCATTATTTTATGCTGTTATGTTGCTGAAGTCTAAGAATAGATAATCACATAGTATAAAATCAAGACATAATCAGAGATTATGGCAAGGATGCATAGAGAGACTTCTGTTGGTGATATTGTAGCAGGTCAAATGATATTGTTTAAGCTACTATTTAAAGCACTCATCAGTTCAACTCATTAATATTATTCTTTTTCCTTCAAAGTAAATTTTCTGTGGTATAACATAGAAATCACTTTTTGTGATTCATATTTCTTATAAGGTGTCTATTTTACATCAATTTTTTCTATATTTCTAGACCATTTCAACTGTTTGGTTGGAAACAAATGATCTTGTTACTCTGTTTACCAAAAATAGCTGGTTAAACAAGTTAGGAGGTTAGCCATATTTGATTTGAAAGACTAATTCTGGATATATATCCAGGAATATTTTGACCAGGTTTAATAGGATATCATCATCAAAATGGCTAACAAACTTTTTCATTTCAATCTAAGTGCCCATGTAAACAGTAATGTAAGCAGGTAAGTTTAAACAAATTTTAGGTTTAAATATATTTACCTTTCCTTTTTAAAATTTGCACATGTAATATACCTTTTATCTAGTTTCAATTTAAAAATTTTAAGGATGAGATATTTAAAATATTAGACTATGGCAGTAGTATAGTCATGTACTGTCTAACAATGTCTTGATTGTATATAAAGGTGGTCTCTATGTACAGCCTTGCTATGTTTGGGCTATACCATCTCATTTTGTGTAGTAAACTCTGACATTCACATAGTGAAAAAGCATCTAAAGGCATATTTCTCAGAAGATAATCCTGTTGTCAAGTGACACATAACTGTACCTCTTTATTTTATTGTTTATTTATAGACTAAAAAAGAGATGCTTTTTGCCCCTTTTTTTCCCCCATTGATTCTCAAATAGCTTCTCAATATAGGATAAATTAGTCCAAAGATTAATAGTTATACCTCTTAAATTTAACTTGAATCTGCCCACAGATCTCCATAATCTCTGTAACACTCTAAATCTCGATCTGGTCTTCTGGTAGTCTGTTCTTGCCACTCTCTGTTCCATTTTTCATTTTGTCTAGAATGATTTATCAAAATGGAAGTTTAATCATGTTACTAACCCATTTTAAAATTCCTTAATGTATAATTTTTTTGCCTTACAAAGCCCTCCATTGTCTAAACCTTTGATACTACCTTTTCACTTTCTCCCATTCTAGCCTGTATCACTTAATCTATTGCCACAATAATGTAACAACCACAAGACCGTGATAGCATACCACAGTATGTATTTATTGTGCATGTATTGGGGTCATCTGAAAGTCAGGATGCTCTCCTAATCTTACCTGGGTTCAGTTGCATATCTGGGATTGACTAGCTATCAGTTTAGGTAACTAGGACAATTCAGCTGAGTTATACATGTCTTATACTCTGGCAGGCCTGCTACACAGGGTCTCGTGAAATTGACAGAGTGGCAAGACTCACTGTGCTTCATGATTGCAGCATGTCTGCTGACATTCCACTGGTCAAAACAAGTCACATTGTTGAGCCTGGCATGGGGGTGGGGCAAGTCACCTCACCCACAGAATAAGGTCTGTGCAGTTACATGGCAATGGGTAAGACTAGAAGAAGAAATGGGGCCACCATTGCAGTCTGCCACATAGCCTAACCTCTTGACCACGCTTCTCATGTATAGTTTGTGTTTCAGCAGTCTTCACTTTCAGCCTCTCTAGCCTTCATAATACTCAAACTCCTAGGCAAGCTTATATTTTTACCCTCTTCCTTTTCTCTCTCCTTTTTTTCATTTTGAAAGATATTAATTTTCTGTTTATTGACGTTGTGAGTCTAATCAGTCTTTGGAATATAAACTTCTCAGGAGAAACCAAAGCATTGTTTGGTAACCAAAAGTTGTTCTTGGTTCTGATCTCTAGAAAAACTATGAACAAGTGACATTTAGTAATTTTTTAAATAAAATATGTAACCGGATGTATCTTTTTACTTCCTGTTTTTCATATCTGAACTTATGTTGGTGAAATGACTATTTTTATTACAATACCTAGGTCACAATATGGAAGTTACTTAATTTATACTTGGAGAAGTATTTAAAAAATTTTAAGGAACCAAAGGTTGGAGTACATATAGGAAGTTATTAAAAGTTTCAAAAATAATTCAGTCCTTTAATAGGGTAATTCCACTAGTAGAAATTTATTTATTGTACTTCTGAAATTAAAAAAAAAATCATCAAATATGTATTGTGTTCTTTGCATGTTTCAGCCACTGTTCTAGGCATCAAGGCTATAGTGAATTAGACTAAAATCTCTGCTTCATGGAACATACGTTGTAATGAGGGAAAGAAAGAGCAAGGGGATAAAATCTCGAATAAACATGTAAAATATCTGAAGTAGTAAGATATATGGGGAAATATAGCCAGGCAAGGGATCCTAGACATGCTTGTGTGCATGCTTACGGGCATGTGGAGGTGGGTGGCAGGGGTCTCCTCCCTAAGAAGGAGAGATTTGAAATAAAGGGCAAGCCATTCAGAAATTACGAGGTGTACACATCAGTCTATGTTAGAAAGTGCTTACGTGTTATGACGTATGGTAGTAGAAAGTAAACAGCCTAAGTTTCCAGCAAGAAGGAAATTAGTAAATTATGTTATATCTGTATGATACTATAGTATCAGTAAAAATTATTATTGAAAAATATTTAATGACACAAGAAATGCTTAGTACTTATATACTTAAGTGCAAAGTTTAAGCAGCAGGATACAAGTTTATATTGTATGAGGCTGAATATATAAAAGAAAGTATGAGACCTCCCTGGAGGCGCAGGCGGTTGAGCGCAGCACTATGAAGCTGTCCACAGCCTCTACAGTGCAGGTTCGATCCTGGCCAGCGGGGGAGATACCCACATGGTGCGGCAGACCTCTCCTGTCTCGCCTGCTGCTCCTCTCAGCAGTGTATTTCAGTCAGTCTGCCTGTTCTGTTCCCTGCTCTGTCTCTGGTGAATCTTCTTACACTCCCTCACATCTGGCCTGTACCCTTACCCTGGTTCTTGTATGCGTAAATAAATAAATCTTTTTTAAAAAAAGTATGAAGTCTGTATCCCCAATCATAAAAATTATAGAAACAATTATTTCTATGTGATTTATATTTTGTTGTTGCGATTTTTGTAGTTTGCTATTATGTAATGAACATATATAACTTTGTGGGTACACATTAAGGAGCTACCCAAATAATGAATTTAGCATCAGCAAAAGTCCCCATTATGTTCACTCTAATGAATCATGACTATTTTACTAATATAGTTATAAGCTCTGATCTTAGGTGGTATCTGTGGTCTGATTTTCATATTCACCTTTTCCCTACAGATTTGGTGTATATGTTCCTCTCTGCTGTTTCCATCAAGATAGTAGAGCTCATCTTCTCCTCACAGACTATAACTATGTGGTTCAGCACCAAGCAGTAGAGGAAAGCGCCTCAACTGTGGGTGGTTTGGCCAAATCCAAAGACTTCCTCTCCTTATTGCTGGAGTCTCTGAAAGAACAGTTTAATAATACCACGCCTATACCCACCCACAGCTGCCCCCTATCTCCAGACCTCATTCGTAATGAAGTAGAATGCCTGAAAGCAGATTTCAACCACAGAATCAAAGAAGTCCTCTTCAACTCCCTCTTCAGTGCCTACTATGTTGCGTTTCTTCCCCTGTGTTTTGTGAAGGTAAGTAGTTATCTTGCTTTTAAGAGCTTCCTGGATTTGTGTGAATTACGTAAACTGGGTATTTCTTATTTAATCCCCCTTTTCTCTGTCTCCCCTTTGGCAGCCTGGATGGTGGAGTTCGGCTGCATCTGGAGTGCACTAATACCGCTCCTGGTTGGCGGATAGGTATTTCCATATATGTGATGCACCCGTGGTGGTCCCCTCTTTTTTTCTTTTCTTTTTTTTAGTTTTTTCCTGTTTTCTTTCTTTATTTTTTGAGTTTCCGGGGAGAGTAAAACTTGAACTTACAGTAGAATCACTATGTGATAGTTTAAGAGGACTGAAGTTTCCATGCAGTTCAGCCTACTGTAGTTGATTTTAACATGGTTATCAAGAGTTTCCTTGAATTTAATCTAACCTTATTCTAAACTTCAATTTACTTCAGTAGAAAAGGAAAAAGGTCCTGGATGTCACTTGGGCCCAAAATCTTTTGGGACATTTTAGTGTCCTTCCTTCACCCATTGAGCAGCACATCTGCAGCCGGAGTGGTCATTCACAGAGAACACTCATTTCTTCTAGAAAGGAAGCACTTGAAATATAATTGCCTCTCCCTCCCAACCCTAACTCATACAGCCAGAAAGTCAGGTTGAAGGATTTTGGAAAACTCTGCTCTTGAACTTTCTCCACGGACAGCAGGACAACCAATGCATGTGTGACTCAGTGTAACATATGTCTGCAGGGCGTATGTACACGCACCCTTCCCTGCCTTCTTGCTCACCAGTGCATGGATCATTCCTGTCTCTTCTGGTCTCTTGCAGAGTACCCAGTACTATGACATGCGCTGGTCGTGCGAGCATCTCATTATGGTGTGGATCAATGCTTTTGTCATGCTTACCACACAACTCCTGCCATCCAAATACTGTGATTTGCTACATAAATCAGCTGCTCACCTGGGCAAGTGGCAGAAGCTGGAACATGGGTCCTACAGCAATGCTCCACAGCACATGTGAGTAGGCTGGAGGGTAAACCATGTAACATCTTTCTACATGCTGCTGATCATGTTTATTTGCTTTGTATGTCATTCTTGTTCTTGGCTTTGACATTTAATTTTTAGTTTTTGTCCACATGGATGCTTGTAATCACTCTAAACTGAACACAGGGGACATTAACTCATTTCCACCACCATTCCCAGTCCCTTCTTAAATGACTCCTACCTTTCAGCTACCCAGTCACTCTAGAGTATGTAATTTGTTTCCCAAGCAATAATCTCAGAGTTTTCTTTCAGTCTTAACCCTTTGCCCAAATCAGAGAGTCATGATATATTTTTAATTCTTTTTAGAAGACTTTAAGTTTCATCTCCTCATCTTCATTGCCATAGCTAAACAGTTGCTAGCTAATCATCTCACACTTAGGCAGCTGAAATTTGCTTCTCTTCTTTTCTTTCTAATAAATACAGATTTGTTTTAGTAATTTTCTTTGCCTGCACCTTCTATTTCTCCGCTTCTTCCTAAACTCATAGTTAATGTTTCCCTGCTTTCCCCATATTTAAATGAAAACTGTCCCTAATTGAGCTCTAAGTATTCCTTTCATTGTGTCCCCTTACCAATTATTTTTCTGCATGATTCCTATGATCCAAAATGGCTAGCTTTAGAAACCTTATGTTCTCTCATTCTTGAGCCTTTTATCATACCTTCTTCTCAGATCTGGACCATCTTCATCTTCTTCCCTCTTATAATTTGAACATTTCACAAATTTCATCACCTAGAAATTCTTTCCTAATTAAGTGGGACAGACCGAGGTGACCTTCCCTTCCCCTCTCCCCCTGAGTCCTCCCTTCAATTATCTGCCTTGATGTCTGATACAGATTAGCACAGGCCTTCAAGCCCAGGAACTGAAAGAGATTGGGCCAGGCTGAAAAGAAACCCGACTGTGGGCAAGGACAAATTTCAATAAAAATTGAAAATACAATCCACAGTACTAGTACTGTACATCTTCAGGCTCCTGATGGCACATGGCCATGAGGTGTATCATCACTTTAATGCTGGTAAGTGTGAGCAAGGCTGATGGAACATTTTCTGAACTGGGAAAGCTTCAGGGTGCTAGAATTTTTTTTTTAACATATCTAAAATGCTGTCCCAGTTCTTACTCTAGGAAACTAACCTTTCCAAAATCAGGAAGAGATGAATTAACTTAGACTTTTTTACAAAGCTTAACCTGAAGATCCCCATCCCCACCCCAACTCCATTACGTTGGTGCTGGAAAGAATGAAACTTCTCCTGTAACTTCTTTTTCCTAGAGAAACCTCTATAAAAATAAACCAAGAAAGCGGTAAAAAGTCTGTGTGTCAGTACCTTGTGTGTCTCTATGTCTTCTGTATAACTTTTTGCATGTATGAGGTATTTGAAGTGTAAATAAACAAACAAACTGATATTTTTTAGTTTTTATGGATATAATTCTGTAGTGAATATCGCGCTAGTGTGACATGTTAATTTTTCCACTGCACTACTGCCATCTACTTTCTATTGTTTGTTCCCTCTAGCATTTCTACCAGTAGACTGCTCACTTGGGACTGAGATGAAAATTCACCTGCTTATTCTCAATTTTGTGATTCCATAGATTCCTTGCTTACACATTTATTTCTGCTCAGTGTCCTTGTACGCTGAGTTAACTGTATAGCTTTGCTGCCTCTCTCTACTATGTAGTAATGAAATAATAACAACAAATCCCTTCTAACTCCTTCTAGTTTTACCATGGAATTACTATATTTTCAGAATTCAGGCAGATGAAGCCTTGAATACTTAATCTGTTCTTTAGAAATAAGCTGGCATTCCTAGATGCTATCTTATCTGTAACTGTAAATATGCCGACATTGCATTTCTTTCTCCCTTAGTTGGTCAGAAAATACAATATGGCCTCAAGGGGTGCTGGTGCGACACAGCAGATGCTTATATAGAGCCATGGGGCCTTACAACGTGGCAGTGCCTTCGGATGTATCCCACGCCCGTTTTTATGTAAGTCATGTTTGTTTATTTTTAAAAATAAATTTACAGGTTGGTGTTAGAAGGCTACTCTGTGTGTCAGCATCTTGTACAGTGTGTAGAACATACTAGGAAATTAATACATGGTGATTATTACTGTTTCTGTGATAATGGCCGCAGACCTTTAGAAACATCTTCTGAAAGATAGTTTGAAGGTCACACACCATAACCCCAACTTCATGCTATACTTTGCTGGCTTCTGTAGTTAACATTGAAATTGTTGAGTCTGGTATTAACTTGAAACAAGAAGGCAATTCTCAAGATTTAAGACTTCTTTTTTAATTTTATAATTTAGATTTGTAGTGGTTTGGTTTACTGGTATCCTTATTATATCTGTATCCTTAAACAATATTTATTGTAGTATTATGAGGTAGTTTTTATTGTATTTGTTTTATTTTTAATGTTTTTGGTATTTGTCATATATATCACCTCCTTAAAATACCATGATTTCCCTTGTGAAAGACAAATATCATGATCTATGGCTTAACTTTAGCCTTCTAGGCTAAGAAAAAGGGGCTTTAAAAAGTTAAAAAGGAAAAAAAAAACCAAGTGTGTAGTGCTTTGCTTTTGAATGGACATCATATTCTAAAAAAAAAATAACTAGAGATACTTTAATGCCTTTCACCCACGCTCTCCATCCCTTTATTCATCCCGGCTCCAAATAAAGATACATGGGCTTTCTGCTCCTGCAGGTATTAAGGGCCCTTTCAATTAGATACTGAGAACTTGCATCAGGGCAGAATGTTTGGAAATACTGTGGCATAGGGGAAGGTGGGGCAAGTTGGGTTTGGGAGGAGCATGAGGAAAGTGAACGTCCCTTGAATGAAGAAACTGTCCTCTCCTAGACTTCTGTGGGATTGCTTTAGAGAGGGAGAGTCACAGCTACATAAGCGTTTGTTTCTATACAGAATATTTAATTCAGCCAGCTGAATTCCATGTGCCATTAATGATTTCTGTTGATCCTTGCTATCCTTGAAACCTACAATAACCAGGTATTTTATTAGAATTTTATGCTTGAAAAATAAGTACGTTCCTTGTTAGCATTGAAGAGTGCAAGAATCAGGTAAAATCCATAGAAAGAGGATTAGGCAAGCTAACTTATTACTGATTTTGCCTAACCAAACAGGTAAATCAGTGCTTCTCAGAATATCCTTGGCTACTTACATATAAATCACATGTCTCACTCTTTAAAAATAGTTCCCTACCCCAGACTTGTGAAAATAGTTGGAAGATCACAGGAATTTGTATCATCTGCATATTTGGAAGTGATTGTTAGGCAAACTGAAGATTGAGAACATTCATTTAAAATGTGCCTTAAGGGCCTCCCCGGTGGCGCAGTGGTTGGGTTGAGCGCTGGGTTGCGAAGCTGCCTGCAGCTTCTGCAGGGCCGGTATCCCTGGCTGCTCCCAGCCACTGGAGGAGGGTCCCACATGACGCGCAGACCTCTCCTGCCACCCGCTGCTCCCCTCAGCAGTGTACCTTGGTCCTTCTGCCTGCTCTGCTCCCCTCTCTGGCTCTGGTGAATTCTCTCACCCTCCTGTGCTTCTGACTGTAGCCAGTGCTTGTATAAATAAATAAATAAATCTTACCAAAAAAAAAAAAGTGCCTTAAATTACCTGTAACTGTTAGAATTTAAAATCTATTCTCACTTTCTACTCATTCAGTTTACTAGAGCATTTACTTGTAATTATTATAATTGCAATAGAATCTGAATCTTTGGGGCCTCCCCGGTGGCGCAGCGGTTGAGCGCTGGGTTGCGAAGCTGCCCATTGCATCTACAGTGCCGGTTCGATCCCCGGCTGCTCCCGGCCACCGGAGGAGGGTCCCACATGGCATGCAGACCTCTCCTGCCGCCCGCTGCTCCCCTCAGCAGTGTACCTCGGTCCTTCTGCCTGCTCTGCTCCCCGCTCTGGCTCTGGAGAATTCTCTCACCCTTCCGCTTTTCTGACTGTACCCAGTGCTCGTATAAATAAATAACTCAATCTTTAAAAAAAAAAAAAGCTAAACAATATTCACAATTTAAAAAAAAAAAAATCTGAATCTTTGTGGAATATTAATTCAGAACCATTTTTGTACATAACATAACTGGGTATCATGTAATAAGACCCAGGTTAAATATTTTCTCTCTCCTGAAGATCCCCTGACAACCTGGCTACCTTTCAGAGCTGTCATGATGATTTGGCTTTATTCTCAGGTTGAGCACTGAGGCCTATTAAGTTAGTTCTTTTAGACCCGATATACCACCAATGTTCCAAATCTGTCTCCATCTAAATTTAAGAATGGGGGCCCTCTGGTGGCGCAGGGTTTAAAGTCACTTTCAAGCTTTCGCCAGCCATTGCAGCATGAGTTCAATCCCCAGCCAGGGAACTAACCCACATGGCACAGCAGACCTCTCCTGTCTCACCTGCTACTCCCCTCAGTAGTGTATTTCAGTAGATCTGCCTGTTCTGCTCCTCACTCTGTCTCTAGTGAATCCTCTCATTCCCACCCCCAACCCGGCACCTCTGGCCTACATCCCAGTTTAAAAATAAATAAATTTGGGGCCTCCCTGGTGGCACAGGGGTTAAGACGCAACTATGAAGCTGTACGCAGCCACTGTAGCACAAGTTCGACCCCCGGCTAGGGAGCTACCCACATGGTGCAGCAGACCTCTCCTGATTTGCCCGCTGCTCCCCTCAGCAGTGTATTTCAGTCATTCTGCCTGTTCTGTTCCCCACTCTGTCTCTGGTGAATCCTCTCACCGCCCTGTACCTCTGGCTTGTACCCCAGTTCTTGTATGCATAAATAAATAAATCTTTACAAATAAATAAATAAATTTAAGGATAGGCTGGTTTTGTCAAATTGTTCAATAATGTTTCCTTGTAATCTCTTACCGCTAGCTTCCTAGACATAATATATTTTTGTTAGTAAGCCAGGTTTTAGCCAAACTCTAGTTGACTAATTTTCCTTCCTTCCTCGTTGTCCTGTCTTTGTATACCTACTTCTCAATATTCAAAGAAAAAACCCAGCAGAAATACAGGATACAGAGGACTTAAGTCATTGACCATGGTGCAGTAGACCGTTTAAGGAAAAAACAAGAAATTACTGCATTTGTATTTCAACTTCACCTTCCCCAATCCCACCTTTTCTAGTATAGGTGTTTATGTCTGAAAACCAGCCCATTAACTAATAATGACGTTTGTATTTATAAATGGTTACATTCTAAATAGTTATGTACCTACATAACATCTTCATTTTTTTCTTTTTCTGTTTTTATAGTCCAAAGGTCTTTTATTTTTTTTCAACACCTGTCATGCCATGAATTCACAGAGAACGGGTTCCAGCAGCCCAGGCTTCTTTCCGTTGGTTCTCAGCAGTGTTTCTCTGGGTGAAGCAAGTTGACACCTGAATTGAACCAACGAAGTACCTTTCTCTTTGGCTTCCTTTTTTTTTTTTTTTTTTTTTCTATTTACTTTCACATGTTTCGGGAAGCTGTCTCTGCTCTTAAAGTGCTTAATATGCTCAATACGAACACTCATTCTCTTGGCAAGAGTCTGGCCCTTTGTTTACAACAGTGCCAGCTGCCTGCTGGGTGACACTGTGGTCTCCCCCAGTTTTGTCATGGTAACGTGTGTGGGACATTCCTTTTTGAACCGTGCCCATCCCTTTGATGTGTATAGTATCACCTTTCTGGTAGGATCCCATGTATGTTGCCAAAGGGACTGCTCTGTTCTTTCTAAAAGGCCTAGAGAATATATCATAGGGGCCTCTGTTCCTTCCTTTGTGCAAATCATTTTGGAGATTTACTAGAAGATGGCGGTTCAGGCTGAAAGGCCACCTTTTTCTCTTACTTATAAAGTCTAAAATCCTTTATCTGGTCCCCGTCTTAGATAAATATACTTTTGGTTATCTCAAATGAAATACATTCCTAAGATATAACCTAAGAAAAATCTTTTAAAGTGAGGCTCTTTTGGGCATAATCCCTTTCCATGTTTCAAGGACATTGAAATAAAATTTATTTTATTGTTTCTTGAGCCTGAAGGAAAAGGTTTGAGTATCTAGAGCAAGAAATAGCCTGATTGATATTCTGTATGCAGATCTCAGGCAGTTATGTTATTACATATAGGGACCTTTAAATGTGAAGTTATTTTAGGGAAAAATGTGATAATTTATTTTTCTGCGAAATAACATTTTGATTTTTAACTTCTTTGCAGTTCCTATTTCATCGTCCATTAAGGCTGTTAAATCTGCTTATCCTTATTGAGGGCAGTGTCGTCTTCTACCAGCTCTATTCCTTGCTGCGGTCGGAGAAGTGGAACCACACACTTTCCATGGCTCTCATCCTCTTCTGCAACTATTATGTTTTATTTAAACTCCTCCGTGACAGAATAGTATTAGGCAGGGCTTACTCCTACCCACTCAACAGTTACGAACTCAAGGCAAACTAAGCTGGGCTACGCTGCCTCTCAACAATGAGGGAGAACACAGATAAAAATATTTTCATACGTTCTATTTTTTTCTTGTAATTTTTATAAATATTTAAGATATTTTATATTTTGTATACTATTATGTTTTGAACGGTGGGAAGGGGTAAGGGACATTAAATGTATCCATAAACAAGGTGATGTGATCGTTCCTGTGTTAGCATACAAGGGGTGTGCCTCTCCAGTAAAGACATTGATTTGTTTGTATGACTCTGGAATAACTCATTCATTTATGAACATCTCGTTTATCACTTGACACAGCACCTTTGGGGTGACTGCTTTTCTTCCAATCCTTCTCATCTTTAGTTTTCACCTGGCCTATTGCTACAGAAAAGGCAATCAGTGGCGTTTCCTCCCAACCCCCATTCTTTTGACTTCTGTGTTGGACTACTGGTGGGCAGGGAGGGGGTGAGTGAGTGGTCCTTTGGGTGGGATTCTCTTTGTTGCTTGCTGTAAAGGAAGCGTTTCAAGACAGGAACTCAGCATTTTATTCTGCTCTGTAACCTTTAAATAAGCCACTATCCTAAAATTCGACTGTTTCTATTATTTTTCCTGCTCTTTCATTCTTTTTCCTCCCAAGATTTACTGGTTAGCTTTTTGAAATAGTAATTTTTAAGATAAAGTTTGGAATGTTGACATGCATGAAGTGGTGTGTGGTTAGATCTGTGGGAGAAGATGCGTGCAGATGCCATGTGGGCTAGAGTATTAGCAGGTTGAAGATACTGAGTAACTGAGAATGGGTGAGTCCTCAGTTAAAGTCACATGCAGTCTACTAGCAACCCACCTACAATGGCCTGTTTGGAGCTATGAGTGGAAGTAAAATACAAGAAGTTACCTCTTTGTCCTCAAATAGTTTGAACATTATATTCCAGAACCTTCATGTTTGTGAGCATTTTAAGTCCATGTTCTTAAAAGAGGGGTACTTAGCCAGCTAATATTGTTACTAATCTTTTAAACTTCTGAGGCCCTGTCTTGAGAGCCTGAATATATTTTCATGTTTTTGTGGTTGGTTTGCATTTTTTACACTCTGAAATTTGCAGGGAGACACAGTATGACATGAAATATAAAGGCCGATCATATAGTTCATAAACTGGCTCAGAAAACTGTTCTTGCAGAGGAGTTCCCAACAGGTTTTCAGTGAAGACAGCATATGAGGAATTAGGCATGTATACAGCTCCCCAAAGTGATTGCTATTTTTATTTTATTTTGTGATTGCTATGTTTAACTATTGGTTCCTAAAATATTTTGATGTTAAGAGTTTTTAAAAAAATTAATTGGCTAGTCTGTCTTCAGGCATTCAACAAATATACATTGAACACCAAGCACTATATTAGGCATTAGAATATAGCAATGAATCAAAAATACAAAGACCCTCACAGAGATTACAATGTGGGAGCTGCAGAATATTCCTTATATAAATGTATAATGTCTCTTGGTAGTAGTAATAAGTGTAAAGAGAAAATATGGCAAGGAAGTAGAAGGTGCTAGAGTGACATTACTAGAAAGTATCTTTGACTAGGTAATTATTGAACACAGATCATATGAAACAAGACTGAGCCATATATATAGTTTTGGGGGAGGGGATGGTTGAGGGGGATTTCCACATTCCAGTAACAGCAGAAGCAGTGCCCTGGAGTGATAACAATTCTGGTGCATGAGAAGACACAAGATAACCCATTTATTGGTTGTTTTTTGTAATGTGGCCTGAGTGGGGGAGGCTGGGAAATCTGCCATGTCATTATTCTTTGGGCTGTTGAAAATAGACTTCTTTTGGCTAGCAAACATTTTTGATGAAATTACTTCATGATGAAAGGGGGGTCTGGGCTTTAAGATCTCAGCAAAATGATCCCAACTCAATCCTGTCATTGAAATGTAGACTAGATAATGTATTTCAGACAATGGATGACTAGTAAGCTGACATGATTTCTCCTTTCCAGTTTGAGCTGTCTTGGTCATCTCTTAAAGGAGTAGCACAGGAGGGCCAGTGCCAGATAGGCTAAACAAATGCTTGAATATAGGAACTAAAAATTAATTTTGGCTTTTGGAATTGCAAAGTGCCCCCAGCTCCTTCCAGGTAGGACGGTATCAGGAGGCTAAAACCCTTGAGCTTATTATGCTCCTAGCCATTGCAACTGTTTCAGGTGACACAGTCAGCAAGTTGCTGGTTACCTGTGTATTTCTTGTTACTTGTGGATCATGTGAAAGAAAGGACACCATCCTTCTTAGTGATAGGACATACATACCCATTAAAGATTGCTTTCCTGTAATTGTTTTTATGTTGGGGAATTAAGTTGCATATGGGAAAAATGGTATAGCAAAACATCAGTTGGCTGAAGTTGGATTAATGGAAAAGGAAAGATGTCTAACTAGTTATATGGGCAGTTTATGGTGAGTAAATGTGTCAGGCGTAGGTAGAAGTTCAGAAGCATAAGCATAAGGAAAATATTTCTCAGTATCCTATTTGCTTTGACTCCCTGTTAATTCCCTATTCTACTTTCTCTTCCTTCCCTATCAATCACCAGTGCCACCCCAATTTCTATTCACTGAGCAATTATGTGACAGACACTGCTGGGTACCAGTGATATTCAGAGTAGGAGGCAGACTAGTTAGTAGTTGTAAAAACTGTGTTTAGTAAAGCAAATACTTAAAGGATGCAGAGAAAGAAAGCTTGGAACCTGTGGTGTCAGGGAAGACTTCACTGAAGCAGTAACATACCAGATGCATTTTGAAGGACCAGGAGTTTACCCCAGAGGTGAGGAAGCAGACTTAATGCGGCAGGAAGGGGAAGGCATAAACTCAAGGCATGCACTAGGTTTTTTAAATAACTAGTACCATAATGCTAGAGAATTGGGCAAGGACTAGATTACAGAGGGAGTTGAATTGTGCATTAAGAAATTTGGATTTTTTAAAACATTCTAAAAGTGGCATGCTTGAACACTGCATGAGGAAAGTCAGAATCTCGAGGGTGAGGCACTAATAGGCAGTTTCATAAGCTCTTCAAGAAATCTGGGAACTTTTTAAGGCAGAAGACAGCTAATGAAAAAATATTAAACAAATAACTTCAGACTTAATATTTCACAGGGTTCTCAAATCAAGGATTCTCAAAGTATGATTTCTGGACTGGCAGCATCACCTAACTGGGAACTTGTTAGAATGGGGATTATCAAGCCCTACCCCAAACCTACTAAGAAACTCTGGATGGAGTCCAGAAGTTTGTTTCAACACATTCTCCAGTTAAATCTGATGTATGCTAAAGTTTGAGACTCTGAAGACAACTTTGGCACCAATATGTAGGCTAGGTTTGAACAATGTCAATGAGACATCTTGGAGACCAGTCAGCCAATCATTATGAAAGTATGCTTACAGAATTGGAGCGGGAGGCGACTGCTTGTGGTAGAAAAAGTCATGGCATAAAGTAATGTAGGGAAAGTATGTGGAGTGAAAAGGATAGAATTCGGATCAGTAACAGAACACAAGGGTAGAGGAAGAGGAAGTGTTCAAATGAACAAGACTAACAAAGTCCAACAGAGGAGATTAATTCATGTTTCAAGGGGGAAAAAAGACCAATTGTATCAAAGAGGGAAATCAAGAGAAGTGACTGTTGGATCTAGTTGTTAGATCATTGGGTAACTGTAGCAAGAAAATTTCAGTGGAGTAATGGTGATGGCGGTCTGATTGCAGTTGGTCTAACATAATGAATGAAGAAGTAAGCAGTGAAAATTGAAGACTCTTGAAGAAACTAGAGGCCAAAGATAGTAAAGGGGAGGCATGGTTGGGGAAGGTGTTTAAGAAAGCAGGGATTTTTTTAGCATGTTTATATGCTGCAGGATAGAAGCCTGAAGAGGACAAGGCTGAATGTAGAGGAGTTAGAGAATAATGGATGCAAGGAGATTGAGAACCCAGGAGTCTTGGGATCTCTTAGGGAAAGGGGAACTCTTCCTCTGAGCTAGACAGGAGTTACGTACCATATATGCATAAAGGGAAGTGGCAGTGGGAGGCTAGAGAAACAATATAAACTGAAGAAATAAGTTATTATTGTGGGGGGATGAATAATAGTCTTTGTGAATTCAGGGAATGAGTTCACTGTGGTGGTAGGTCATGAATTTCTAAAGGCTCTCATCCCAGGGTTTTGTGGTTTTCTCTGCTCTGACTCAATGGACAAAGTAAAAGGGCAGAGAAGATGGGTGGTAGTAACAGTCCTGGTCCTAGTTTGGAGGTTTGCCAAGCAGGTATGATTGAAGGCTAGTGGTCAAGGGAGTTTGTGAGCCTGGTGAGTGTAGTTGAGATGAGGCACCCTGAGGTCTGGAAAGGAATGAAGTGTGGTGGGTGTATTTTCTGTCAGGAAGAGTAGGTGGACCAGGTATTAGTAATCTTGAGCAAACAGAAGGAATAAAGGAGCTCAGATATGATATACTAAGAATGAAATATGGGAGTCTAGGGTCAGAGTTCTGGAATGTGAAACAGCCTGATGTATAACCCTGGAAGCAAATTCCTGATACTAATTAGAGGCAAAAAGCGTGAACAATTGTAGCAAGGGTGTTTAGTGGGTTTACCTTGGGAACATAAAGTCATCTGGAATGATGGTGGACATGAGATATGGCCACAGAGATTGATAAAAGTTAAAATGGCTGGGGTGTCATACATTTTGGTGACAGGATTTTTGTATGACACGGGAAGCAGTAGTGATGCAGAAGTAGGAGGTCTTGGCTTTTTGTAATATGTGTAAAGTGGGAAAAATGTACACCCTTTTGTGCACGGGAAAAAAGTGTCCTGGGGAGCGTCAAATGTTACTGAAGTCCAAGAAGTGGAGGCAGCATCTAGTGAAGAGATTGGGTTGTAGGGGAGTTTATAAGGAGAGAAGAATTCCAGGGGAACTGTAGGAAGAATCAGGGGTGAGGGGAACTATGTGTTGGGGTGGGGAGGGGAGATTTAGGTGAGAACAACAGGAATGTGGGAGTCGGATACACAGGGAGAAAGCCACGTGGGGCAGGAGTGAAGGAGGACAGGCGCAGGCCTCTGTGGAATAAGGTCCTAAATACAATATTGTTGCCAAAGTAATATTTCTGTCCCCTTGGCAATGATATTTTTCATTGAAAATCCTACTAGTGGGCCTGTCATTTTGATCCTTCGAGTGCCCCCTCCCCCTGTTTTGCAGTAACATGTAGCAGGATAACAAACTTTGCTTTTTTAGCTTCCAGAGTACCATTAGCATAATCTCTCAAATGAAAGAATTGCCCTTCTTGATTGATTCAACTGATAGAAAAATTGAGTTCACATTTGTGCAGGTGGGACCACAATCCTGTAACTTCTTAAGCTGAGGCGTTTTGAGTAGCAATAGTTTTCTTCTTCTCATTTTTCCAAATATTAGCCACTGATTTATACTGGATATCATGGTGATGTGTGATTATAAAAATAATAAGGTGAAGTTGCATATATCTGACAATTATTAAGAAATAAAATAACAAAAATTTACTGAAGCAAATCATCAGCAATTTTGCTGAGACCAACCCTTGAAGTAATAAAATGACATGAAATGGAGCAAACTAGAACAATGAGACTAAACTATTATTAATTTTGATAATCCCACTTCCTCCTCTATTTCACATTGCCATCATAAGCATTATATTTTATATCATTTATTAGAATACATTTTTAAAGCATAACAATCTGTTTCAATTACACTTAAAAGTCTATGGATAGGTTTAATATTTATACTTTTTTAATCAATAGGAAAACATTTTGATTATACCTTTGGAAACATTTGTTGAGCTTAACAGCTGAAATCATGTGACTTTCTAATAAAATCGTTTGAAAAAGTGCTTTACCTTGCAGAATTATAAGCCAGGAAGTACTACGGCATTAAGTTATTGCAAAGCATTATGATTCATCTTGTAAAACACAGTTATGTACTTCATGGGTTTCTTATAATATAACTGCATTCTCTTTCATCCTCATAGAGAAGTGATCCCTGCTTTGCTTTTGAACCTTAAGGCTATGAGATTATCTACTGTATGCCGGTCAATCTCCGGTGGCCCCCTAATTTGACACTGTGGACAAACACTGACCTCACAATCATCTGCCATCTTCTCCACTTTTCCATATTTAGAAAGGTGCTTACCTGCTCTTCTGGCCTTTAGAAAGATTTTGATAAAGGAAGACATATTCTTTATCATTCCATATTTTGAGTTGGCCTTTCTACTGGAAGTTCCTAAAAACATACTTCTGGCAATCTTAATCCCAAGATTCATGTTGCCATCAGATAGGACAAGCCTTGGTAGAGTATGGCCCTAACCAATCGTGGTGAGAACTGAAATTACTGTGAGCTATTCCCTTTCTTATCTTAGGCGACTGAATTTTAAGTTCTCCAGGAACTCTGCAAGCAGGAATACAAGGCCTGCATAGAGAAATGACAAATGTGATTATCATGTGCTAAACACTAGATATGAAACTAACAGCTTATCTTGGACCTATGACTTCATCATCAACAGGAGTTAACTCATTTTTTGATGACGGAAGTCTCTAAAAGCCTATCTCAAGGAGTGTGGAATGCTGCTATTACCTTGCTCATTTGCAGAGGATCCCACAGGGCTTCACAACCAAACCAATTAAAGCCATGTAAATCCTCAGGACTATTTTAGTTGCCACTTTCTCATTTTTTTTTTAAATGATCAAAGCAAATTCTCAACACCCGAGTGTCTCACTGGATCTCCAATTTACACTTCTGCTTAATTTGATTATTTTAAGTCAGTAGTATTTTATTTTTTTAAATTGAGAATTCTTCAATAAAGTCAGTAATAGGAACAGCATTAACAATCCTATTAACAATTTCCATGGGCCACATTTTTTCTCCTTCTGATATCATTTGGTAACCTAATGGTTGTAAATTTTGCTCTCGATTGTTCATGGACTGTTTGCTTCATTTGCTACTACTCCTTCCTCTTTTTCATTAGACTCTTCAAGGATTTAAGAATATTAAGGTACCCAGGCAGTATTATGTAAGCCATTGATAAATATTTGTTGAGGATGCTGCTAACTACACTTAAAAAATTTCCCCAGAATCCAAAAGTTTGACTTTGGCAATATCTTGAATTTTTGGAGTTAGATTAGTCTCAAGTGTCTAGGGGATTCTTGATCAGGTGACTTCATATTCCATGTGAAACAGAATAAAAACTAAATTCCCTATATCTGGTCCATTTTGATCAAAAAATTGGCTCAGGAGGGCCATTTTGCCAGTAAATATAGGTTATTAACATCCAAAGTAACCATTCATGCTAAAACATTAGGACATCATGCATTTCACTTCAGATGCAACATTTGAAGTCAGCCACACTTGTGTTGAAGACTGAGATTTGTGGTGAAGGAACCCTTTGAAAGTTAGATTGTGTAGCCCTTTCTAGAGCACCAGGTAGACCCTCCTAAAGAGGCCTCTTAAAGGCCCTCTTCTGCCCCTCCCCTGGGTAGAAACAGGCAATCTGATTCCCCTCCAGCCACTCCCAGGGGGTCCATGTTTCTATTCCGGACTAGGTGACCACAGAGGTTATCTCAGGACATTTGGGGGGAACCATTTCAGGGAAAAATATAATGAGTTTTCTTTGCCAGAGAATGGAATTTCATCAGCATCAGGCTAGCCCCAGCCTGTAAGTTTATGAATGTTTGTTGACAATGGACAGGCTGGGAGCTTGTTAAAAGAGAGGCCCACACCAGCAGCGGCACACTGAGAAGGCGAGTCAGCTTTAAGGCCTTCTGGACTGGCTGACTAGGAAAGCTCCCAGTAGGGAGTGTCTCATGACATCCACATACCCATGTCCTGAGGATGAGGCAAAGGTGTCAGCACAGAAGGAGAGGCAGCTATTTTATAAATCTACATCTAAGCTTTAACCATTAGAATTGAACTCATTTGTTAATATGTACTTGGTAGCTTCTCAGTCTATCCCTAAATAAAAATATATCCTGCATTACCAACAAAAATTCAAAATGATCATAAAATAGTTCAAATAGCTCACTACTCGACTCAGAGTTCTGATGATGAAACAAAGTGCAGTTCTTCCTTCCTTCTCTCACAGTCTAACTGGGTCATGGTCTTTATCAAAGTGTAGACACCACAGTGCACTGAGACTGACAGAAAGCCCATGTGTCCACATTTTCTGATAAGGGAGGAATGTTCTTTCCAAATCTTCTGAACATGGCTTTTCTCATCTGTCACCACTGTATTTCTTCACCTTACTTGCCTGGGGGGAAATACTTATACCCAAGGGCTTTACTTAACGGTTGATGTCTCATTGGCTGTTGGTTCAGTCTCGCTCATCTGAGGAGAATGTAAAAACAGAGCAAAAGATACTAACTGTTGCCCTGCTCACTCATCTCAGTGCCTTCTGAGAGCAACTCATCTGAACTTATCTCTGTCATAAACACTGGCTTTGAAGGAAAAGATTTCAAAACTGTAAGGCTTATCCAGGAACAGGGAAAGAGAAATATGTATCTGTTGCAGGTGTCAGCTTCCGGTTTCTCACAGGAGGAGCTAACTTTCAGTTCATTCCCCACCCAGCCCAGCACTAGCTTTTGTTGTAAAGTCAACCCAGAGGTACTGCTAGCCCTTAGACAAATTTCTTCAGTAATGGAGCTTCTGGACAGAGTTTAGCCAGACTTGAATCTGAGAAGAGGTGCATGTGGGGCTAAAAACAGGTCCTATTTTTCCTTGTTTCTCAAACAAGATAGTCATTTTAGTAAGTTGTAAAATGTTGATAACTTGATAGCTTTTGCTTTGAGAAGGGCTCCTGTGAAGCCCTTTTTTGGGGGGAGCACCAAAATCTGCCAGCAAGTTATATTAGTTTTCCTTCCTCTTTCCAGCTGAAAAGGAACCAGAAGTTCTGAATAACTAGAATAAAATCAGATTGGTTTTATTGCTTCTGCTTGCATACAGAAAAGAGAATAAAAAGTCTGAGTGTCTGGAGTGGGTGGTAGATGAGGGGACTTACGGAAGGGAGAAGGGTGCCTCAAATCTGCTCTTCAGCAATGGGAAGAGGGAAGCCACCCGATCACTAAAATGAAAAACATTTTCAAGAAAAGCAGCTCTCACCAAGTAGTATCTGGTGGCCAGATAGGGTGGCCATCAATTTCCTTATCTACTGGGGCTTCCCCTTTATCCCCTCCTTACTGCTGGTCCCTGCCTAGCACAGAAGGTGAAGCTGAGTTAGAAGTGTTTCCTGCCAGTAGCTCACCAATTTGAACAAACTAAGTGCAGAGTTCTGCCTATGTGTGAGGCTTTTCTCTAAGATCTCGTCCCAGTCATGGGCTGGTACTGGAAAGAAAGCAGCTCACATCACTATTGCACACCTGAATGGAGATTTGGCACATTTCACTGTGGTAACCTTCAGCTCTGCCCCACTCTGCCCAGCAACGAAATTCACAAATCAAAGGTCAGGATATGACATTTGGAGGCTCAAATTAATAAGAACCAGAGTCTTGGATTGTGCCAGTCTCAAAATTTGCTCTTGAGTACAGAATCTGATTTTCTATGCTGGTCTACGGTGCTATCTCAGACAGGTCTGTAAGGAATCAGGGGAAAGAGCATAGGTTGAACCCATCCACTTGGATATCTAAGTATGTTAGTTTGCATTTCGAAATCTGCCTCTATTCTGGATAGTACACCTTTACAAAGCTTGTCAGAAAACTGGTCTAAAAGAACACATGCTTTAAAGAGCATCAGAAAGCATGTAGTAAACAGGAAGTCTTCCAACCTCAATAGCGACAGTTTCCAACAGGCGCAAAGGATACCTTTTCCTTTCAGGAGACATCATAGCCAATACTCATCAGTAATAGGTAACGGTAATGGGGGAATAACACAACTCACGAATAAGCCCCAAATCTCACTGAACGCAAGCCCTGCATCCTCTTCCCTTGCCTGATCTTCTGCCTGCTCTAAATACAACTCAATTCCATCTCTCAGTGCTTCCCTTGACCTTTCTTCTGACAGATGAACTAATTAATAATTGGTCAAAAGGCCGAAGAAAGAAGAGGTCAAATAAGCCCAAACTTGGATAACTTGCGTCTGGAATAAAAACAAGTTGGCCCTGTGACAGTTTCCAGATGAATCATGACTTTCTGTCAAACACCAGCAGGTGAACTGATGTCATTCTATTTGCCTCCCACTTCTTCCATCCAGAATCACTGATCTCCGCTGGGGCTGGTAAAAACAGCTGGTTGAGGTCTCTAGTCTCTGACCATTCTTAGGGATGGTCATTTTATTCCTAAGAGTAACTCCTTCTGGTGTGACCCATGTGTTTTCAGCTAATTCCCCACAAAGAAGACCAGGGGAAACTGTTTGGGTGGGACTTCTGATAGGGGACAGCAGGACCTTGGAATCTGTGGATGAGGTGGGTGGGTGGTCCATAATGGGGAAGGGAGGACTAAATAAGATTAGGCTCTGAGGTCTTCCTGGCCTTGACCTGTGGAAAGGCTTAGAACCCCCTGATGGTCGTTCTATTTTTGAAGAAAAAAGGTTGTCCCCGAATGGTTCTGTCTCTGATGTGCGCTTCCTGCATTGCACTGCTGCATCCTGGGTGGACAAGTTAGCCAGTCCTGGGTCTGGAGCAAGGATGGGCCCCTCGCACTTGTGGCGTGCAGAGGCATCCATTGGCGAGGACTCGTGGGCTCCCATATCTTGCTTTGGTTTCTCTTCCTTCGGGCTGTCTAAGGAGGAGACAGAATCGTCTTTGGCAGGTTTCTGAGAGGTGCCACTAGTGGAGCTGGGTTCCTCCTGGCCCCTGTCCGGAGGTTGAGCACCACTTTCCCCCGTGCTCTGAGAGGGTAGAGGCTGTGGGATCTGTGTGTACTGAATCTTGGGTGGGATGACTGGGACTGCCCTGGCCTGGCACATTTTGACCATGAAGGAGGTTCTCACAGCTGACACACTCACAGGAGCTGAGTTACGGCGGCCTGTCAGGGCGTGAGCAACAATGTCCAGGTCCTGAGTGTCCTGGGAGTAAACCCTCCAGGGGTCTACTCTGCAGTGAGGTGAGGCCATCCACGAGAACTTTGGGTCTCCTGCCTCAGCGAGCTGCATTCCAGGTGAAGCAAATGAGGCCACATTCTCAAACCGAAAGAGGTCAGTAATGGGGATGGCAGCGTCCAAGTTGAGGGAAGAAGGCCTGTTTTTTCCTTTTAGGGGCCCACACTCAGTGCTCTTCAGCTGTAACTTCGGGGGGTGCGCTCCAGGCGAGGTGCTGTCCTGTGTGATAGGTAAACTCACCTTGCTGCTCTCTGGTTGCGGTACACTACCTTGCTCAATCTGAAGGTTGCTGTGCCCCAGGTGCGTGCCTGATTCCTTACCCTCTGCTAGGTTGACAGGGCTGGTTTCTGCTGGTTTGGGCTGCAAACCATCTGATCCCTTCTGGAAGGGAAGAGCTTCTGTCCCTTTCAGGCCAGAGAACTCCCTGAAGGACCTCAAGACTTTCTCATCGCATCCAGTAATCTCCCTGTTGGGTGCCAAGGGCTGCAGAGGGTCAGAATTCCTCTGTGTGTCAAGATTAGCACAGCTGCTAGAAGACGGGCCCCCAAGAGTCCACTGGTCATTGACAGTGGTTTTGCTGTCTAGGGAATGGCTCTGGCGTAGGCTGGGCCTGTGGGAAAGCCTCTTCTCTAATCGGTGACCCTGGAGGCTATGCATCTGGGCCTCTTGCACATCCTTCAGGGTGGGGGAGTGAAGGGGACTGGTCACCCACTGGGGCTCCTCCCAGGGTTCCACCATCTCCAGGCCGTGCTGGGCAATGTCTGTCACAGTGTCGTCTTCATCACAGTCGGAGGGCTCCTGTACTGAATGGGCCACATCCCCCTCTCCTTGTCGCGGGGTGTCGCCCACCCTTGTTGGGCTTGGAAAACCAGAGTCTTTTCCATCTGGAGCTGCATTGTTTGAATTTTGCTTTTCACTTGGTCCTGGAGAGGGGTCTTCTCCCTGGCAAAGGCTGGGGACCCCAGGGCTGCCTTTGCACTTAAGCTGATCGATAGATGGGTCTGTCCTCAAGTTCTTGGAAGCATCATCTTCTCTCTCAGGGCTGTCCTTGGGTGGCAGGACTGCGGGTGCCTCCTCCAGGGGAGTTGGAGGGGGAGGAGCAGGCGGGAGCAGAGGAGAGAGATTCCCTGGGTCTCCCACCTGTACCCTTGCGTGTGGCGAGGCCGTCTCAAAGGGAACTATTTCCAAGGGAGCCAGGCAGCTGGGATCTGGGCGCCGGCCCTTGTCCGGTTCTGGGGTCGGGAGGCCACAGGTGGTCTCCGAAGAAGGCCCCTGTGTGCTCTGATGGGCAGGATCCCTCGCCCGCTCACCCTGCAGGGCGGAAGCTGGAGCTGGGGCGGAGCCGCAAGGCAAGTGTCCGGGCGCCCCTGGGGAAACCAAGGTCCCAGGACTGGGCTCAGTGGTCTGCGTTGGGCTGGTCTTTACAGGAGGCGGTGGTACCGAGGAGAGCTCCTCCTCAGATTCAATGATTTTCAGCTCCTGTTGAATCTCAGGCCAGATCAGGGCATTAGCTAGATCATCTTCATCCTGAAAAAAAAAAGAAAAAAAAACGGATTGTATTAGTACCAAAGACTTTTTCAGTGCTCGCATCTGCACTGCTTCGCAGTGGGAATGAAGAAAAAGGAGCTGTACTAGGCTGCACTACCCTGCAAATAAGGAATTCTGCATTTATAACTGGGTGTGTATTCAGTGTTTACCATGTGGCATAACATACTCAAACTCTGTTTTCTTGTTTAATTTTCCACCAACCCTAAGAGATAAATACTATAATTAACTTTCATTTTAGAAATGAGGAGACCTGTGTTCAAACAGATTTAAATTTCTATCCAAGTCACATAGCAACAGACCAGGCTTGAAATCCATCTCTGTCTACACCAGAACATAAGTACTTAATCCCTGTGCACTGTTGCCTCATAAAACAAACAAACCCCCTGGTCTCACTTAACCTCATCTTTATGGGTGGCTCACAAGAATGAGAGCCTCCCCAAGGCATGAAAATGTTGCCCTGCCATCTGCTTTCTAAATAAATAAATACAGCATTTTCTTATTACCAAAGGAAAAAATACTCAACATCTGAAAATGGTGTGCAGGCTTTTCTGAGAAGTGTGACCTGCTGCCAACTTAGCATCATTTCTTGCCAGCCTCCAAGAAGCCTGGAACAGTGACCTTCTTGCACACACAGCGATCCAGTGCTCAGCAGAGTGCTTGGCACGAAGTAGGTGTTGTTTTTTTCTTTTCTGTTCTATTCTTTCTCTCCACACCTACTCACACTTTTTGTTACATAAGGAACAAATGCATGAATCTGATAACTTTCATTTTTTCATCTTCACGTTTTTAAAAAATAAATTGCACAAAACGGGTTCTGTTAATGATTTGGATGGGACAATTAAAAATTCATTTTTTCCTTGTCTACTTTTTTACAACAACCATTTTTTTCCTTTTCTTTATTATTTCCCCACCACCACCATTCCTATGATCCTTGTCTGTTTCCTTCTCTCCTCCCTCTTAACCTCAGAGGCCTTGTGTTTGTTGATGCCTCCTAGCTGTTGAAAGTATTTCACATTACCGAATTGTGTGCCGTGTAATGTCCGGTATTTGTTTATGTGGTTCTGATTTGCTTTATTACACAAAATTCTCCACTCTTCATCCATTTTGTTGAAAATGGCTGCATTTCACTTATCTTATGGCGGAGTAGTATTCTATAGTATGGAAATACTCTATCCTCTTCATCTGATCATCTGCTGGTAGATATTTAAGCTGCTTCTGTATCCTACTTATTGCAAATAATGTTGCTGTGAACATTGTGAAACGTAGACTTTTTTGTGGTGATCATTTCATGTTGTTTAGATAGATGCCCAAGAGTGGGATTGCTGGGTCATACAGTATTTCCATTTTTACTTTTTTAAGGCAAATCCAGATTGTTTTCCATAATGGTTACTTACACCAATTTACATCTATACTAACAGTGCAACAGAGTTCCTTTTTTATCTCCAGCACTTCTTGTTGGAGGTCTTTTTAATATGTCCACTAGGTTTTTTAAAGTACCATGTCATTGGTTGTGAAATGCTGTCTCATTGTGGCTTTACTATGAATTCTCTTACTGGAAGTTATAATGCAAAAGTCTTACAGGAGCCTTTATTCAGTGTTCCTGAGGACACTGTGGCACCCATGCATTGTTCTAACTCCTGGGTCTTTTGGGTATTTTGTGCATATTCTGGAAACCAAGGCCTTGGAAGCAAGTTAGAGACAAAATCTTCCATTTCCCATTTGGCACACTCCTCCAGGTCACAGAGCTGCCTCACAAATGTTAGCTACTTCTCTGGATATCCCTAGAAAACCTCCTCACACCTTCATCCTATGCAAATACATCTCATAAAATCTTGAACAATTAATTCCACCTCTAAAAAGTAGAAGAGGGGAAGTGAACTCTCACACCACATTTTAACTTCTCTAGAAACCATCGGAGGAAAGATTGGATCCTGGATAGCTTTCAGAAATTTAACAAACAAACATAGATAATTGTCTATCCAGGATATTTGGAAGAGACCTGGATTTCATAAATGGTCATTCTATTTGGGACTAGTGCATAATATGTATGTTTTGTGCTGCTTCTAGGATTGAATGTCATTATATTCCAAGGGCATGTGAATTCAGGTCAGAGATATTTAGAGTTGAGTCTGTCTAGGGAATCTGAGCTAGACAGTTCCTTCCTATTACCAAGACCTCTGAAAAGTCTACTGCAAGATAAATCCCAGATCTGATTAAAATGTTGTCTCTTAACTTTTCTGTAGCAGAAACTGGTTATTAAAAAGCAAAAATAATCTACCAGAAGATGTACCAAGAGCTCTTGGGGAAAAAAGGACTTTGCTGGCTGCGCTGGGTAACGAGTCAATCTTACCATCTCATGGGGAAACACTGCTTCAGTTCTGGCCCTGGGGCTCTCCTGTGGAGCACCGGACTCCGTCTGGTCAGCCTCTCCTCCCTCCTTCACCGCCTTCTCTGGATTCAGCCTCTTTTCTAATTCACTTGAATGTTGACAGTCCATGAGGATTTCTGAGGTTTTCTTCTCCAGTTGGGTGTCTGGCTCCAAAGGAAGGCCTTTGCTGCATTCCACTGTCCTCACTGCTTCAGATACTGGTTTGGCATCTTCTGGAGACACCTTCTTAGGTGCAGATGCTGCAATGAGGATGAGAGTGATAAATTGAAGGAGATTCCACTGTGCTCCATCCACTCCCTTCCCAGCAGGATAACTATAATGAGTAGTCCTGCTTCACAAAGAGGGAGAGAACCCTCCCAGTTTGTTGCCCCTTCACATTCTTTACTCTAGCAATCCTAGCAATGCCCCATCCTCAGATCCCAGAGTCATAGAATTTCAGAGATGAGAGAGACCCTGAACACCATCTTGTTCATTGTTTCTTTTTCTTTCTTTTTTTTTTTTTATAGAGGCATGTTATTTATTTTTTTATTTATTTGTTTGTTTGTTTGTTTATACATGCACTGGGTACAGTCAGAAGCGCGGGAGGGTGAGAGAATTCACCAGAGCCAGAGCTGGGAGCAGAGCAGGCAGAAGGACCAAAGTACACTGCTGAGGGGAGCAGCGGGCAGCAGGAGAGGTTTGCGCGCCATGCAGGACCCTCCTCTGGTGGCCGGGGAGCAGCCGGGGATTGAACCGGCACCGCAGAGGCCACGGGCAGCTTCGCAACCCAGTGCTCAACCGCTGCGCCACCGGGGAGGCCCATCTTGTTCATTGTTTCTTAACTGGGGGACATATTGCTCCTTCCCTTCACAGAAGACATCTGCCAATGTCTGGAGGCATTTTTGGCATCACAGCTGGGTGGAGGTGGGAGTGGAGGTGGTGGTGGCTACTGGCATGCTGTAGGTAGAAGCCAGAGATACTGCTAGATATCTAACAAAGCATCATGTAACTCCCCACAGTAAAGAATTACCCAGCCCAAAATGTCAATAATGTGAAGACTGAGAAAACTTACTTTAATCCATTCTTTCACTTCACAGATAAGTAAATAAATTCAGACCCTGAAAAGTCAAGCTTATTGCCTCCGGTTGTATTTTGATTATGATTGACAACTTCCTGTATGAATCTTCCCAAAGGTTATCTACACATTAACTTGGATATGTCTAAAGTGATAAACCTCTAATCTTAAGCATCTACCTGGCAGGAGAGAGGGAAGCCAACCTCAAGTTTGGCCTCTACTGCTTTGTACAAAGAGGCCCCATTACATTGTATAAGGCTGTTTCCACAGTATAGAATAAAGACTTAGGACCTAAGATAGTGATTGGTGCATAGCAGATTAAAATTAATTATAGTTAATTATAATGGAATTAATAAAACCTGAATTCAAATTCTAGTTTCTTAATCTTATAATCTTGGTACCACAGTATTAAATGATATGTAATAATATAGGAATATTGTGAGGACACGGTAGATAATGGAGGCAAAGCAGTAAGGTGCCTGACATACAGTACAAACTCAGAACATTTATTTTTTTATTTAAATTTTTATTTTTTTATTCCCCATACAATTGCAACCCCCTTATTTTGACCCCAATCCCTCCTATCCCCTCCCCCCCATAGTGTGTCTCTGGTTCAGAGCTGTTTGTTGATTTTGATTTTTTTCTTTGTTATAGCTATTCTTTTTCCTGGTCCCTTATTTAGGTTTTCTAGATTCCTGCTATGAGTGAGACCATACGGTATTTTTCTTTTTCTTTCTGGCTTATTTCGCTGCAAACTCAGAAAAGTTATTAAGAATGAGTACTGCTCACCACCACTGGCTCTGCTGGTGGTTTAAATCAAAGAGTCTCACAATGATGCTGATCTTCTAAATCCGTTGGGCCCAGGGATGTCTGAACTATTAACAACTCAGAATTGATTATCTTCCTTTGCCCATTACTTAGCAGGATAATTTTGAAATTTAATTTAATTTTTAAATATGTAAAGATTATTCTAAATACATAGGATACACAGGGTTCAAAAGTTAAAAGTGTATGAAAAACTCAGAAAGCAACTGCTTTCTTCCCAGTTGCTTCCATTCTGTTCCACATTCGTATTGTCCCTAATGGATAATTACTCTGTTAATTTCTGGTTTATTCTGCCATTGTTCATTTTTGCATGCACAAGCAGATAATTATATGTATTTATTTCTCATCTTTATTACAGAAAATATAACATATGATATATACTGTTGTACACTTTGCAATTCTTCACTCAACAATTTATCTTGAAATTTATGCCAAATTAGTATATACAGAGATTAATATTCTTTAGCATGTGCCCTAGTTTGAGTTTCTCTCAAAGTAGAGCTGAGCCAAGGTTCTAGAAGCAGGTGTGTTTTGTGGAAGGTGGTTTCAGGATGCAGGTGAGAAGGAGAGACAGTGATGGAGGAAAATTCAATAAAGAATATTTACTGAGCTGGTTAGAGTGAAACACCAGAACTAAATCCCTGGTGACCCTCTGAGGAACCATGAGTAACAATAGTTCCACAACTATTTCTCCAAATGGTGGGAGGCTGGGTCACTAATCAATGATCCCCATCTCTTATAAGTGGAGGGCTGATCTAGTAATTTTCCACACTTTTGGGCTAGCCTGAGCAAGGGCTCTGTGAGAGCCTCTTTTCAGAAAAGCCCTGAGGCAGAAAATCAGAAACACAAGGCAGACACTTGAGATAGGAGGCTTTCTGTGCATACAGAAACTGCCCCCTACTAGCTTCCCCAGAAATGCTCTGAAGTTTAAGGAAATACGGAATTTAAGGCAATACTGAGTTTAAAGGCACATAGGGCTATAGATGCCAGGGATTCAATCGTGTGGCTGCATCCTAGGGATTCGGTCTGTCTCCTAAAGACACATATTTGGGTTTCCAGTCTTTTGCTAGTACGAATAATGCTGTGATATACTTACACATGTTGCACTTGTGCAGCTATTTATTTAGGATAAATGGGTCCATCCTTAAGGGGCAGTTGCTTGGCTGCCTTCCCTGGTCCCCTTCCTACAGGCAGGAATGTGGCTACGGAGGTTTTGAATCCGCTTTGACCATGCAGGAAGGAACAACACCTCTGGAGGACAGCTGAAGGAACCTGTGGCCCCAGAGGGTCTCCCAGAGCACAGATACCTACCTGTGGATGGCTATTTAAGATAGAAATCAGCTTCCATCTTGTTGATTTATTGGGTTTTTGTTCTCTGTTACAGTAGCTTGGTCTATACCTTAACTAGTAGAAACATTGGTTTGTGAGATAAGTTTGCTCCTGGTTATAGAAATAACAGGACAAAACCAATTTTTACAGGTAGATTCATATTTCCAATAGTTTGTCAGTTATCCTTTTCTTTGAGGTTGGTTCTCCCTACTTTTATTTTTTAAAGATTTATTTATTTATGCATACAAGAGCTGGGGTGCAGGCCAAAGATGTGGAGGGTGACAGGACTCACCAGTGACAGAGTAGGGAAGAGAACAGACAGAGTGAGTGAAATACACTGCTGAGGGGAGCAGCAGGTGAGACAGGAGAGGTCTGCTGCTGCGCCATGTGGGTTGCTCCCTGACCGGCCGGGGATTGAACTCGTGCTGCAGAGGCTTCGGATTGCTTCACAGTGTGGTGCTTAACCCCTTGGGCCACCAGAGGTTAAGAACTGGGCCCACAGAACTGGGCCTCCCCTGGTGGCACAGGCGATTGAGCGCAGTGCTGTGAAGCTGTCCACAGCCTCTGCAGTGCTGGTTCGATCTTGGCTGGCTGGTGAGGGTATTACATGGCGCAGCAGACCTCTCCTGTCTCGCCCATTGCTCCCCTCAGCAGTGTATTTCGTCAGTCTGCCTGTTCTGTTCCCTGCTCTGTCTCTCACCCTCCTGCGAATCTGGCCTGTACCCCAGCTCTTGTATAAATGAATAAATAAATCTTTAAAAAAAAAAAAAACCAACCACAGAACCCCACTCTAGAAATTGCTCAAAGACTCAAATTTAGCCCATCTTAGAAGCCTATTAGCCAGGCAATAATGGTTGAAGGCTGAACATGTGACCAAAGGAGGTCCAATCAGAGACCTCACTGCATTTGACAAAGACTTTGGGAAAAAGATGCTCTTTTTCACGCTAGGGCTGCTAGCCATACTCTCTGCAGATGGGAGATTGAAATGAAGGCTGAATGGATGGAGAGAAGTTGTGTCTGGAAAATTTGAATCACCAATTGCAGGTCTGCATTTCATTCTGTGTGCTTTTCCTCCTTTGCCCTCACTGTGTGAGTAATAATAAATTAACGATAACATTTACTAAGTACTTACTATGTATTGGATACTGTTCTGGGAGCTTTACATGTATTAACATAATATTCACAACAAACATGAAGAAGGCGCAATTGTACAGAAAAATGGCTGAGCCTGGACTTGTACCCAGGAAGTCTGGCTCCTGAACCCAGTCTTAGTCACATCCCTACACTGTCTTACAGACTCTAGGGAAGCAAGTCTAAGTCTGGTTTTTCATCTCTTGCAAAGGACAGAAACCTTTTCTCTCTTGCTTTACCTGAAGTCTCAGCTACTGGTGGCTTCTCCTCTTCAGGCCAACCTCCACTCTCTGGCCCTTGGAAAGAAAACTCTTCTAGGCTGGAAAGAGACTGCAGTTCCTTTGGGGGTGTTCTGCATGGGGTACTGTTGGTGCTGATGACAGCTGACACACGGAGTGGCACGGACACAGCAAAGGGCTCGGAGATGTTCAGGGCCTTGCGCTGGTGACGGGGCGAGGGCTCCATCTGGAAGAGGCTGCTGGTGAATACAGATTTGCTAGAACTGTCATTGGAGGTGTAGAACATGCCCAGCATCTTCGGGGCTGTTTGCTCGCCTTCGGGATCCTCAATGGGTCGGAAAACCTTCAGCTGCTCAGGTGGGGGCCGGGCCTGAGTGCCCTGGAGTTGGTTTCGGTCACTGCTCATGTCAAAGCCTCCCTCAGCCCCCGCCGGCATCCCCTGTGGACCCCATTCAACCTCTTGCTTGCTGAGGTCACAAGAACTGCCAGTGCTGGCTGAGTGCATTTTCCCAGCTGGAATAAAAAATCCACCCGTGGTGACTGTTCGATTGAAATTTCCTTTTGTTTCTTTTCCTAAGGAAAAAGCAAACAATCACATGGTCAGCAGCCTGGGAAGTCACACAACTCACAGCCTCCCAATATGGGCAGGCACACATGCTTGATGATTAGAAAGGCTTAGCATTCTAATAAGACCATGGTCCTAAAAAAGACAGGAACATGAACATTTGATGAACATTTGAAGCATCTTCTCATGTGCACAGAATTTGTCATGATGCCTTGGTAGGATCAACTGCTGTTGTGTCATATGTATCCATTTGCAACTTTGCAGGTAGAGCAGTTTCTAAAAGAAGGCCACTCCTAAGATTGTTCAATAGAGCTGCCATCCTCCAAGCATTAAATACAGATCATAAAAAAATAAAAGGTGGATGAGAGAGGGTAGAATGATATTTGCTCAAAATGAAAAAGACAGAAAGGGCAAAGTAACAGAATTTTGTTTTAAACTTAGTGTTTTAAGTCTTCTTTGGCAGATAAACCCAAATCGGGTTTTGATTTTCCAGCAGGGAAACAAATGCTGTTCTCAGTTAGACCTTTCTCTTTTCCCAGGCTTCTTCCTGCTGATTCAGAGGATGAGGAACTAGAAATGTAAATTAACTAAATGTCAGAAAAGATAATTCTGAAGAACAAGTTCCTGACTGACTTAGAAGTGAAGGCAAAAAAGAGAAAAATCTGTTTGAGAAAAGAAACAAAAGGAAATTTCCATGAAACAGCTGAGAGGTGACAAATGAGTTGTCAGGAGTCTGGAGAAGAATTTCCATCTAGGTACTAAGCATGATGCTGGGCATTTTATGTGACATGATGTTTAAAATCTTATGATCATTGTAGAGGAAGTGTAATTAGGTTCTTTAACACATGAGGAAACAGAGACTCAGAAACATTAAAATTCCCTCCTCAACACCCATGGAGATTGTGACCTAGATTTTGAAGTATTAAATCCTGCAAAACTGGGCAGGAACTCTCCCAAGGGTTTCAAAACCAAAACAAAAGGATGAATATAAAGATGAGAAAATGCAAAAAAAAAAAAAAAAAAAAAAAAATTCTGAGTTTGCTTAAAAAAAGTGCTCACTGAGTATTTTACAGGTTTTTAAAAAGTTGTTCTAAAGACTTCTACATTGTTTCTGGCTGGCTCATTTATCAAAGGAAAAAAAAATGTTTTGTATTAAAAGAGTTAGAAAGGCTTGGGATAAAATATGCTGATATGGAAGCCCTGTATCTTGTAACAGTGCTCGTTGGTTGTTTAACAAAAATAGAAGCAAGAGGTTCAGGCAAGTCAGCTTGAAAGTCAAAGCTATGAGAACCAACGTGGTGGGGTTTAATTTTGGTGGCAGGTGTCACTTGCATGCATATATACGCACATCAACTCTGACATGGGATGTTGTAGTTTACACATGCCTGGCATGGAGTACTGGCCACTGTTTATTGATGAATGGATGGATGAATACATGTATGGATCTTACCAACCCCAATCATGCCTTGATAAGTACTATGAAGCTAATACCTATGGGAACACCCAAATTCAAGACACACAAGCCTCTAGCTCAAAACTCTGAGGTATAAACCAAAAAGAGTGCTAGACTCTTTTTGATGCTCAAGAGGGAAGTCTCTTTTGCCTTGGTTTTCTGGTGTTGATCTTTTACCTGGTTCAGGTTTGAAGGTAAAGTAGCTGTTGCTTCCTGCTGTAGTTAGGGGAAGACTGGAGAAAGACACCTCAATCTGCAGTAAAGTAAGGGAGGTTAATGTGGGGGCCTAGTGAAACTCTTGAGTTCAGGAAAGATCAGGGAGAGATGTGGGCCTGGGGGATGGTGTGTGGTAATGAGTGGCAATATGAAGCCCTGTCAGTTTTCTATGAAGACAAATCTGGTGAGGGAGCTGTCTACAATTGTACTACCCAATTCGGAACCTAATTAAAATCTCACCTTCCACAGGAACTGAGCACAGTGAATCCATGCTTTTCGCTGGTCGGATAGTCGCCTTTTCCACTAGAGACGAAAGAAAAAACAATCCCTGATGAACTTTAGGAAAAGTTTTTCAAATATTTATAATCTTCCCCTTGGAAACTATCCCCCCACTCCACCCTGAATGTTTTTACTTTCTTAATGGGATTAATCTTATAAAACCAGGACATCTGTAGATCAGTTTTATTTAACATACTACAGATAAAAGTAAATTGCCATTTTGTCTAGGGTTCCAGCTGTTCTCTCCTAGTGAAAAACAACCACTCAAGCAACAGTCAAGGTCACAGAGAATCACTGGTATTGCCTCCGATGGTTCTTTCATTTCACTTCTGTGTCCCATCAATGTTTAGCCAGTTTGGTGATCTATAATTAGTTTACTCACAAGGCCTTAGACCAGTGGTTTTTAACCCTGGCTGCATATCACCTGGGGAGTTTTGAAAACCCACACTTCACCACAGACATCCTGAGGCAAAGTTGCTATGGGTTTGAACTGCTCTGTGGGCAATTTGGTGGTACATCCTTGCTCAGAAGCTCTGGCCAGGAACACCCTGTGCAGGCTGTGAGTTTACTGCCTTTTGATCCCGCACCTTGGAAAACCACATGGGGATGGAAATCTTCCTAAATTAAGACCAAGGCAGATCATTTATTTCATTTTTACTGATTTGCTTTGTTCTATTGTTTTTGATTTTTCATTACTTGGTGAAGCTCTTTTATTGTATCACTGATTCTGTAATTTAAATTCTCTCTTTGTTGTGCTTAAGCAAATCTGTTATTACCATATCAGGAGTTTCTTGCCAGCTATGACTCACCTCAAATTCTCCCCTTTTTTTCCCCTAAAGTAGGATCCAATCAAGATTTTCTCATTGCATTTGTACATTTACCTCTTACAACTGTTTTCGTAACTACTTCCCCTTTCAAAAATCATACTTCAATCTAGAACATTAGGTCATTGTGGTATATTTCTTTGGGTTTCCCTTTCTGTTGCAATGTTATATTCCCCATTGTGCAGTGTTACCCTCAATTCCTTCTAGCATAAGTTGCTATTAATATGCAGATATAATTTCCACAGGACACCATTCTCATTTAAAAATCATGACCATGACTGTGGGGAAGAAGGAACATAACTTCTTTTTTTTTAAAAAAAGATTTATTTACTTATTTATACAAGAACCAGGGTACAGGCCAGATGCGTGGGAGAGTGAGAGGATTCACCAGAGACAGCGGGAAACAGAACAGGCAGACTGATGAAATACACTGCTGAGGGGAACCGCGGGCGAGACAGGAGAGGTCTGCTCGCCATGTGGGACCCATGCAGGCCAGCCGGGATCGAACCAGCGCTGCAGAGACTGTGGACAGCTTCACAGCGCTGTGCTCAACCTCCTGAGCCACCAGGGGAGGCCCCAGGGACATACTTGTTTATAGTGGAGTTCAATTGATAAATGTGGAGAGAATGATGGAAATAGAAAATGATTCCCTGGCAAACACCACAGTAAGTAAGTATGAGGAGCAACAGGATATTTGCATTGTCTCCAAATATTTCCCTCAAGATACTTAATAGTTGTAAAGGAAGAAATAGTGATTTCACAAGGGCAAAACCTTGTAGACAGCAGTTCAAGCAAGTAATCAAAGTTAACATCACCAGCAGTAAGATACTGGCAGCAAAACACTCATAACCTCAATCTGATCATGAGAAAACATCAGACAAATGCAGCAATATACTCTAGGAAATAAATGGCCAGTACTCTTCCAAAGTGTCATGGTCAAAAAGGCTGAGGAAGGGCCTCCCCTGGTGGCACAGCAGTTGAGCGCTGGGCTGCGAAGCTGCCCACAGCCTCTGCAGCGCCGGTTCGATTCCCGTCCCCCGGGCGAGGGTCCCACATGGTGCGCAGACCTCTCCTGCCGCCCGCTGCTCCCCTCAGCAGTGTATTTCGTCACTCTGCCTGTTCTACTCCCTGCTCTGGCTCTAGTGAATTATCTCACCCTCCCGCACTTCTGACTGTACCCAGTGCTTGTATAAATAAATAAATAAATCTTAAAAAAAAAGAAAAAGAAGGCTGAGGAACTGTGCTAGGTTGGCAGTGATGAAGGAGGCAGGACTACTAAATGTAATGTGGGTTCCTAGACTGGATATTGGACCAGAGATGGATATTAGTGGGGCCACTGGTCAGAGATGAGTATGGTCTGTTAATTTTCTGACTTTGATCATCATATTACTGTTGTGTAAAATGTTAACATTTAGGGAAGCATGTGAAGGGCTTAAGGTTCTCTGTGTATGATTTTTGCCACCTTTTTTAGATATCTAAAATAAAAACTACCTAGTGAGTCTGACGTGACCAAATCAAAGACTTAGGAAGTAGAGTTGGGGGAAAAAAAATTTTTTTTTATTCTGTTGATTCTTACCTGAGAGCCTTTGTCCTCTCACAAATACGCTGCCATTTCTACTTAGCTTTGATTTCGAGTCTGATCCAGAACGTCCCAGGTTAAATATTGATTTCCACTTCTTTGATTTACTGGAGAGCTTTCTTCTAAAAGAACAAAGCAACGAGGGATTAGTTTGGTAGCTAGTTGTTTCATTGGGACTTTTAAATTGACAAGGAATACCTCAGTCATGTTCTTAGTTATGAGTGGCTCTGACATTTGAAGAACCTTCTCTCTAAAATCCAAGATGAGCCCGTCTCTCACCCAGGCTGGGGCTGGCTAAGCTAGGCTTCCACAAGTGAGAGCAAAGGGCCACATTTCCCAGAGAAGGGGCAAAAATATGCTATTAGAGGTGGGAGTTGGGGGCAAACAGAAGCAGGGATGGGGCAGGGATTGAGGTCAGTGGGGAGACTCAGACCACAAGGAACCACATAATTCTGGGAATTCTGGTAAGCACTGTAGTCCTGGGTTTTCAAAAACAACAATTTTTTTTTGCAAAAGTAAACACAAAAGACCATAGACCTCAGTCCTGTTATGTTCTTTGCACTTCGGCCACACTGCTGAGACATTCATAGGCCAGGAAAGGACTGGTGAAGACTTTCATAGATGGCAGAGGAGATAGATGAGAAAGCAACTTGGGAAACATTGTGGCCTGAGAGAATTGGAGGCCGCTGGGTGTGGTCAGTGATCATTGAGGAGAAACACAGACGGCAGTTGGCAGTCGGTGTGGCTCTGGTACCAGGCTTTTTCAGTAGGAGGCGGGAGCAGGAGATTGATAGATGGGGCTGGAAAGAGCCTGGTGCCACCAGGGGTCACCACAGAGGCCTTTTCCTTCTCCGGCTTGGCCTAGCCGTTGGCTTCCATAAAGATCCAGGATGAAACCCTGCAACGGGTGGGTTCCACAAAGGACCTTCTCTGTAGACTTCTCACAGGGCATACTCATCTCAAGCTCGTGTGTTTTTGTGATCAGAGATAGATCTACAGTGCTTGGTGGTTTCTTTTGGATCTAGCCTCTTTATTTCAATCCCTTGGCCTTAAAGTATATTTTGCAGCTAGTATATCGTCGAGCATGGTACAGCCCAGATGTGATTGCAGGCACAGAGAAACTGTACTTGATGATCCTCCCAAGGTGCTCTTCTTACTGAACCCTGGGTAGAAATTACTTTCCAGGGATTTAAGGAGTGGGACAATCCGTTCAGTCTCATGACAGTGTGATCCATACACTCCAGGAAATGAAGGGGTTTCTCACCAAATGAGTTCCAGCTGTACCACTCTCATAGCATGACAGGCGGCCCCTATCGCTGCACAATGTGGCAGCGTTCTTCCTCTCTCCCCAAAAGGAAGCCAGCATGTCAGGACACGGGCATAGTTCTGAGGACCTGTTTTTTTTTTTTTTTTTAAAGATTTATTTACTTACGTACATAAAGACTGGGGTACAGGCCAGAGGTGTGGAGGGTGAGAGGATTCACCAGAGACAGAGTGGGGAGCAGAACAGGCAGACTGACTGAAATACACTGCTGAGGGGAGCAGTGGGTGAGTCAGGAGAGGTCTGTTGTGCCATGTGGTTCAGCTCCCTGGCCGGGGATCGAACTCATGCTGCAGTGGCTGCAGATAGCTTCAAAGGTTGCATCTTAACCCCTTGCGCCACCAGGGAGGCCCCTGAGGACCTGCTTTTATGCATCTTTCACTGACCAAGCAGCAAGGATGATGTTTTCCGATAGAGAGATGCCTCCCAGCTCCTCCACCTACTGTCTGCCTCCTCCTTTGATCATTGTCTCCTCTTTATGGTGGGCGTGAGGAAGTGAAAGGGAGAAATGAGCAAAGAAAGTATTGTACGAATGAAAATGACATTTGGATTGTTCTGCAGGGCAGAGGTCTCTGGCCAGCATGAAAGAAGGAACGAAAACTAGGGATGTATGTCCCCAGTGCTGCATGTCGTAGGCGCTCATTCTAGAATGGCATTATTTGTCACCCAGTCCTCCATTCACTTCTGTCCTCTTTTGGTAATGTCCCATGGGGGTAGAGGAAAGGGTAGAGGTCAAAGTTTTGTTTTTAGCAAACTTCCTTTTGAAAATGTCAAGCCTATTTGTCTAAACTAAGTAATGAAGGATTTTAGTCATGACTCTTGACCCTACAAGCCTCACCCCCATCATGGTACTGGAGATCTCAAATGGGGGATCAGGGTCTTAATACTTTAGGGTGGTGAGCAAAGTCATCGATCTCTGGTGAAGGCAGTGGTAGAGACAGTTCCCTTCTCTTCTGGAATGTTTCCTTACATCCCACCCAGACTGAACCCCTGAGCCATGCTGCCACCATGGCCTGAGAGAACATGACTTCCTCCTTTGTCCCCCTTCGTCCAAACATCTCCCAGAACTTAAACGAATGTCACCTACTTGCTGTCTGGTAACTCAAGGACAGTGTGGAAAAGGGTGCCCATGGGAGGGACGATCTCAGGCAGGCTGTTTTCCCGTCTTTCCTTCCGAGCTGGATGGTTAGTAGCCAAGCTCCGGGCCTGAGCTTCCTCCAGGCTTACCAGCTTCATGGGCAGGGAGAGGGCTGGCAAGGTCAGACTCTTCATGATGGGCCGGTTTCCTATAAAGAGAAGAGAAGAGCTCAGTCATGGGAGGAGATTGTGTAGCAGGTCCAATCAGATCCCCCAACCACATTATTTCTGCTCTTGACCTCCTCACAGAGGGCTTCTCTTGGGCATGGTGGGCTCTGGGGTGGAGGCTGCACACCGAAAACTGACCACCCTCTCGGCTAGACTAACCAGGAGGCACACAGAGCTGTAGGAGGCAACCTGCACTTCTTGTACTTTTCAGAGAGAGACCATTCACTCCACTCACTCATTCACTCATCAAACATTTACTGAGCAGTTACTATAGGCCAGAGGAACAGCAATGGGTCTTCATTCCTAGAAATTTGTCTAGTGCTTTGGTCAGGGCAAATGTATGTTGAGCTGTAGAGGCAGCCTCATTCAGCTAGGTAAAACAGGAGACTGTCCCTCTTCTTAAAAGCTCCAAGGCATTTTAGGGTTGGCACCTGTACTTTTCAGACTTCATGTAAGCTTATGTCTCTGCAGTAAAAAGACATTTTACAGCCTATACTGTTTCCTTAAAGATAAGTGACTTTTTACTCATGGCCAATCCCTTCCTTCTGGATTTTTTTTATTTTTTTTATTTTTTTTTTTTTTTTTTTTTTTTTTTTATAGAGGCATGCTTTATTTATTTGTTTGCTGGTTTGTTTGTTTGTTTTGTTTATACATGCACTGGGTACAGTCAGAAGCGCGGGAGGGTGAGAGAATTCACCAGAGCCAGAGCGGGGAGCAGAGCAGGTAGAAGGACCGAAGTACACTGCTGAGGGGAGCAGCGGGCGGCAGGAGAGGTCTGCACGCCATGTGGGACCCTCCTCCGGTGGCCGGGGAGCAGCCAGGGATCGAACCGGCGCCACAGAGGCCGCGGGCAGCTTCGCAACCCAGTGCTCAACCGCTGCGCCACCGGGGAGGCCCCTGGATTTTTTTAAAGATTTATTTTTATTTATTTATGCATACAAGAACGGGAGGTAGGCCAGAGGTGTGGGGGTGAGAGGATTCACCAGAGACAGAGTGGGAAGCAGAACAGGTGGATTTTCTGAAATATACTGCTGAGGGGAGCAGGGGGCGAGACAGGAGAGGTCTGCTACACCATATGGGTCAGCTTCCTGGCCGAGAATTGAATCCATTCTGCAGTGCTGGTGATAGCTTGACAGTGCTGAGGTCCTTTCCACCTCATACACCTCATACATACACGCACACATATACCCAGTTGGAGACATTTGACAATGTCTGGAGACACGCAAGTATGTGAGTGTACTTAGCTTCTAATGAAGTTAAGGGTGCTGCTAAATACCCTACAATGCACAGGCCAGCATCCACAACAAGAATCATGTAGCAAAAAATTTCAGCAGTCCAAGGTTGAGAATCCCTGATTTTATAAATAAAAAAAGAAGAGAGCTAAATTTTTGTCTTAGTCTTTGGCAACCTTGCCAGTTTTCTGTAACTTCAGATGTGAGGAGACTCAAGGATAATCTGGACCAGCTGAGACTAGGAAATCATTTGTGGCACAGAACTTGCCTTGATGGCATTATTTCCCTACAGAGCATGGACCCTTTCCAGGTGGAGAGAACTAAAACCACTGAAAAATGACCTTGTAGAAAACAGACAGTAAGTGACACTGGGTTGTTTCCTGGGAGGATGGAATGTTCATAAATCAGCAGGATGGCCATAAAGTAAATCTGCCATCCTGAGAACTTTTTATTAAGTTTCTAACTTAAACTGAGTTTTCTGACTTAATCCAAAAGAGGTTAATATATTTAAATTTAATTTACTCTCAGTATTTGTTCAAGATTCTGGATTATTGATGATTTTGTTATCTATTTATTTAAAAAATTAAATCACTGTGGAGCAACTAGTAAAAATATCCACTGGAGGGTCAGGAGACTTCACCTTAGCACCTACTGTTTCCCAAATTCCAGGCCCTAGTATCCGAAAGCCTGCACATCATCTCTACTTAGATGTCTCATAGACAGCTCTAGTTTTACATTTCAATACAGTGATTTCTGCTCCTCACCTCTAAACTAGGTCTTCCATCTTCTCCAACTCAAAACCGTACTGTCATTCCTTTCTTTGATGTACTCCTCACCCCCATCAAACCCGTAAGCAAGTCCTGTAACTGTACCTCTAAAATATATTCTGGATCTAGTCACTTTGCTCCTTTCCACCACTGACATGCTAGTCCAAGCCATCATGACTTCCCACCTGGTTTCTGCCATAGTGCCTGAGCTGGCCCTCTGCTTCCTGTCTTGCTGCCTTTCAGTCTCTCCTTCGCACAGCAGCCAGAATGCTTAGATCCTTCACAACCCACACCCCCACCTCACCTGCTCAAATCCTTCAGTGCTTTCCCAGAGCACTGAGAACAAACCCAACTATGAGCACGACTTACTGGGACCTTCCATTTGCTTTTTCTCTCCTCTTTGCCCACCGACCTACTGGTCTGCTGGTAGTATACAGTATACAGTAAAAATGTTTTGCATCTTCACTCCCATTAGAAAATGTATATATTTGTAAAGTAGATATACACACTATTGTTTATATTATGTGTAAGATAAAATATATGCAAAATCATAGAAATTACAAAGTATACAATAAAAACAAACAAACAAATTATTTTGTTTTAAAGTTTCTTCCATACTTCAGAACTGATCTTTGGTACCAACCAGGGTGTGACACCCCACTTTGGAGATCACACTGGCTTTAGTCTGCTTTCTGCAATGCTGAGGTCCTTTCCAACTCAGAGCTTTTTTCCTCCTTGTTCTCTGAGTTTGGAACATTTGTCCCGCAGATCCTCCCATAACGGTTCCTTTTATCATTCAGGTCTCAGTTCAAAGATCACTTCCTCAGACACCATAACCACTTTGCACTAAAATCATATCCCCTGGTTGCTGGCCATCACATTACCCTTATATATTTTCTTCATGGTGTTTATTGTCTTTGAAGTGATAATGTATTTATTTTTAAACATATTTATTGCCTGTCTTTCCAACCAGACCATGGCTCTCTGCAGGGCAAGGTCTTGCCATTTTGTATATTGAGATAGTCTGTGTCTAGGACAGTGCCTGGCACATAAGAGGTGCTTCATGCTTCATACATATTTATGTTTTTTTTTTTTAAAGATTTATTTATTTATTTATACAAGTACTGGGTACAGTCAGAAGCACGGGATGGTGAGAGAATTCACCAGAGCCAGAGCGGAGAGCAGAGCAGGCAGAGTGATGAAATACACTGCTGAGGGGAGCAGCGGGAGGCAGGAGAGGTCTGCACACCATGTGGGACCCTTGCCCAGCAGCTGGGGATGGAACCAGTGCTGAAGAGGCTGTGGGCAGCTTCACAACCCAGTGCTCAACCTCTGCGCCACCGGGGAGGCCCCATATTTATGTTTTAATGAATCTTGGTATATTAAAATCTCTCTGGATCATTCCTTTCATCTGTCAATTCACAATATAGATTCAGTGAGTTCGAGAATCTTTCTGGTATGAAACAGTACCCTATTTCCAAATCTGAAATTCCAGACTGATAGTTCATTTTATTTAAACATTAACTATGGTACATTGCCAATGAAAGTGAGTATGATTGATGACAAGAACATTTAAATAGAAAGGCACTGAATAATACATACTGGAGGCAATGAAGAGTGGAAAGCTAAAGAGTAAATTGGGTGTCTATGTGCAGGACAAAAGATGCCTGGGGCAAAGATCAAGAGAGTAGGCCTTTCCAAAGCTGGAATTAGAAATACACTAACACTAATTGTCATGGATGGGATTTTCTGTCTAGAAAAACATTTCTCAAAAGTCATTAATTTTCCACAGTGGTTTATTTATCTATTTTGCTGTTTTTCTTCCTCATAGAGGCAGCATAGAACTAAGGAAAATGGATAAGCTGAAAGATTTAAGTGCAGCATATGTTCCTACCAGTTACTTGTTGTGTGGCTTTGCAGCCACTCAGCTTTTCTGGTTCTTTATGTGTAAAATATGGTTGATAACTCTGACGGTTGTTGTGGTAAGTCAGTGAGATGGTGATTTGGGGGTGCCTGCAATATTTCCTGGCATAGAATAAACCCCCAGCAAATTGTTGGTTGACTCAAAAGGATAAATGAATGAGTGCATATTACTTCCATTTACTCTCAAAAAGGATTTGCTATATAGCTTACAATTAAAAACACATTTATAGTAGGAGAGTTAAAGTAAAGATAATAGGTCAGCCACTCCTAGGTATATAACCAAGGGAATTGAAAACACATGTTCTCATAAAAACTTGTACATGAATCTTCATGGAGCATTTTTCTTAATAACCAGAAAGTAGAAACAAAATTTATGTCCTTCAACTGATCATGAATGAACAAAACGTGGTATATCCACACAATAGAACTTTACTCAGCCATGAAAAAGAATGAAGTACTGGTACATGAGACGATATGGATAAATCTTGAGAACATATGATAAGTGGAAGAAGTCAGACACAAAAGACCACATGTCATATGATTCCATTTATATGAGATGTTCAGAAGTGGCAGATTTATAGAAACCAGAAGTCAATAAATTGTTGCCAGAGTTTAGGGGACAGGGGGTTATATGGAATGACTGCATAATGGATATGGAATTTCTTTTTAGAATGATGAATATGATCTAGAATTAGATAGTGGTATGGTTACACAACTGTGTGACTATACTACTGAATTGTGCGCACAATATGATTAAAATGTGAATCTTATGTTCTGTGATCTTTATCATAATAAAAAAAATTTTTAAGAAAGGTCACAGAGAATAGGAGTGGGAACAATTGTAGCAGCAATCAAAACTTGAGGTTAACTGCAATTGATTATTCTGATGAATATACTTGATTTTTGCACATAGATTAGCCAAACTAGAAAATAATGTTTTAATCAAGTGTATCATGCTAATGATATTCTGCAATCCAGGCTTTAACTAGCCCTCCAGGTAATCTTAATATATAACCAATGTTGGAAAAGCATTTTCACACAAATGGTAGTTACCAGGTTTCTTGATCAACTAGATTTTGGGTTTTTATGAGTTAGGTGCACATGAATTCAAGCAGCATAAAAACAGTTGTTATTATGATAGCCACAGAACTGAAAGAACAGATCTTGCATCTCATAATTTCCAGCTAGAAATAGCTATATCTTTCTCACCACTATGGCTATAGTGGGTTTCAATGCTAACTAGTCTCTGCATATACATGCCCACAAACAGAAAAACACACACTCATTTCTGTGTGCCTAGTGCCTGGTGCAGGGCTGAACAAAGTAAAACACTCAAGAAATGCTTTCAAGAATGTCCTATAGTTGTAATCATGTGATACATTGCCTTTTCAGATTGCCTTCTTTCACTGAGTATCAGACATTTACCTTATCTCCATGTCCTTTCATGCCTTGATAGCTTGACTTTTTTTATTCCTTGCAACATTTTAGACAGTGTCTAGTATACTGAAGGCATTCAATAGATGCTTATTGAGTTTATTAACACAAAACTAATCAGATCAAAGGAAAAAAAATAAGAAGGAAAGAAGTGATTGCAAAGAGAATGCATTCTGAGTATGAACATGGTGTGTCTTAAGTCCTTCACTTAAGACTTCAAGTTGAAGGCAAAAGGGTCTTCTGAAATATACTAAAAGTAAAGATGAGATCTAGTAGTTGAAGAAAAGAATGTTGCCAGTCCCTTTAGATAATAACTCAAAGAGTTTAAGTACTCACATAAGCCATTCAATATTATTCCATCTCACCACACCATATTCATGGAATGGTCTATGTATACAACTGATCAGTAACACGCTAAAGACACACACAAACACACACGCACCTTAGCTGCACATACACAGACCTGGGCACAGAGAGTAGTCAGCACGCACACACAGAGCAAGAGCCAAGACCACCCTAATTTACTCTGGGGTCTCAGGCCTAAGGCACGAAAGAAGGGTGGGCTAGAGGAGTGCATGCCAGGAAGAGCTGTTACCATCATTCTCCAGAGACCCTGGTGCGCCGCTGTTAAAGATCTGATCCACATGATTCAATATGAACTCAATCACCACCTGCTGGACCCGGACTGCAAGGAAGGCTGCATCTCCATTGCAACCAGAGGCTTCAATTTCTTTGGACCTAAATTGTGGAAGAAAAACATTCAGTGAGCAAGTCAGCCCTATAACCTGAAGCAGAAGGGGGAGCCAGTGGGCCTTTCATACAAATTTGTTAATCTGTAGACTATTTTAACTATTAAGATCAGTTGCAGGGACTTACCAAAATTGTGAAGCCCAACATACTGAACCAATTTAAAAATTACCAGGTGCTATACATTGTAATACCACAAAGACTATATCAGTAAATATACAGGAATTGATTTTTTTTTCTACAAAGGCTCTCCTCTTTCCATTCCCATCCAACTGTTTCATGGGGCAGGTTATCATTTACTAAGCAGTTGATTCAGGTTGCAACCAGTTGTGATCCCACTCAAACCAACAAAAGCCAATGAGCTCCCAAGACAATAAAAGCCTTTTCAAGAGATTCTAACATAAAGACCGTAACATTGACCACATCTCAGCAGGAGCCATAAAACACTTGGAACCTAGAGTTCCAGGTTGGCAGGCAAAGGGCATAGGGTATTAAAATCACCATTAAGTCATACCTGCTACTAATGACCATTTCACTACAGATTGGTCTGAAGGTGGCTTCAATTTTGAAGACTCCAGTGTTGGCTGAAAGCAGCCCACTGGGGTAATTACCTGAGGAGGTTTGGTGCCCACACAAGGGCCAGGTTCCTGGCGTGCATGTTGGTCTTGCTGCTGAAGGAGGCAATGTGGGCCAGGTGTCGAATCAGGTATTCCAAGGTCCTGTAGTGTTCATGCGGATAGATATTTTGGACAAAGTAGGAAACTTCAGTGCCTATGTGAAGCCTGACATCTGGAGATAATTTCTAAGTTTGGATTCAAAAGACTAAATATTTCTATCTTGTGAATTTTGGAGGAATATCAGGAAGATATCGAGATTGATGGAAGTTATTTTCTTGGCCTTAGGCATGCTGGTCCAGGGTGGAATGGGCAAGATCTTGTCAGAATCATCTGGGGCTCTTGCAGCACCACTCAAAGACAGAAGCAGGGAGCCACAGCACCCCAATGCCTGAGGTTTTTAGTGATTACCCAGTCCTTTCACAGAGCAAAACTGCCTCAACAGGGTCTTAAAACTGGCTCTTATCATGGCCTTTTGGGTAATTATATACCTATAAAGGGTAACTTGGTACTTGTTAGCAGCTCATTTCATGGATGAGTAACATCTATTAATGCTAGGAAGTTTATATCACATCAAAATCTGCCCCCTTCTAAAAGATGGGCAGGTTTAGGGAATACTCAGAAAGGTGGCAAACTTGGGAGCTAAACAATGAGAATGAAATGTAAGGATAGGATGATGTAAGAGTTGATGCTAATAAGCAAATATTAGTCCAGCCACATGCTCAAGAGCTACAAAATCCTCTTGGTTTACATAGATTTGGTTACGCCGTGAACCTAAGAGCAAGGGTTCACCATGAGGCTGGCTTCTGTGATGGGAATGACTTCCTGTGGGACACTGAGGGGAGCCTGCAAGTGACTTGGACATGGGCCTCTGCTTCCCACCAATGTCCCTGAGCAGGCAACAACTCACTCTGATAAATGTGACCAGTTCACCCATCTCAAAATGCCCCAAGAAAGCCACTGTCCACTGAATTTGTCCCTTTCATGAAGCCAGCCTGCCTCTTTGGTATGACACCACATTGAGAGGCTATAAATTTATTTTACCAAGGGTTCTTACCTATAATGGGATGGGGGAAGCTCCTGGATAACATTTTGGATTCTGGCCAGTTGGCCTTCTTCTGGACAGTGTGACACTGCTTCCTGTGAAGAACAAGAAGAGACCCAGTGAGTGACTGAGAGGGTGGACACCCAGCTGCATCCTGGTTTCATTTAGGCCCCTGGTATTCCAGCCGCCCAGCGATGCCTTGAGATCACCATTTCAAAAGGCATGCTATTTTAGTAAAAACCAAATGCTAGCATTTCTGGGGATTCATGATATGAAGTCTCTAACAGTATGTGCACACAGGGGTGCCAAGACTGTCGGGGTCTCTGTGCATCCTCGAGTGGTTGTCAAGGATCTGATAAAGAAGGTGTAGCAGTATGGTTGTGATGAGTCCCGGAGCCTGGCACAGTGTCTGGCACACAATAGGCACCCCCTTTATTTACTGACTGGCAATACTCCATTTCCTTATTTGGCACATCGTGCAAGGACTTTGTCCACTGCTTGTCTGTTTGCTTATTTATTTATTTAATGGAAGTAAAACATACATACAGAAGGCCCCTGGTTTTGAAGGCAATCAAATTTCTCTGCATGGGAAAACTTGAGGTTTCATTTTCTAAGCAGAGGTGGGGTGAAATTTGAGGTGAGGATAACGGTCACAGTCACACTCTGGTAGGCTTGTAAGTCTGACACTAGAGCCAGCATAAGCAAGATCTCTGCTATAATTCTAGCTTTTTGAGATATGCAGGATGCAAAGGCGGGGAGCAAGAATTGGGTGTATGAGAGAGGGGGGCATCTCTGCTCTCTTCCCAGGAGCTGTCATTGAGAAACAGATTTGTGGAGAGGTCTCTGGCTTCCAAGACAGGGAGAGTCTCATAAAGGGAGCTAGGGAGAGAAGCTCAGGGGAAGGAGAGGCCCAGGAATGCTGTGTGGACCCTCCCACATTCTGTCTTGCAAAGGTGGTGATCTGGTGAAGGGGGGTTCTCTTCCTCTCTCTGCAGAGCTGGAATGAACTTTGCAAAGCTTTGCACACACTCCCCACCTCCTCCCACCCTTAATAAAAATGTGTCTGAGGAATAATGGTGTAGGTCAATTTAACAGCCTTCATGGAAAGTTCCCTTAATATTTTGGGAAGATATTAGTCATTTTTGTTCTCTGGGAAGCCAGGCAGCTCACCCCGGATAGTCCCATTTGGGATTGGTGTTTATTTCATTATTCATAATCTCTCCCCATCACACCCCGATCCTATTCAGAAGCTCTTTAGATCCTCCTTTTCCTTTCATCCTGTCACTGCAAGTGTTATTTTTAGTTTTCTTTATGTTCTCCCATTAAGATAGCAGAACCCATCATTGGGAAATTGAGGAAGGTAGCTATAACTTTGCCTGAAAGAGAATTTTATTCAATATTAGCCAAGCCATGGTTAATGATTAAATCTCAAACCATTCAGGATGAATCCATGACTATTTGTTCTCTTTTGATTAGTTTCAATAAGTCTGGTTTCCTGACCTTTGAGGACTCCGGTGAAGGCTGGGCTCTCAACCACTTCAGGCAGGCTCCTCCCTCCTGTTTATTTTTTTATTTAACTTTTTTTAAGATCTATTTTTATTTACTTATGCGTACAAGACCTGGGGTTTAAGCCAGAGGATTCACCAGAGAGCAGAATAGGTGGATCCACAAAAATACACTGTGGAGGGGAGCAGCTGGGGAGCAGCTGGGGAGACAGAAGAGGTCTGCTGCATCATGTGGGTCAGCTCCCTAGATGGGGCTCAAACTCCTGCCACAGTGGCTAGCGGTAGCTAGATAGTGCTGAAACTTAACTCTGCGCTACCAGGGAGGCCCCTCCTCCCTCCTGTTTAACCAATCACAGCTGACATCCCTGAAGCCCAAGTCGTGCCATCAGGCACCTCTCTCCAGAGTGAACACCCTAGTACTCTCCCTTCAGATGTGACTCGGTCTTTGCCTTTTATTTTTCATTAATTATTTAAAAATTATTATGAAGTCGCTTATTATATTAAATTATCTTAAAATAACTCAATTAAAAAGTAATCTTGCACATGATTTAAAAAATGCAAAGTATCCAAAGGTATACACAGGACGAAGTTAGTTTTCCTTGCAACTGCAGACCCACAGTCCTTACACTTCTCTCTCTTGGTCAGTGGAAGCCAAACCACTATGTAACCTGACCCATGAGTAAATTCCCCGGCACCCCTTATTCTCCTGCAGTCTAGCTCCACACAGGCCATGCCAACCTCCACATGTTCCCCTCTAACTAGCTCAGCATGTCCCTCATGAGAGCCTGTGCATCTGCTATTTCTTCTGGGCACCTTCTTCTCCCAGATATCTGCACAGTTTGTTCTCTCGCTTCATCCTTGCCTCTGTTCAAATATCATCTCATAGAGAGAACTTTGATTTATCCTACCCAAAATAGCAGTCTCTGTCATTCTTTCCCTTGTATTTTGCATTAATTTTCTTCATAGTGCTTGCTAACCATTCTCATGATAGAACTATGCTTTAAATTTATCAGCTATCTCCTTCACTAAAATATGTTTCATGCGAATAAGAATTTTTATCAGTTTTGTTCACCCTTAAATCCCCACACCTAGAATTGTGTCTGCCAGGCATACATAGTATCCATACCACAGCAGACACAGGCAGCTAATGCATATACTCAAAATTAAAATAACCACTAGTAACCTACTCACAAGGGAAGCTTGAGAGAAGCAACTGCCCACATATTGCAGCAGCCATTATGAACATTGGTGTCATTTTCTATTTGGTTGCATATACTGTTTTGCATATAACTTAATATTGTGGCCAGTGTATGGTCTTCAGATATGTGTCTTTTCATCAGCTACACAGGACTGGAAACAATAGATTTATTATCATTTATTTAACCCATTTCTCAATGTTCAGACATGTAGTTACTTCCCAACTTCTGAAGTGATAATAACACTGCAATGTTATTATCTGTGGGGCCTCCCCAGTGGCGCAGTGGGCTGAGCGCAGCACTGTGAAGCTGTCCAAAGCCTCTGCAGTGCAGGTTCGATTCCAGGCCGGCCAGGGAGAAACCCACATGGCGCCGCAGACCTCTCCTGTCTTGCCCGCTGCTCCCCTCAACAGTGTTTTCGGTCTGTCTGCCTGTTCTGCCTCCCACTCTGTCTTTGGTGCATTCTCTCACCCTCCTGCGCTTCTGGCCTGCACCCCAGTTCTTGTATAAAAAATAAATAAAACTTAAAAAAAATGATCTGTGTGTACATCTGATTATTGTCTTAGTGACATATTAAAAAATAACAGCACTTTAGGACTGTTGATAGCAATTTGAAAGGACTTTCTGGGCTACCTAGCCAACTTACACTTTCAATAGAAAGCTGAGTCAATCTCACCATAGGCTCACCAGCATGAAATGGTAATATTAAATAATGTTTCTTTTATAGTCAAATATGTTTTTCTTATACATTTATAATTTAAAAATAATTCTCTTTCTTTGATGAATTGTCTGTTGAGGTTCTTTGTTCATTTGTTTTTACATAGTTGTTTACTTGCCTTTTACTTTTGGAAGTATGTTTTATGGAAAAATAATTTATATATAGTTTTGGGGTTCAATTTGTGTTTGGTGATTTTTTTTCCTTTGGTTTTATTCTCAAAAAGTCCTCTCCAAGGCCTCCCCAGTGGCGCAGCAGTTGAGCGCTGGGTTGCAAAGCTGCCCCCAGCTTCTGTAGCGCCCATTTGATCCCCGGCTGCTGGGAGAGGGTCCCACATGGCGTGCAGACCTCTACTGCGGCCTGCTGCTCCGCTCAGCAGTGTACTTCAGTCCTTCTGCCTGTTCTGTTCCCCGCTCTGGCTCTGGTGAATTCTCTTACCCTCCTGCACTTCTGACTGTACCCAGTGCTGGTATAAATAAAATAAATAAAGCTTTAAAAAAAAAAAAGTCCTCTCCACTCCAGATCTGCTAAATGATAAGAATATTATTTGATTTTTCCCCCTTTCCAATTTGCTCATTGAATAGTTCCTTCATTCGTTTGGGATGCTTTCTTCACCTCATTTTAATACTTGCGCCCCTCAGAACTGTTAACTTTATTTTAATGTAACATGAGCCTCAACTCACTCATCTGTAAAAAAGACAAAACCTACTTCATAGACTGATTTTGAAAATGAGATAAAATTGTATTTGTAACAAAGCATACAGTAAGTACTCAATAAATGGTAGCTATTATCATTTTTTGATATTAATCCATTACTTTTTCTAATTCTGTTATTATTCCATTGTGATATTATTCTACCTTAGTTATGCAGGTTGGCTTAACTAAATCATTATAAGAATGCCTAACAAGAGGGGCGGAGCAACATGGCGGCGAGGAGACGCTGCGAGTAAGATCTCCCATTAAAAAAAGTGAATAGGGAGGAAAAGCGGCAGGTCCCAGTGAGAACTGGGACACGGAAGATAAACGGACGACTCCAGCAAACTACCCGAAGAAGAAAGTGGCCATAAAAGAGGACTAGAAGGGAGGGAAGCGCAGAACCCTGCTCCCCTCCCCCGCCCGCAGAGGCGGCACTCTCCGACCCGCAGAGAGGAGGAAACAACAAACCAAAACGGCCCACAAGAACAAACGAGGCAGCAAGCGGGACTGTGAGTGGAAAGGAACTATTGCAGCCACCACACCCCGTGAACGGGAGCTGAGGCGAACCCTGCAGGATCCGCAGCAGCGGCGGTGAGCGAACGGCTCCTGGCGCCAATAGAGAAGAACAAAGACCCCGGGAGACGCGCACACAGCCCGGGCTGCCGGTAAGCTTGCACAGAGAGCGGCGCGCTCGGCGCACTTGAAAAGCAAGTGCAGGGCCTCCCCGGTGGCGCAGCGGTTGAGCGCTGGGTTGCAAGGCTGCCCGCGGCCTCTGCGGCGCCGGTTCGATCCCTGGCTGCTCCCCGGCCACCGGAGGAGGGTCCCACATGGCACGCAGACCTCTCCTGCCGCCCGCTGCTCCCCTCAGCAGTGTACTTCAGTCCTTCTGCCTGCTCTGCTCTCCCCTCTGGCTCTGGTGAATTCTCTCACCTTCCTGTGCTTCTGACTGTACCCAGTGCATGTATAAACAAAGCAAACAAACA